AAATTAATTTAATCTATACAATTTATTTTATGAGAACTGTATAGCCATTTCCAATTATCCTTTGAATTCCAGTGTCAATCTTGGCAGGTGTCGAGATATCCTGAAGAGCGCCTACGACACGTCTTCGAGGCACGCGACGAGTATTGTATGCAAATGTGCAGCAGATGTGTCCAAAGAAATAGAAGATCCCTCGCCCCCTCTCGAGTACCTCCTCTATCACCTGAAAGTATCATTCTCAAGTGCCGCGGAATGACATTCGACAATTGAAAATGTTTTTTCTTACGGGCAGATTAATGGAAAATTCATATTTTAAAAATTCCGACGAGCAATAGCTGTCCCTCGGGCGCGATATCCGGGGGAATAAAATAAGAAACAAAGGAAGCTGCGTGCAAAAAGCGGGATTTATTGCGCGCGCCGGAGGAAACGAGCGGAAAGCGATACCGGGAGTGATAACGTCATCGGCAGCTATGGCGCCGGGCTGCGCCTCGCGGGTCGCGGGTAACAATGGGACAGTTTCGGGACAATAGCTGCGGCAACAATCCAATCAGAGCGCTATCAGCCCGCCCCGTTATCCTTTGATCCGCGCGCTAGCTCGCTCGCTCGCTCGCTCGTGACCCGGCAAACACCCCTGATTGCCCGCCCCGGCTCGTGTTTAAACAGGCCTGAACTCCCGAGCGAATGCCGTGTTTAACCCACGACAGGAGCTGGTTCGGTCCTCGCCGCTCCCGCGACGATCGCCAGACGCTCGAGAGCGCTCGGCGGAGGAGGACCTCCGAGGACCTGCGCTCCCGCTCCCGAGCCTGCGCACCCTCTGTGAAAGGAAATTTTCATACATAGCAAATCCCAACACTTCCACTTAATCTCAAACATTAATATGAGTTTTGGCTTCTTTTTAACGAATTTTAATTGACACTATTTCTACCAAAGGTGTCAAAAGACACCTTTTAAAATTTTAACTTGAAATTATTTTCAAAGTTTAATAATTTTTTCTCAATTAATGTTTTGAGTTTTCGTATAATAATTGTTAAATTTATTTAGCGGTATCAGTTTCCTCCAGCTCATCGAAACCTTTTGGTCGAAATAGGTATACAAAAAATCGTGGTTGAAATAGTGTTAATAATGGCTTTTTCTCAGGTGAGCTTCCTGGCGAGGTTCCTTGAACGTGCGCATCCCTGTGGATATAATTATAAACGACAATTCCCGTCACTTTCATGTAATATCCACATTTATATGGGTTTTAGGTTTTTTTTTTTTAACGAACTTTAATTAATTATGACTTTTCCTCAGGTGAGGGGAGTAAGGGTGAAGTGACTACTCCTGGAGCAGCATTCTGTTTTCAAGGGAAAAAATTGATAAATCGCAGTTCCAATGTCACTTTCACGTTGTATCAGACTTTACTTGTTTTTGCGTTTCTTTAGAAATTGTATTTAATGATATTTTTCCTTGGAGTGCAGGAAAAGGGTGGCGTTTCCGCTGGCGCCGAGAAGAGGCTCGCTGCCGACCAATCGCGTTCCAAGGCTTTCTGCAAGACGCGACGACCGACGTCACACCTGCGACACGTGGTCGGAAGTAGGGTTAGGGTTATCAGCGCACACGTGTCATGTCGAGCTTACCAAATCACACATGCATGAAGTCGGCGCGCGCCCGGTAATGGCTCGACCATAAGCGTGACCAGAAGGATGAACATAGTAAAAAAGTCGGGACATCCTGGTAATTCGCCGCACGATTCCGGAATGTCCACCCTGTAAAAAAAAAAAAAAAATAAGAGTTACAATTCTATTAAACAATAATCTCATAAAATTATAATACTTTTTTAACAGAGCTCTACGGTGCAATGTAAATTTGCTTGAACATGTACTAAGTGACTTTCGAATATGAAATTTATAATTTTTCCGGAGGATTTCAAAGAACAACACGACGTTATTAAAAGTATAAATATATTTGAAATTTTATAACAAACGGGTACTGATTTACTGTTAGGACGTCGATTTTATAATTTGTCTAGAGCTTTATGTAGTATATGCATTTTTTTAACAGTGCTAAACATATGGATCGGCCTTGGAAAAAACGGAAATATGGCCCGGCTAGTTGCCAATAAACGAAGCCTGAATGGGGTTATAAATTATAACTTGACTCGGGAAGTCCCCTCTCTGGAATTGAAGAACTTTTGCCGATTTTCCTGGTAACGCTCCTGGGGCCTCAGGGTTTCCCTGCAGGCATAGTAGTCCTGCGGGAACCCCGGGAATTCCCTGGGCTGGCTCCGAATTTCGTAAGAATCGCAGGTCGATTTCTGCGGCATTTGTTTCCCTCGAATTGGAGCGAAATTGTCAAAGCACGTGTCCTTATTGTCAATGAATCCTTGAGAGTCGTCCTTTCAGGTCGCAGAATGCCATTTTACTCGGCGCTTTGTGCCGGATATTAGAAATCCTATTCTAGAGGTTTCAATTTTATTACGCACCTGAAGGTGCGGCCAATTAACGGTCGATGTGCAAAAATTAACCTGCAGGAGGAGGTGGTAATACGCGAGGAAGAAAGCAGCTTTACCGACAACGTGTCTCCCCTGCGGGAGTCCGGTTTTCCCGTAAGAGCCTTCAAAGTCGACGCTTTCCGAATGTTTATTACACCGTTGGCCAAAACTTGGAAAAAGGAGGAACAATAAAAACCCCTGCCGCCCGGAAATGCCCGTATAACGTGGAGGCAATGGAAATGCCACATCCAGTCGTGAAAGTTAATGAAATACTGGAAAATTAAAAAATCAGAAGTCGATTAGTACACTAATTTTCGTAATTACCTACGATCGTTTGATTCGTCTACAAATGTGATTATCAGCTGATTGATATCCTAATTAACTCGGTTTCTGATTAATGCCTGCACTTCTAGACGTAAAAATTAAACACCATAAAGATCGAAAATGTGATGCCGATTAATGTCTTAATTCTCGTAATTAACTCCTATCGTTTAATTTTCACAGGAAAACTAGGGTCATCTTTGCATCTTTCTCTCTCTCTCTTTCTGGAAGTGGCACTAGAGACATCCACCCCTTGTAGCTGGCAAACATTCCTCGATCGAAGGCTAATTGTAGCAGTGGTCTCGTGGACCGTTAATCCTGTGGAAGGACTATCCATGCGAACAGAGCCGGGGAAGTTCCTGGCGCCCTTTCAGATCAAACAACCGTCTATCCCATTTCCCGAAGCTCCTGGATGTACGTGTACAAAAGTCGAAAGTCCAAGTGAAATCGGAGGGAATTACGATTTCGACGAAACTAACGAAACTGGGGAGAAATTCCATGAAAATAAAAATCTTAATAAATATTCCATGTAACCCGTGAGCGATTAATTTCAGTCGAGAGTGACCGTAGACAGGATGATTAATGGTAAATTGTAAGACGTCTTGGTTTTAAGGTGTCAGTAATTTTAGGGCACACCGGTGCATGATTACATGGACAAGTTGGATTCTGCAAAAAACTTATTTGCGAGGTGAATTCACGTCCAATAATTGAGAATAAATTGTAAGGTGTCATTAATTTTAGAGCACGACGAAGTATGATTGTATGGACCAGTTGGACACTGAAAAAAGTTATTTGCGAGGTGAATTCACGTTCAATAATTAAGAATAAATTGTGAGGTGACAACTTTTTAAGGCGTCATCGATTTCAGGGCACTACGAAGTCCGATTCCAGGTTAGAGTCGGACTCCAGGAAAGATATGTTTGCGAGGTGGATTCACGTCCGATCGAAGCGTAACGGGTCGTTGTCTTGGATGCGGGTACCTTGGTGGAACGAGGAGGAAGAGGGATGAAGAAGGCAGAGGGCTTTCCACGACACACCCCCTTAGCCAGCTGATTACGAGCACCTAGCCTCCTAGTGTTAATAAAAAAAAGGGGGAAACTCGCATCTGCCACATTCGGATTTCGAAGCTCGCTCGGTTCCCGCCTAAAATTTAAAAAACTCCTGAAACCTAATTCCAAGGAAGAGACAATACCCAACATCCAATATTATAACGTACCGCACCCCAAATATCACTCTAAAAATATTAAATTACTCTCCTCTCAACTAACACCGAGAACAACCAAATCCTCTCCCGAAACCCGTTTTGGCAGGGAAATTTAACATTCCTCAATATCGGAATGATTTTCCTGACGCATGGATTTAGAATTTTGAGGTTAGGATGAGCGAGCTCTCGGGCCGCCATATTTACGGTAGATATGATAAAGTGGCTATATTCCCGCCCATGGAGAATTCGTGGTTAATCGAGAATCAATAAAAGGTATATCTTGGGGAGAAATCCCGATTCCGGGAGACGTCCAATCCCGACTCCCGCGCATAAAATCGATCACTTCCTGGGGGTGAGCCGGGGTGATCGCGCACCCTCTCGACTAGTCGCGCTCTCATTGGCCGACTCTGGCCACTCCTGTAGGCGGGCCTAGGGGACTCGGTGGACGAAACGGGTTTCGCCGAGCTACCAACGTGCTCGCGTCTAACCTCGCCGCTCAGTCCCCGGCGCGACTTCGGCTCGCATGCTGCTCACGCGCATCCCTCCGCGCGCACGCACGCTCGACCCGTGAGTCCGCCGTGCGCGCACACACCCGAGTCAGCGCGTCCTAAATCGGCCGCGAGGCCTACCCAGAACTACCCTCGGCGGGTCACGTGACAACCACCATCGAAGTCAAGCGAGACCAAGGATCGAGCAAAGAAGCGACTCCAAGACACATAAAATCCCTCCCAGGGAAAAAATAACTTACCCTCCACTCCCCGATAATTCATTTCGGAGATTTTCGCGAGGATTCCCCCTATCGGGGAGGGTAATCTTCTTGAAAAGTGCGCGACTTTGGGAAGAGACTCGACCACCGCGCTAGTCAGTGAAGTGCGTCGATCCTTGGAGACGTTTATACGACTGTCAAGAATCTGGGGAGGAAACTTGGGATAATATCCGACGGAATCCGGCGTACCGGTCTCGAATTTTCGACCGAGACTCCTGGGGACGGCTTAAGGAGCAACGACTATGGTTGTGTTGTGAGTATTTCAGATAATTAGATAGGTTTATTGAAGGAGATTTCGCGCGGGACCGTTTGAATTTGAAATCCGTTGGGCGCGTCTTGACAGGATAGGAGGGGGAGGATGCGTCGCGCGTCCAGCATCGATTTCTCCCGCGGCGGGATGCGTTTCTATCCGTGGGCGTTATGAGGCTTTCCCATTGGTGCGTGGGCGTTATTCAAGATCTCCCATTGGGCGATTGGCAGAGTCGAGCCCCCCGCAAATCTCGCCGAGTTAAACGTGGTCCGAGTGCGTAATCGAGGCGGCACAAATGACGCTCCCGAAACCGGTCCCCAGGTTCCCCGAAGCGCTTCCGGATGCTTCCTGGGTGATCGAAATATGGAAAAATCGATGGAATTAATAATATTGATGAAAGACCTACGGAGAGATAAAGAAAATTAAGGAGCCCCAAGGTATCCGAGAATCATTTAAATTTCAGTTATTTAATTCCATGACAGCGATGACGGATTTCAATAATTAATATCGATCGCGGGAATTTGCGTAATTAGTGGCGATGGAACTCGATGATGATGTACGCGCGAGATGGGTCTCTCGAATATTAATGCAGAATTAATGGCGGATTTTTTTAATCGGTCGGAGGGCTAAATGGAAACATGGACGGGGATCGGTTTATCGGGATCGTGTAAAGTGAGTTCACGGATTCGAGAGGATCCTCGTAGATCACTGGGAGACGTCTCGAAGACGGTCGAAACTAATGCGTTCGTAAAACGATCCACGTTTATCTCGAATCTCGAAGCTGCGAGGCTTTCCGGGGCCCACGCAATTTCGAGAGAAATACGCGGCGGCTCTTGATCATTTCAAAATCCCGATTAAAGGGCGAATTTAATTGTCGAGAAATCGACTGCCGATTTCGAATAATCGCGATTAAAGGACGAATTTAATCATCGAAAAATCGAATAATCGCGATTAAAGGGCGAATTTAATCATCGAAAAATCGAATAATCGCGATTAAAGGGCGAATTTAATCATCGAGAAATCGAATAATCCCGATTAAAGGATGAATTTAATCATTGAGAAATTGATTAATCGCGATTAAAGGACGAATTTCATCATCGAGGAAATCGAATAAACGCGATTAAAGGAGAAAATTAATTATCGGAAAAATCGCCCCCTGATTTCGAATAAATGTGTCACTGTTATGTAGTGGATAAGAGATTGGATTTTTAATCGCGGTTGTCTACGTGGTGTTGACTCTTACATAGTTTTGTAGGATTGACATTTCCTGCAAGATCCTCTAGATCATGTGATCGAGTGGGACGCCGCGTGGGCGTGAGCGGCTCTAACGAAATGTTATTCATAATTTTTGCGAACTTGCACCTCCGTGACATGAGATGTTTCACTTGAAAAAATCATTTAAGGGGTATAGGGATGTAAATCATGGAGAATGCTCGCGCTGTCACGATCAGCTGATCGATGTACACGGAGGTCGTCGAAAATCCCCAAAGTCGACGACCTACGTCTACACCCAGGAGGCGAAGGGCGAAAAAGAGTAAAACGAAGAAATTACCATTGAAAAGTCATATATAAAAATGATAGAAGTGCAAATTATGTAGAACTCGCTCGCACCCTCACGATCAGCTGATCGATGTACACGGAGGTCGTCGAAAATCCCCAAAATCGACGACCCACGTCTACACCCAGGAGGCGAAGGGCATAAAGGATTAAAACGAAGAAATTACCCTTGAATGATGATATATAAAAACGACAAAAGGGGAACTTTTCGTGGAACTCGCTCGCACTCCCGCGATCAGCTGATCGGCGTACACGAGGGACGTCACCGGGCGTCGAAGAAGGCGACGCTTGTCCACGCCCAGGAGGCGAAGGACGTAAAGGGACGAAAGGGGAGGAAAGGGGCGAGGAGGTGAACGATTGCCCGGATCGGTGATAAAGTCGTCGCCTTTAGCACCGCGTAAGATGATACATCGGGCGGCGATCTCGGGCCCGAGATTGTAGGCACGCTCTACGGCCCTGTCCACCGTGCTCGTACACGGTCCGGCTTCGGGAACGGAACCGAGAGAGGAACACTCGCCAACCCGTTCAGATATTACGGTAGATACCAGCGACCTGGTGGCCACTAAATATCTCTTCTGGTCCTGCTTTTAAAAGTCCGCAAACTCGTGGCTCTCTCTAGCCGCGTCGGGATTCGGATCTCGCCGACCGATAGAGCCAACCAGTCCCGGACAAGTTAATTCCCCGGCAATGTTATTAGTTACCCTCGAGGATTTGTCTTCGAACGGTCCCTACCTTATCGATCGGCCCTTCGTTATCTGGACCCTTGGAATTAACTCCCCGAGAAAGTCATCGATTTACCCCCTGACGGATTTCTTCGTGCTTCGATTCCTGATCGATGCTTAATCGATGCCAGATCGATATTCCTCCTCGCGCAAGAATCTCCCTTTCTCTTTTTTCAATCATCGCCTCACACCTGCTCATAAGTGAGCCGATTTCGTTCTCATTCGTTACCGGTAATTCGAGTGACTTATTTGATAAATCATTATTAATCTTGTTTTTTTTTCGTGAATTTCCTCTGATAAAGCTGACGTTAAAATCCCGCGATTAATTTTTTTGTTATTTTTTTTTTCCCCCGGTCAATTACTACTTTTAATCGTCTTCGTGCATTTCCGCGGACGCTTTCGTTGGCGTCGGGACGGCATTTAAATGAAGGTAGAGGTGAAAGGAGGAATTTCTTTCTTTTTTTTTCTTAACTACGTGGGATCATCAGCGATAACGTAGTAATTAAATAATGATAAAATAATTAGGGAATTCTTGTAGGTGTGGTCGGAGGTGTCGAGGGTCGAGGAGGTCCGGAGAGTCGAGAGAGGATGCCGAGAGCCCGTCAAGGTGGACGAAGCTCCAGGATAGGGACCTCCGAGAGGAGGCGACGAGCTCGTAGGTGTTTCGGGGCCGTAAACGTCGAAGTTTACGCGCGACTCGATAAAACGCCAGGCGCGACGTGTAACGCGCGACGAGGACGCCTTCCCGTGGGACGTCTTCCCGTTCCCGGAGGAGCCGACCCGCGGGGAGGCCTTCTATATCGGGGAACCGACGAGGTGTAATTTGATTATCCGTCCCGGGCGCAAATTGCCTCGGTAACCTCTCTCGGGGAAGCAGGTTGGACTGAGTGGGCGGCGAGCCATTGCCTGGCGTTGCTCTTCCCCGTGGTCAATGACTCCACGTCGGGATCCCTGGATATTTATTGCGATCCTATTATATAGCGACGCGTCTCCACCCTATTTTCCGAGGATTCCTTCGAGGTCCTGTTGCGCGAAGGACCTTGGAATTCCCTTTCATCCGAATTTTCTGAGTCACCGTCCCCCGTGAAATTCCCATTGTTTTCTTTTTTAATGGAGAGAAGGCATGTCATTTTTGTAAAACAAACGTTGAAAAATGAAATTTCACGGGTGTCAGCGTCTTCTTCGTGGCCTTAGTGTTTACGTGGTCTTGGAGCGATTCGTGTAATATTTATGAAAATATTCTTTTTTTTTTAAATCTGGAGGACACGCGCTCCGAAATCCCGAAGGAATCCCATGGAATTCCCTGTCAGACCACCCACCACCTCCCATAAGTATGGCGCTAGGTGCTCGCACCGGTAAGACCCATAAATCCGGATTTTATCTCGATTGCGCACCGAGGCGCGAATGCGATCGCGCAATCCCGAATTTCGGCTCTCCTGATCCTCCCCGGGAAAGAGGGAGAGCCTCGAAATTGCGATTGTCCCTGAATTCGATTTTTTTTTATATTGCCAAATCAGAGACCAAGCAATTGTAATTACGCTAATTACCCTCGGAATTTCCATCGGGAGGCGGAATTTCCTAGTTTGGACCGCGAGTAACCGTAAGTCAGGATCGAGGGGGGTGATCTACGATCCTTGGTGATCCCTGGATCCCGGGATCGCCCCAGGAGGTCCAATCTCTCTCTTGCACGCTTCAACAACCTTCCATCCACCTTCCTGCCGTTTACGCTCGCCCACCGTGTGTCAATTAAATTTCGAAGAATAATTTGTGGACGTGCCCGTGGTAACGCGCGAGTACTCGCTGGTAAATAACGCGTATGTACGTCCATACGTTTTCTCACGTATGTAATGGAGTCGTCTCGACCCTTTCAAAAAGGGTTTATTAATGGTCGATTGGGAAATCATTGAAAGGAGATATTTAAAAAATGGCGGAACCCAACCAGCCATTAATCGCTACCAAAGGGTCGATAATTCGGCGGATTAATCGACGGTCGGGAGAAGGGGAGAAATTTCGACGTTTCGATTTTCTCGGGCAAATCTCGGAATTTCCCGGGGAAATTCGAGGAGAGGTAATGCGAGGAGTACCCGAAGAAATATCCCGCAAACGATGAATCCAATGGTGGCAGCGCGCTCATAAATTCCCGTGAACATGGAACGTGTATTTCTCATCTGGAAATAAGTCCTTACTTTGAAGCGAATTTATGGAGTACTTGGGATCGTGGACTTTACTTTTAGGGGGAACGTAATTAATAATTAATTTCATGGGTTTGCAGGAGTCGCGTGGGGTCGCCGACGATGTCAGCGACTGTCGCGGGCGCGCAACAGCAGCAACATCCCCATCAAGAGTGGGACATCAACGACTCGAATGTCCCCAGGGTGTGTATGGAAACTTTAGTTACCTATCAACCTTCTACCCAGACCAACCTTCGTCTAGGGAACTGCGGGGAAATCCCTTTTTACCTACGGCGACGTTTATTGCCGACTGCATGGCGGTTGTGGGGATGTCCAGGGATTTAGGAAGTGGCCGAAGTTATGGAAAATGTCGCCCCTCGGGGGTGGGAAAACCAAGATTTTGACAAAAGCTCAGGTACATGCGTAGAAGGGCCTGGCCTCGAGTGCATTCAGACCGTCTTAACGCCAGATTACGTTTCGATCCTAACCTAGGGCAACCCTAAATCGGATTACACCCCCTAGATAGGGTGGGTGGAATCGGCATTTTGTTACGTTTCTTTATTTCACAGTTTATTAATAAGAGGGGTAATCGGTGTATTTTATAACGTTTCGAATTTCATGGCCGATAAGGTGCATCTTGGAGAATTCATTCATCTCGTGGGTTTTTTCAGTCATGTGGATGGAATCGCGACATTTTGTGACGGTTTTTTACTTTACAGGTCGTCGAGTATGATCCTTGGTGCGAATGGGCGGACGGCCACGTGAGGAGAGTCTACGGTCCCGATTGCGAGGAGGCGAGGAGACACGCGTCCGGGTGGGCCATGAGGAACACCAACAACCATAACGTCAGCATCCTGAAGAAATCATGCCTGGGGGTGTTGGTATGCTCGATGAGCTGCGTCCTCCCCGGGGGAGGCAGGGTTCACCTTCGACCTGCTATCTGCGACAAAGTAATTAACTATATAATTAATCTAATCGCCATTTAATATCACTACACCCGTAAAAATGATTCCTGGTCCCTTGGCAAATTTAGAAATATTACTTTTCTATAAACAATTCCTTGATAATAATCATCGCTGTTGTCCTCGCCAGGCGAGAAAGAAGCAGCAAGGAAAGCCATGTCCGAATCGCCAGTGCACCGGGAGGCTGGAGATCCTGTCTTGTCGAGGCCACTGCGGATACCCCGTCACCCACTTTTGGCGACACACGGAACACGCGATATTTTTCCAAGCAAAGGGCCAACACGACCATCCACGACCCGAAGCAAAGTCCACCTCGGAGGCGAGAAGAAGCGTCGGAGCGGGGCGAAGGGTCCGAGGCCTGGCTGTCATCCTGAGGAGAGATGCCGCACTTAGCGATAAGGTATAGGATTTAAAAACGCTTATCTCTGGAATGGCCGCCATTCGGGGATCCGAAAGAAATCCTGTATCTAAGCCTGCCAGTAAAGTCATCGGCAGCGTTGCATAACGGGGAGACAGTTGTCCAATAAATAGGCACCAACGAGGGGCTCGGACTCTCACCTCGATACTTATGTAAATTCGCCTCTGAATTGAAAATCGAAGCCTTGGAAGTCCTCCAACTACGAGTGCGGATACCTGGAAAACGTGCCAAATTAAACGCTTGTGTTAATTTCCTCGGATGGATGAACTTTCTGAATCATTTTAATTTCCTTCATTTCCTTCATTTTCCAGATACTGTCCTTGAGAGGCACGAAGAGGCCGAGCGTGGAAGTCCTGGAGCAGCCGCAAAGGACGACGCAGCAGCCCATCCTCTCCGAGAAGGGTAAATCCTTCAGCGACTCTAAAGAAGATTCTAGGAGCTTATCCGTGGGAAATATGGGATTGAAAAAATAATTCCCTTTTCAGAGTACTCCTGCTCGTGTTCACCATTCGGCTGCGTCTGCGGACTCCAGACGAACGTCTCGTCCTACCAGCCGACACACCATCATCAGTCCACGTTCTACCAGCAGCCGGTGTCGAACGATTCATACTGGATCCAGGAGAACGTGTGCCACCAGGAGAACCCCTCAGGGTACAACATGACGGGCCAAGTCCCGCAGGAAGGGTCGTACCCTGAGTTTCAGTCCTTCTCGACCGGGGACCTCTTCCAACCTGAAGAGATCTTCCAGATGGAGCAACCCCTGCGCCCTGAATTCCCGTTGAAGGAGGAAGTAGCGCGTTCTCCGCCGACCCTGCTGGACCTGGGTAGCGGGACGATAAAGTACGAAGTGAAGCCTTGCTCCGACCAGGGGTACTGGAATCAGTTCCTCAGCGAGGACTCCAGCAGCAGCCATCCCAGTCTGCAACAGGACGAGCGACTTCAGTTTCCCGGATTCGAGTCCTCCGACAAGGACCTCAACAATTACCAGGCGAGGAGGGGATTGAACTCCTACCACGGGGAGAAGGATCCTAACCAGAACCACCATATGAATGACCATGTGAACTATGCCACATATCCTAGGTCGCAGGACCACAAGGACTACCAGCACCAGCCTCGGTACCATGTCAAGGAGGAGCAGGAACAACTCTACCCCGTGAAACACGAAGGTAAAGGACCCTTCGACGAACTGCAGCTTCCTCAACTGGCAAATCGTTTTCAAGTTGTATAATTTGACGCGATAGGCGGCATTTTGGCGTCGTCTTGATGAATACCATTTTCTTTTCCCCAGAATACTGGGTCCCGGACCAGGACGACCGGCTGCGTTTCCCGAATTTCGAGGCCATTACTAAGGACCCTGAAGACCCGCTGCAGGTGCAGCGTGCGGTGGAGTGTTTCCCCAGGTACGCCGAGCAGACGTTGCCGAACGAGAGAGCCTATCAGATGTACCACAAGCCCCAAAGGAACATCCTGACCGCAGATAGCCAGAACCTTGAAGAGGCTCTTCCTAGTCAGAGTCCCGCCGACGAGGTCGCTCCAGGATACGGCGGGTTCGAGGAGTATCGACAAATGGTGGAACCACCCGTGATCAAGCGATCCTCGAGCCCGTCCTCGCTGATGGCCCATCGGGTCCTGGACGAGCGATTGACGTACATTGGAGACGAGCGACGTGGACGACCTCTTCAGGACCGAGGGGAACCAACCTCGACCAACGGCGCGCCTACCCAGGGCAGTCCCGAGCCGTTTTTTTACGCTAATAACGAGAGGTGTCAGTACACTTGCGAGGCCCTGGATACGAGGGTGCCCCAGATGGGGCCGGCCCCAGGAAGTCAGGTCAATTACGAGGTCGGCGACCTGGAGGGGCCCTCCTTCATCGACTATACCCTGGTCGGCATGCTGTACAGCTCTGGCGAGGACGACCCGGCCTCGGCGCAATTACTCGCCAATTGCTCCCAGACCTACGTACCTCATCACTAGACAAGACATTTGTCCTCCTGTAATTCTGCGTTATAAATAAACCTAGCCCTAGGTGCACGCTCGCCGGAATAGGCGACTGTAAATAATTCGTCTCCTCGAGGAGGTCCGCTTTTCTCGAGATCACGCATCTCGTCCTATCTTTCGCGGGCCGTAGTTTAATCCACTTGCAGTCACCGATTGACTCGTAGATTTTAAAACGGCGATGTAAACCTCTTCCGAGGGGCGGCTACCACGTAACCGCAAACGCGGACTAGAGAATAAACGACGACCAATTTACGATTACCAATTAGGCAGTTTCTTAATCGGAGATATTTTCACAAATTCTGGCTCGCGCTGACAAAAATCGAGAGAGTTCTACATACACTTGTTACCAGAGATGAGTTGGGAGATTGCTCACGGGCTGGGTGGCACGATCGCATCCTGTGCTGCCCTCTGGTTTCGTACGATAGCTTTCACCGTTTTTTTCCCCCAAGGGCGGCGCAACGAATTTCTGGTAGGGCATCGCGCATTCGCGATGGCGGTGCCATCTACAAGTCGCCGTTGGCGGCTCACGTACCCGTATGGTAATACCATGCAGCAGTTGACGGTGGATTTTAATCCTCGGGAGGATTTTTCGCAGTATTCGACTCTCACATATACTCGTCGAATGTGGCGCCGAACGCACACATACAAAACGTCTCGACCCGTAGCTTGGCGCTTGGCTTGTTGGAACGCGCGAAGTTTCTAGGAGCGATCGCACTCACACAGATTCGCTGCATGAGAGTTCCGTACGCGACACCGACGCGTGCCCCAAAGCCCCGCATCACGTCTATTTCGAGGCAACAATGTACTTAATAGTAGTAAATAAGTAGATAAAGTCAAATGGAGCGTCATGAGTGTTCTTCCCTTACCATCAAAAGCGAGCAGTGTTGGTAAGCGTAGGTAGGCCACCACCGTCAACTGCCGCATGGTATTACCATCACGAGTCGTGAGCCGCCAACGGTGACTGGTAGATGGTACCACCATCGCGAGTGGTCGAGCTCCTATCAGAAATTCGTTGCGCCGCCCTTGGGGGCAAAAACGGTGAAAGCTAACGTACGAAACCAGTGGGCAGCACAGGATGCAATCGCACGATCCTGCCCGTGAGCAATCTCCCAACTCATCACTGACGTAACTGACGTTTCACGTGGACGAAATTCACTTTACCTGAATGAATTATTTATTGTCTATCGAAGCAGCCAATGATTGTCAATTCACCTTGGCATCTTTATCAGGGTAGATCTGGTTGAAATTTGCACTTCATTAATAACCGCTCCAAGGAGTATTATTTAAAGTCCTGTACACTTTACGTATAGAGACTGTGCGACTTATACCCAACTCATATTTGTTTGGCGCGAAACTCTGCCGAGTGTTTTCAGGGACACAAATAAGCAAGGTAGACAGACACCTCGATTGGACTCTTTATTTCGCAACAGATATTCCTGACGATCACAAATCCATAACTCGTTATGCAGAGATACAGGCGTATTTGTAGCGGTGTGTTCTCTCTCTCTCTCCTCCTCCCTTTCCTTGCATCTGTCCCTCTCTCGGTCGCCAGATCGCGAGACGTCTCCGAATGGGGCAAAGTAAAGGGCTGAAAAGATCGGCCCAAAGACGCGTCCCGGATCCCGTATTTTCTCCTCTTCCCGCGGGATCTCGGGCCTCTCTTCGGCCCTCCTCTCTTCCCTCCTTAGCCTCGAATCGCGACGCGGAACCTAACCTAACCCCTACGCGGAAAGACGGAATTTCGTCATCTTCGACAGATCTCGCCCTTAATCTAGGAAAAGAAAATAAAACTCCCGGTGTTCCTTATCGAGGCTTCGTCGCTATCGAGGAGATCGCTAAATCGAAATCGAGATTTGCTCTCTCTCTCTCTCTCTCTCTCCCCTGGAGACCCGAGGACCGACCCTCTTCGTCCGAGGATACAGGATAAATACAAGATGCGGAGGAAATTCCAAATTAAAAAATATAATTCTAATTATTATCCGCGTCGCACCGTGCAGGATCGTGGAAAACCATGAAATGAAAAACGCGGAGACTTCGACTTCACTTTTTAATTTTCTCCCTCGGTCGAGTGCACCTCGGAAAGTCGCTCTTCAGGGCTTCTTCGGGTCCCTTTTTTCCTCCCCTTGAAAGGTGGAAACATGTAATATCTTTATATCTTTTTATTTCTTTAGGAAACTCCTCTCCGAGGGCAACGGCCTACCGCGTTTATCTATTTGTTTATAATTATCTCCCTCGGCCAGCGCACTCGGAAAATCGCTCTTCAGGGCTACTTCGGGTCCCTTTTTTCCTCCTCTTGAAGGGTGGAAACATGGTAATATCTTTATATCTTTTTATTTCTTTAGGAAGCTCCTCTCCGAGGGCAACGGCCTACCGCGTTTATCTATTTGTTTATAATTATCTCCCTCGGCCAGCGCGCTCGGAAAATCGCTCTTCAGGGCTTCTTCGGCTCCCTTATTTTCCCTCCTTTTGAAGGGTGGAAACATGGTAATATCTTTATATCTATTTATTTCTTTAGGAAGCTCCTCTCCGAGTGCAATGGCCTACCGCGTTTGTCTATTAGTTTTTAATTATTTCCCTCGGCCAGCGCGCTCGGAAAATCGCTCTTGAGGGCTTCTTCGGCTCCCTTTTTTCCCTCCTTTTGAAGGGTGGAAACATGGTAATATCTTTATATCTATTTATTTCTTTAGAAAGCTCCTCTCCGAGTGCAATGGCTGACCGGGGTGTCCCTCTTTCTTTTTACTCTAGCGCATAATATTCTGTATATTCAATTCAGGGACGAAGCCGCGCCTTCCTGTGTGTGCGTACATCTTAATGACGTATCTCGTGACTGCTTTAATGTATTAATATTCCTACTTAGGCTACTCCTTCGTGCTAGACGGATGTACAAATTCGTGCTATTCGGAACTCCCGTGCAGCGCGACTTCGCGTTCCCTGTATACATATATTTTTTCTTCCCTCTCTCGCCCCTCAAACTCGAAAAAAATCAAAATCCCCGCGATTTCGGGCAATTTCCAAAAAAGACCCCCGGGCGCTTTATTATTCATCCTAACGTTAAAAATCATGCACCGGATTACCCGCACGTCTCGACATTCCCTGAAGTAATCGGATGCACTTCCAAGCCCCTTTATGCACGTCGCAAGTGCGCTCGGTACACATTATGCAGTTGCTCGTTAAATTTCGCTATAAATATCGTGAGTCTTACTATCTAGCATAGTGGGTGAGATCGAGGGATAAGAAGTGCATCCCTAATTGTCCCAGGTAACGTGCGGCAATCCTTGTAATTACATGCTCCCATTCATACCGTGCACTTGTCCTGCACTTGCGTGCACTTATGTGCCACCTAGAGATCCTGCACGGTGTCCGGCCACATTCTAGGCTCACAGTTATCGGTATTTATACAGAAATAGGTCCCTAGGTTCGGCTAAATTTCCATTTCCACGGTGCTGTGCATCAATCGAAAGTCGCTTCATCGATCGTCGACGCCGCTGGCCGATTTTTGCCCAGCCGGACCTCTTCGTCTCCTTTGACTTCCCATTTTCGCATATATCGATTAATCCGCGAAATCGGGAAATCGATATTTAACGATACCCCATATATCAGGCACGATCGCTTCCACGTGTATACATGGGAATACATAAAGTGTGTGTGTGTGCTTGGTCGCCGAAATACCCGCAAAAAGAAAAGCAAAGAAATCGAAAATCGACACAGATAGGTTTTATCATTCGCGATCGCGGTCGATCGAGGACATTTAAAAATTTTTTTTTCTTCACAGCGCTATCACATTTATCTCGCTCGTCGATTTTACGATTTTTGCTTTTCCCTCTTCCAAAGAACGTGCGAATTAATTTATGGAAACTCCACCGGAGTCCGGCCGGGCCTTGCCGAAGTGTTCGTGGCCACCATATAAAGAACGACTTCGGGCAATCGTAGCGGGGAGTATCGATCGCCGATCGATCGGATGAAGACTCGAAAAATCGTGGCGATCGATAAGTCTTAGCCTAGAGGGGAGTAGGGAAGAATAAAGAGATAAGGGTATATCCTTTAAAGGGGACGATTAGGGGGTGGAAATGAATTAAGTAATTGATCTTCAGGGCGTCAGAGGGCGGAAAAGGCCGGTCCCTGTTTCTCCAAATTTCCAGGATCAAGGATCCTCTCTTTTACGGGGAGAAAGTTGATTTTACTTAATGTGATCCTGCCGATATCCTTGACGATTGATTCGGAAAACCGAGTTTTCGGGGCTCTATGGTCTAGAACGAGGCTCTGGAGGTCTACGGGTCTAAGAATTATTTACTGGGGTCCTGGGGGGGGGGGGAGCAAGGACCTCCTCGGGACGAAGGACCCTCGCCACCCAGGATATATCAAGGATATGGACGACGAAGACGTTCTCGACAGCGATTCTATACACCGAGTGCGCCGATTTCTAGACTTGTGCGATCCTCGCTTTAATTTCAGATCCTTGGAAAACACTCGAAAATCATGTCCTGATACTTTAGAAATTTGTATGGATTTTTTTTTGCAAGAGATAGAGAGAGAGGAAGCGACGTCGAACGCGAGAGAGTCCTCCTCGTTTCCGCTGGAGACTGTAAAACGCCCAAAAATTCGTCGAAAGGCTAAAATCCGTAAAAAAATATGCGCATGTCGAGATACCCGGGGAATTTTCGATAACTAGACACTTTTTTCTCCTTCTTTTTTTTTTTTCTTCCGTCCGACATGCAAGATTATCCTCAGAAAGCGGACGGAGGACCTCGTCGCTCGACTTCCTTCCTCCTCTATTTTATTTCCTAGTTTTTCATTTCAGGACTTCGATTTAAATTCCCGAATGACTCTAAGGACGCGTTTGGAACATTGTCCAGGAATCGACGCATGGCCGTGCCGGGAATTTGACGGCTGCCGAATAACGCTCCTCGACGTTCTGGGAAACAGATCACACGGAGACTCCAATAAGGGCTCTACACTAATCACAGCTAATCGTACGAGATACTAAGCGAGCACGTGGCTCGCTGAAATGAGAATAATTAATGATAATTAAGAATTAATAATAGTAGAGTAGCTTAATCATAGTAATACCGTAGAAGGCCCTCGAGGTTGACACGAGGGCGTTCAGGAGTCGTACTAAAAAATCCTATCGGGAATCCCTCAGTGGAAGACGAGCCGGGAATTATTTTCCTCCCTCGAATCCCTCCGAAAAATCTAAACAAATAGGGAAAAAAAAAACGGTCTTTCAAAGAGCCATTTTCCGGGGATAATTCGAGAAAAGAGGTCTCGGCTCGCCGATTCTCGACCGTGTATGGTCACCGATCGCAGTGTATAAAAAGAAATCTTTACAATTAAATCCTACGTACCGAGCGCGCGCGCACGCGTCCGGCGAATTCAATTAATATGGACCGAAGGACCAGCTCGAAGGAGGCGAGAATTTTTCCACATACGCGAGAGCGTCTTCTCGTGCCGTGGGATATTTTTCCAGGGGTCGATCGAGCTCTTCGATCGGGAATAAAAAAAATTCATCGATTCGGGGCGACCGCGCGTGCGCGCGCCACGCAAAGGTCGCAACGCCCGGTGTCGCCGTATAAATAATTAACAGCGAGAAATCGCAAAAGCAGCAACAATGGCCGCTCCACCGCTTCCTGACTTTCGCAATTACGGTCGACGCCAGGTCGCGTCTCTTCGTCTTCTTCCGTTAATCTTACGTTTTTTCATTTTTTTTTTTTCGGTTCTCTTTCTTTCCAATTTTTGCATATAAAATCACAAAGCAGTCCCGTTGAGACTTCGCGAAGGATCCATCGTCAGGAAACGAGGAGATATATATATATATATAATAAATTTTGCGTCGTCCTCGCAGCTTCTTGAGATGTTCTCGACGATCGATGGAGGGATCGAAACCCGATCGCAAATCGATCGTTAATCGCTTGATCCGAGGCGAGGATCTAAATCGGCAATGACCGCCTCCGATTGGACCCTAGAGAAGGATCAAGCCTGCGAAATTATAATTCGCTCTCTTTCGCTGCGAGGACCGGAATTATAATAATTTCATCGCAAACCGACCACCTCAACGGGGACTAAGTCATTCGTCTGCGCTTTACACATCGCTAAAAAAAAAAAAAAAGGAAAAGAAATCCTCTCGCGTCAGAACATGAAAGACAAACTCGTCGAATTGGCGCTGTCGAGAGATCAGTCGAAGAGAAGAAACGACTCAAGCGGTGCTCTCGAAATACACGTATACGTATATACAAAAAATGAGCGTGAAGGGACGCTCTCTCGGTCCAGATTTTTGCGATTTTCCAAATAAATGCCTCCATTATGAAATTCCCTAGTTTCAACAAAATACATTTTTTAAACCGTAAAAAATTGAAGGTTCATCTTATTTACAGTTTCTTTTTTTTTTTTTTACAGACTTTTCCGCGGCCTAAAGTCTCCGCTCTAGAGGAGACTTATTTTTCTTTTTCTCTTGGCATCTTGTAAATATGTCTTTATCGTGCCGAAATCTCGATCAGACTACCTAAAGACGTTTTGTGATTTTCCAAAAAAAAAATGCCCCCGTCATGAAACTCGGTAGTTTCGGATAATACATGTTTTAAACTGAAAAAACCGAACCTTCACCCTATTTATAGCTTTTTAAACGTACTTTGCGCTCTACAGGAGACTTGTTTTTTTTCCTCTGTTTTCTTCCTTCGTTTCTTGTAAATATCGTTTCGTTATGTCGAAATCTGGACCGATCGAGGCGCTCCCTTGCGCGAAAGTATTAAAGTAATTTCCTAGCTGCTCGTCGAAGCTCCCCATTGATTATCTCCCATCGATTGCACGGCGGAGCCTCGCTTTTACAAAAGATCACCTTAAAGGTCTATGGTACCATTACGAATACATCTCGTACGCGAGAATATTGCACACTTCAACGTGTAGGTGTGTGTGTGTGTGTGTGTGATGGTCCCAGTATATACATACGCGCATATATACCGGTGTAGATGTGTGTCGTGTACGCGGTATACTTTTCATGAGACGCTTTTTTTTTCCACTTTTCTCTCGTTTTCCTCGGGTACTTGCCTAAACGTAAATCTACTTTCAGAGGAGACCGGACTCTCCAACGAGCCGAGCCTTCAATCTCGAAAAAGTCACAATTTCATCGGCTAGACGAACAAAGGGAAAGTCGCCAAAAACGCCGATTTTCCCCTTTTCGATGATGATCCAAGCTCGACTCGCCATCGAACCCGCTCATATCGCAGCATACAATTTCATTCTGCAAAAAACTTACGACTAAACTCTTGCTCTAGGTGGTGCATAAAAGCAGCGCGAAGAAGCCGACGAAGAAGAGCCGAAGGAACGTCCTCTTCAAGGTCTTCCTCGTCAACTTCCGGCGAGAAAACGGATGATGGGCCTTACAAAGGGATGGGAACTTCTAAAGCCTTTCGACTCTAAGGAAAGAAAGGAAAAAACAAACGATAGAGAAGAAGAAGAAGAAGAGGAGGAAAGGACAGAGAGGAAAGATCGAAGTGTTCGCGTTTACAGAGCAGAGAAGAGAGAGAAACGCGAATTGGAGAATCTAGAGGGGGGGAAGGAGGATAATGGAAATCTCGCGATACAGTCACAGCTATCCACAGCAATTCGGCAATTATGTTTCACTCGTTTAAAAATTATTTATATCACAATTAAACGCCTCGCACGCGGTTGGCCTCGGCCATGGCGTCACAACCGGGTGTTCCTCGTGTACTCGTTACACTAACCGCAAGATATTTCAGCGCACAGTACGCCTTCGTTATAACGTAGCTATACGCTCATTCTGGAGTAAGGACATTTCCTTTTATATATCTTTCACGTTGCATAACGTAGGTCACCGAAACGATGCTCACAGAAGACGATTTATGACGTCCGGGCGCGGGTTAAAATCGGCAGAACTCGCGTCAGTTTCATCTCGAGCCCGAAAAACGCGAGAAAAGTACCGATCTCCACTTAAGAATCGACTTTTGATTTAGAATTTTACATTACACCTTAGCCTTGGATCTTAACCTTTGAAATAATAATCCACCCTCGAAATAGACAAGATATTGCTGATAAGCGAAATGAAAGCAATCGCTTGTACCTTTCAACATCGACGAGACGTTCGGAAAGGACAAATTCCGCTCTTTAACTCTACTTAAAGAAAAAAAATCACATTCCCCTCAAAGTCGGTCTCGCTTAGAAGCGCTTTACGGAAATCAAGATTCATTCGAGCGGTCTTGGGTGTAATTTCAATCATACTCTAGTTACATCGACCGATTACAGTACGCTACCACGAGGTGCTCTCCACTACCGGTTGGATGGTAAATAATTCTCGCTTTCCGGGGAACTTGCAAACTCCAATTCGATTAAACAGGTCCCTCGAGTGGCCTAGAAGTGTGAGCTAGCGGTACTCTACAATTAGACCGTTTATATCCGTCTAATGTATGCAAGTACTTGGACATTGACGCACCTCCGACAACGATCGGACTGACCAGCGTGCTCTTGTTGCGACGATAAAAAAAAATAGTAAATCAGAGAAATATCGGGTCTGAAGTAACCGGTGATCGATTGTCAATCGACGATCAATCGCACGCAGTGTAATTTAACGTTTACTCGCGGTACAATTTAACGTTTAATCGCGGTATAATTTAATATTCAATCGTGGCATGATAGAATGACTCCACTCCAAGTGGCAAAGAATCGGAGCTTGTGAGTTGGGTCCACAGAATTCGACATTAAAAAAAAAAAAAAAAGAAAATGTTCTCTACATCCCCTATATAATTGCTCGCGTTATAACGGGATTGTACTGTACTCTTAAAGTTAAGAACAAAATAATGAAGAATGACCACCAATCGAGGTTCTCGCGAATTTCCGCCTCTACGTGTCCCTTCGACGTTTCCTCTCCTGATCAGTCTTCAAGGTGCTTCTCGAGGTGTTCTTCGCGTAACCGATAGTCGGCGCGATTTCCAAAATACCGTGAGACCGGATCAGAAGAGTGAACGAAGACTTCTCTTCCCCTCCCTCGCCTTGTCGAGGCTCTCCAGCGTCTTCTTCAGGGCTTCTTACAGGGCGAGGGACGAGCTGCCTCCTCCAGGCGCGAGTTCCTGAAGAGGGTCCTTCTCCAGGGACGAGGTTTCCTCCTTGATCGATTTCTCGAATTACTGCTCGATGCTCCTGCAAACCGCTTCGATGTGGTCCAGGTTTCCAGTCACCGGCTTCAACCGAACCCTGAAGAACTTCGTACCTTGCGGCACTTTGTACCGATTTCCAGACTGCGGAGAAAATTGAAGAACGATCGTTAACCACTTTTCCGATATACAGGGTGTCACAGAAAATAGTGGAGAACTCGCTTCTGGAACATTTCCAGTGTTTACCCAACCCTCGAAAATGGGGTGAAAAAAATCCTGCGCTATTGTTCTCCTCAATGTTATAGATGAACCATGAAATTAGTCCTATTTAACGTAATTAATCATTCAATTAATTATTACAGATAAACCATGAACTGTATGTGAAAAAAAAAATGTTTTCTTTCTACCATATAGAAGTATAAACCGCGTCTACCGTTTTCTGAACACCCTGAGGAATATACGGACACCCAACAACACCCACCTTCTTGGCATGGCAGTACTCCTTACTGACAACCTCGCCGATGGTGGCGAGGCGTACTGGAGGCCCGCCCGGGACGGCCTGGAGTTCCAGCATCGGCATGGCCTCCGGGTTCATGAAGTAGAGGGTGATGGTGTCCAGCAAAATGGTGTAATTCTCGTGTAGGGCGTCCCAGTAGACCGAGACGATGTCCCCAGGATTGCAGCGAGTGAAGTTGACGCGACCGAAGCTGAAGAGATAATCGGGCAGGTTGGCGAGCCTGTTCCTGACCATCGCCTTGACCAAAATCGGCGACATGAAAAAGTGGCTCCTAGCAGATGCCGGGTCCTCCCCTCGGGCTAATTCCGAGCCAATCGCGGGTTCCTTGCTGACGGAAGGCTCGAAGATGACCGAGACGGAGGCGCTCATCTCCTTATCGCGACCCTCGGTGGCGGAAGTCGGGGTTCCATCCGCGACCAAGTCCCTTCTGGACCTCTCCTTCACGAGCTCGATCTCCAGGCGCACCTTGTCGTCCTCCAGGGCCATGACCTTGGCCTCGGCGGTCTCCTGGGCTTCTCGGATGCTCTTCAGCTCGGCATTCAGCCTCTTATTATCAGCTTCCAGGGCCTCGAGCTTCCTCGAGAGACAAGCCGGGTCACCAGCGGCCTCCAGGCGCACTTTCTTCGATTCCGAGACCTCGGCCTCGTCGCTGTTGCTGTGCATCTCCAGCTCTGCCTGGTCCTTCTCTGCCCCCAGGCCCTTCAGGGTCTCCTCCAATCCAGGACCAGCTTGGCTCGCCTTTTGTCGCTTCTCGCTCAACACTTGTCGGAGTCTCCCTCTTTCCGCCTCCAATTCTCGGATGCGGCTCTCCCTTTGTTCCAGGATCTTCCACTCGGCCGCCATCTTGGACTCCAGCCGCAGCTTGTCCGCCTCCAGGGACTTGATCTAGAAGTGAAACACGGTTTTAAAAATAACACCCGGATAGAGACCAGAATTCCGGTTACTCTGACTGGGTTGGATCGTTAAATATGCCCTTACCGTATCTCTGGATAAATCTTTTAGCCAGGTGCACGTGGTTGCGTTAACCGGAACGCTTTTTGATTGCAGGGTCTTAGCTAGATACGTTATTTCCTGGAGGTCCTCAACCCGTGACTCTAACTGACTGCGTACCTTTTTCCCTAGACTCTGTTTCATCAAGCTCTCGGACTCCGTGAGCCGTCTGATGGTATCCCTGTATTTCTCGCACTCCTCCGTCAGAGTAGTCACCCTCAATTCCTGGAGATCCATGCGATCTTTCTCCTCGGCGGCGCTCATCACCGCCTGGTTCAAGATGGCTTGCCTCTCGGCGTCGTTTCTCTCCCTAGCGATTTTCAGCTCGTGATCCAACTTGGCGGCGCATTTGCTCCTTTCCTTCTCGATCGCCGCCACGATGGCTTGCGACTTCTCGGTGTTCATGTCCTCCTTTAACTGCGCGATAATGGCCTCGTGGTTCGCCCGTTCGATGACGTCAGATCGCTGAAACCAGAGTAGACAAAAATCAGGATCTCTTGTACAGGATAAAAATGAAAAACTCGTGATTTCCTGTATAGCGTAAAAATAGAAAAAATCATGATAAATCATAAGCTCGTTTGATTTGAGTACCAAGCGCTTTACCTCCATCTTATCCATGCTAGCCTCGTTAAAGCTCTTCTCCATGAGCTTGAATCTGCTGAGGATGGTCGGCACCTCGAGCTTATAATCTATCAACAGCTTGTCGGTGGCTTCCTTGACCATCTTCTCCTGGTCCGCCCGCGCAGCAACCAGGCTGGCCTCAAGTTCCTGGACCTTTTCCGACCGGCGAAAGAGCGACTCCTTAAGCTTGAAGACCTCCACGATGTGTGCCTCGTTGGCCTCCTTGATGGCGTTGATCTTGTCCTCCTTGGCTTGCTCCAGGGCGACGTTCAGCGACCCCAGACAGGACTGCAGTTTCTGCACCTCCGCCTGCTCGGCCTCCAAATTCTGTCTGATAGTGCCCACCATTCTCTGATGCTCCGACAACTCCGTGTCCTTCTCCAGGATGGTCTGCTTCATGGTCCTGATCTGAAGGCACCACATGTCGGTATGTAAATTGCGATTTGTCGGTAGAAAAAAAAAAAAAGAAAGATATATCCAAGACCATGATAAGGTCTTAGACCGTGATCCTCACCTCCTCCTCGCGGCTTCGAATGGTCTCCTCCAGGTCTTCCAGTTCCCGCTCGTGGTCGATGATGAAGTCTTGCTTGAACTTCCGGAAAGCCCACATGCACTCCTCCGATTGTATATCCAGAGCTCTTCGGATCTTCTCTACCATCTCGTTGAAGTTCTTCCTTTCCAGGTTGGTACTTTCCCTGATGGCAGCGAGCTCCTCCCGAAGAGCCGGCAGAGTTTCGCAAGCCACGGCCTTAGTCGTCCTCAGGAGACCCTGAAGACGCTCCACTTCCCCACGGGTGTTGCCGAGATTCTCCTAAAACGTCAAACGTCAAAATCTGTCCCCCACCTGATGTCGCTCTCCTCTTCGGAGGGTTTGCGCATTGTCGCAACGTACATTCACGACATTACACTTCGGTACTTTACAAAATCCACGCATCTCCGTTCTGAAGGAATAAAGAGTCGATTTAAAAGATAAATAAATAAATACTCATCGCGTCGTAAATTCCCGAGTTTATCATACAGATTGATTATTACTTTACTTTAAATGGGTGTACCGAAACGATTCAAACTTTACAATATATACATGAAGGGTATAAAGGTACTGAAGCTCACAAGTTTCGATTATTTTTTTTTCTCTAATTTGTTTATAGATATTTAAACAATTTATTTTTTTAATTAAAAAATGAAATTTCACTGGTGTCAGGGCCTACCTTATGGCCTCTATATTCACGTTGTAAAGCTTGAAACCCTCCGTTAAGTTACTCGATAAGGAATACGTATCGTGCAACATGTGACATGAAAAAAAGTTATGTTAAATATTAAATTGATTATAACGGGTAGAGTTGAGTAGATAAGACGTGGACTCGAGTTAATATAGACCTCGACTTATCGGCTCCCAAGGGGATGAGAGGCATATGTCATTCGTTATCAAGTTAATTACATCGATATTCATTCGACAACGGTTAGGATGTAAACGAGCCGAGCGATGTCAAGAAAATGTGGATATTGTCGTGGGAGAGATTAAGGGGAGAGGGACTTGGGATATCGGGTGCGACGGCAGCTATCCTGAAAAGAAAATTTCCGGGATGTAAATAAGGCACAGCAGGAACCGACCACCGGGGCCCCGAAAGGGTTAACAAGCAGTAAAAGTTAATTAAACACCGAGATATCGTTATTTACTACGGACTGCATACTCACGTGCCAACCTACTTCAACAAACGATAAGGCGTAATGCAAAATACCTAAAAGAAAGATATTAAAAAAAAAAGTAAAAGAAAGAACGAGCATAAGAACACCTTCAAGCTCTTCAAGTACAGCGAGTAAGCTGAAGGATCGACCCGTCGAGTGGTGTGCAAGAAAAGAAAAAAAATAGAAAAAATTGCAACATAAAATCAACAATTCCTGTACACTTAAAGTCGTCATTAACATAGTAAAAGGTGTAATCGGAACGATTTTTCGTGCATACCACTCCTCGTTAAAAAACAAACTGGTGAGGATAAACGATATTGAGGAATTATGAGGAACAAGAACCTGAAACAAAGAGATGAAGATTAGTAGGAAGACGGAAGACGTACAAATTCTGTGCGAAAAAAGGAAAAGGTAAGAAACCGGAGAAGCGGATCCGTTAAAGGAATCTGAAATAGTTGGAAATGCAAGAGAAAAGGAAAAAAAAAAAGAGGAACCAGTGCAGCTAGCAAGAGTACGAAAAATAATTATTAGAGAAAAGTTGCCGGAGAGGGTGGGATGATACTTAAATTATATACAAGTTCGCCTCTGGATTTAAATGCACTAGTTGCACCTTGAAGTATCTCAATTCTAACTTCAAGTACAACACGGTGACAGCTGATTAACCATTTAAACCGAGGAGGAAATTCAGCGTAATAAATGTAACTAATCCTGAAGACCAATACGAACGTATTGTCTGAATCTTAGCGATAAAATATACGAAGCGAGCAGAGGGAGACAACGGAAGAGCGAGAGGTCCTAGGACTACATTGATCGCTGACGTAGTCGTCCAGTACCTGAAGAAGAGAAAAGATAGCCTGGTGTTGCGAGTCCTCAGGGTGCTCGCTGAGGCTGCTGGGCAGAGACTCGTCCATGTAAAACTCGGTGCCTACGAAGTCGGCAGCATTGGAGACCCCCGGGCTGCTACCGGGGCTACCGGAAGCGCGTCCCTGGCGAAGCTGCTCGCCGTCGCACACGGGTCGAGTCGTGGAAACTGGGTCCGGGTTTCGGTTGGGAGGAAACGTAGAGGAGGGTGTCGGGTTCTGGCGGGTTCGCGAGCGGTCGTTAGCCCTGGAGGAGGCCTCCGGGTTCTCGGCGCACTCGGCCAGCGGGCTCAGCTGCGTAGGGCGCTCCCCGGAGAGGCTGGGGAAATGGAAGGAGCCGGGCTCGCTCGACGACGAGGAACGATTCAGACAAGGGTCGGCGATTTTCGAGCTGATCGGCGAGGCGTTAGTCGAGGTGGATGAGGAGGGAGACGATGATCGACCAACCTCCAAAGGCTTCTGGCGACGCTGCTTCCCGCTCTCGTAGGAGGTCAGCTTCGAGTCCGCCGTGGCCTGGCTGATCTTCTCGAACTCCTCGGTGTCGGTCTCCGACTCGAAGCCGCCGCTGGGGGAAAAAAAAAAGGAAAACAAGGATTAGATGCCTTCCTCGGCCCGAAACCGCTACTCCACGTAATATACATTCAAAGGACATGAGTTTACCGGTCCCCAAGTGTCGGCGGGCCCTCTCGTTCCTGGTCCTTGGCGGCCTCGTCGGTGTTCTTGTCCTTCTTGTCCTCGCTTCCGTCCTCGGTGAGACTCTTCGACAGGAAGAACCGGGTGATGCCGTCCAGGTCTGGCGCCGACAGCGCCAGCGCGAGGTCCGGGATCTGCTCTTTGAGGGAGTTCATGTCTTCCACCGTGAGCTGGGTAAAGATCAAGTTGAAATTCAGATACAAGGCAAACTCAGAATTAAATACAACAGGTGGAAGTAGATCCGATCGACCAACCTTAGGCAAGTCGGCGTCGAAGACGGACGGAGCTTGGGTGGCGAATGGCGGAGGAGTGTCCTCAAGGCCCGGGAACAGGGTGTTCAGGAAGTGGCCCTCGAACTTGTTCTGGAACTCGCGTCTCCTGGCCAGCTCGTCGCTGTGCACGGTCAGGAGCTGGCAGGCGAGATTGCTAGCCCAGACCAGGAACGCCTGGGAGAAGATCCTCCGTCTGACGACCTCGGCGACCGCGTTCATGTACATTTGCGGAGCTAGGTGTATCTGTTGAAGGACTTCGAGGTGTCGCCTGAGGCGCTTCAGGCTCTCGTGGTACATGACCAGCTTTCCGTCGACCTCCATCATCTTGTTCTCCACGTACGTGATCCACTTCAGCCTGTGGTAGATGTTCACCGAGAGCTCCTCCTTGGCCTTGGTGCACCTGCGCCTGATGTCGCGCAGCTGGTTGTGGTTCTGCAGCATGACGAGAAGCTGACGACGGTGGGACATGCAGAGATCCGGCAGAACGCTCGCGTCTCCCAGATTATTCGCGCGGTTCTGGTTCTGCAGGAACCCCTGGGCGAGCTCGCCTTGCTCCTGGACCAGCTTCTTTGTCTGCGCCATCAGTTGCTCCAGGGCGAAAAGGCGCTCCCCCAGGCCCTTGATCTCTTTCATGTCCTGCTTGTTCGCCGCCTCGACCGCCGCGTTCACCTCCGTCTTCAGGGCCTCCATGACGCGCTCGTCGAACTGCTCCAGACCCCTGGAACACTGCTCCGCGACCTGCTCCAAACTGCTCTGGTTGTCCTTGGCGGAGATCCACTTCAGCAAGCTGAGCACCTTGTCGCTGCTAGGGCTCTCCTCCTCCGAGGGCATCTCTTCAAGGCTGAGGAATCCCTCGGCCTGGGCTCGCAAAGCGGGCAGAATGGGGATCTTCGACAGGGTGCCCAGATCGTTGCTGAAGCTGCAAGAGTATTCCAATTACATTAACCTCTATCTCGCTCTTTCACCTACACTCCTCCATGTTGACGAGTAAAAAAAAATGTCCATGTTGACGAGTAATCAAAAATCCCCAAAAAATCAATTTTTCCCCATTACATGCGGGGCTGATGAAAAACGTAATTTCTTTACATGATCAAAAATCATTGGTTTAAACAAAATATATGTACGGTCTTTGGAATTATTTTAAGACCCACTTGTCGAGGAGCTCCATGTGCTGCTGCCTCTCGGCGAGGTAGAGGGAGAAACTCTGGTGGAGGAGATCGGCCCTCGACTGGAACATCTGGGTGATGTCTTCGAGGTTGGCGACCACCGCCGCCCATCCTTGCTGCTGGAGATGCTGATCGTGGACCAATCTCTCGCAGATCCTGGTCTGCTCCCTCGCCAAGCCGCAGCACTGCTGAGCAAGCTGAGCCCTTGCGACCAGGGTGTGGTAGGTCGCGGGCATCGCCAGCGACGCGTCGATCTGACTCTGAAGGTCGACATCTGCAAACGTCAAAGCGAAATTAAACCTACAGCATTTTCCGATCATGGCCCAAGCCCTTATACAAAAATATACATTCCCATATCCAACAAGAAGTACACATAATAAAATAAGAATATATTTACACGTCGCAACGCGCCAATATATACCATGATTACCTAAAAATTGTAAATAAAATCAGGGTTTAACCAGTACCGAAAAACCTAGCTCCACACAGTACATCGCAAAATACACGTAATAAGTCTGTAATAAAATGTGACAGCCTCAAGAAGAAGGAAGGAACAATTAAATAAAATAAAACACGAATCCAAAGAAGCGAACAACGCATACGATCCAACTTAAAATAAAAAAGGTCCACGTAAAATCTGGAGTTACGCAAACGTCCCTCCCACCAGGAGCCACCCACGTGGCCGCCGAAAGGTCAGTCGGGCGGACGAAGAGAAAAACAATTCGCGAAAGTTTACAAACAAGGGATTATATATAAAAAAAAAACGCATCCTTGGCCGGAGGCGTTGGCTCCGCTCCTTGGTCGGGGGTCAAGGCCATCGACCGAAGACGCAGAACAAGTGAACAAATGAACAAGTGCATCCGAAATCCGGTGCGCGTCCCGGAAACGCGTGATCGCGCCACGTTTTCTTTTTTATTTTAATTTTTAATTTTTCAATCGGGTCACGGGATGATCCATGCATAATCGATCGGCGCATAATTGCTCGACGAGGGGAGGTCCCCCCGCCGGCGACGAGGTGCGTGTTTCCGCGACGGAAGCTCCGCCGACCTTGCGGTTTCCGCGGCGATTAAGCGCGAGGGGATGCTTTCGGAGCGCCGCGAAATTCCGTTGCGTAATACCCGCGAATTAATGACGGGTTACGTCAGACGGTTCGTATCATCCTTCGCTGATAAGGGTTCACTCGCGGAGTATCTTTTTCTCTCTCTTTCTTTTCTTTTCTCCGCTCCGAGACTCCAATGAAATTTGAGGTTTTCTTGAAAAACCTACCTTCGCAATTCTAAATTGAGATCAGAAAATTATAATTGGAGTTGAGGTTAAAAGAAAAAATCAAAATTATCACAGGAGGTTCATATCATCCCGCATAGATAATAGGACAAATCGAGGAGTAATTATTCTGAAATTAAAAAAAAAAAAAATCTCATTTAAAATAAAAAAAATAAAAGAGTCATGCGTTTCAAAGCTCCAATATGAGGTTCTAAAGTCAGGAGAGATTCATATCGCCGTCCGCTGATAAGAGTAGAAATCGCGCAGTCATAACCCCGAAATGACTAAATTCCAAAATTCCCGAAAGAGATTAAAAGAAAAAATTGTGATTAAACTCGAGGTTACAAAACAGAGCCGTTCATCTCCTCTCGGAACCACGGACTCGAGAATCCCCATAAAATCCTAAAATTAAAGGAAGATAAATCCTGGTAATCGAGGTTAGAAAATCGGCATATATCGAATCGGAGGTTAGAAAATTGGCATATATCGAATCGAAGGTTAGAGAATACCGCGGAAGCGTCTCCGGCCCCTTAGGATATACACGTATCTTGTGACGTGCACCTCGGTATATTTTTAACGCTCTTTCAGCCGCGGTACCGAGAATTTTACGCGCAACTGTGTCAACTATATTCCGACTGCACGTGTGCACGCGACGCTAGGCAGAGATGCAACGGGTGCAATGGATATGCAATGGATTGCACCGAGGTCGGCGCGGATCCTCGGCCGAGAAGGAGACGCGCCACGCGGTCTGCGGATCGACAATCGACTCCGATTTAAATATCGCCAGGGATTGAGACATAAACTAGCTCTCCTCTGGTCGATCGAGTCGCCCCTCCCACGTGGGGGGATAATTCTCATAGATTTATGCATTGCACTTATCGCCCCGTCCACCGCGTCGAGTCTCGATAAGGACTCGCCGATAGGATGACTTTTTCTACGCGCCGCTATTAATTATTGATGATCAATCCGACGTACTCGTGGAAACCCGTTTACGCCACGGCGAGGTTAAATCGAATGCCGATCGATACGCATCGATTCCCATCGGCGGTAATTCAATGCGGGATCTCCTTGCAACTGCAAGTGCAAACCACTGTGCACACGGCTCTGTCTAATCAGCCATGACATGAATAAATTCGACCCGCGACCCAAATCAACTGGAAATTGTCATTTGATCTTCGACCGAGCCTAGATTACCGAACGAAATGCGATTCCGAAAATGAGATGCCGAAAGGAAAAAAAAAAGAAAAATACATAGACGTAGATAAGGATATACAGAAATTTCTTATTACAAGAATCTACTCAAATCGACTCGAGATTGTCACTCTATCTCCGATGGGGGGAGTCCGTTATCCCTAGATGGAACGATCGCTCCTTATGATTTTAATAATAAAAAATAAATAAATCAATAATTAATGTACACATACAGGGTAATTAAACTTCTTTTACAAACGCCTAGGGAGTTTTTTTCCAGTAGGAGAAAATTGCCATCGACGATCTCGCTACAATGCCAGAATCTACACGTTACATTACCGACACGTGTCGCAAGGAGTCTTGTCATCGTCCTATGTAAATTTCCTAGGTATGATCTCAACAAGGCGGTGCACGTGGCGCATCGAAGGTGCGTAATCGAGACGTGAACAGGTCTCTCGAATCGATTACACGGAGGCCATATCGGATCGCAATTACGAGCGTAAAAGGGGAAAAAAGAAAAGGAGGGAAAAGCTTCTAAAATGATTTCGCCCCCCTCGTTCGAGGTGCTATCACGGTTTGCGGAAGTCGATCCCGCCGATAACGATCGTCTGTCGGCTGTTAAGCGTTATCAGGGTCCACGTAAGGACCCTTGTCACGGATTCCAAGCCCGAATGCCGGACAGACGGATTATCCGGTAAGGTTGCAACTGAACGTCGGCGATACGAGAATGCTTAATCGGCCGTGGCTTCAATAAAGCCGATTCACGACTCAAAGTGGCCCGAGATTATCGCCCGATATATACGAGAACTGGGTCAGAATGTCGATCCGCGATGTCGGATGTTCAAAGTCTGGTTTGGTCTACGAGTTGCCCCGAAACTTTTTCTTATCAAGTCTCCGGGGCACGCTTCTTCATCGTCGAGATTTAAAATCCACTATTACGAACTAGTGACGAGCAAACGCAGGACTTTACTCTTGATCTTGGTCTTGACAATGATCTTAACGCTCAATTCGAGGAGCTGTTCACTCGGTAATCGAAGACAAGGATTTTCCTCTTTATAAACCGATAACCTTCGATCATAATCGATAGATAGCAATGCGATTGAAGTATTCCACGACAATGGACGATCGGCCATAAATTCCTGGCCACTTCCAACAATTTCCAGTTAATTTACAGCCGATTTCCGATAATTTCGAGCATTAAAAAATCCACAATCCCTCGAACAACCACTCGGCATATATCTCGGCCCAGCATCGATACACAATACCCGCTGACCATACAAAAAAAAATAAATAAACCTTATTTTACACCCACACAAATCCCAAAGTTTAAGGATGAAGACCGCCAACTACTTCTTCGCGTTCCCTTTAAACCGGAATAATTCTGAGCTTCTCTCCACCAGCTCTCGATTTTCAGGCAGTGACGCCAGTTTCTCGCCAAACCAAGACCAGGACCAAAATTTGCTCATCACCGATCCGCCCTGGACCTCGAGGGGCACCCTGAAGAGTGACTTCTGGGAGGAAGAAGTCGCCTCGACCGCTGGAGAAGCAATCGCGTTTACGAGGTCGAAGTGGCACAAGGAGACCTCGTTAATATCTCGCGATTCCCTCTTGAAGAAGTACGAGCTAGAAGATACCAACTCGTTGCCGGGTCACTGCAAACAAGGTCCAGATAGGAGGAGGGGAAAAAAAACGTCCGAGTGTACGCACCGGAGCCGTAGTCTATGCTGGGCGTGGGTGGATGATGGCTCTCGATGGCTGCTTTGCTGAAGAGATAGATCGGATTGGTGTCAGTCCCTGCCGAGTAGGAGCAAACGCGAGCGTTGGGTTCCAGGCTCTCGCCTCCGCTCATCAGCAGAACCTGATGAGCAGCCACGACTCCACATTCCCTCTCGATCGCTTCCTTCAGCTGGGAGACGCTGCAACAAGCCATACGAAATTACAATCAAGTCATCCAGGACGAAATTGCATTACTCCCTCGCCTCAAATTACAAAAAAAAATATATATATAGGAACCATAAATAATAAAAAAAGTAAACCAAGCTAAACCTGACCAATCGTCAGCGTGCCAATGCGACGCCTCAAAATGACAAAATGCAATGACGTCGTTGTTAATCAATCGTTACCCCACCCCCCTAAAATACCCTTAATTTAAAAAAAAAATCATTTTCGGAGTATAGAGCTGAAATGACATTTTTTTTAAGGGAAGTCTAAAAATGTTTATAAATATTGGGATAGAGATGGAAGTACGGAATTCTTCTTCTTTCTTTCATCGGGAAAATATCGTGTACGGTGTGATACAAATGGTATCGCGTTTTTTTTTATAGCTCTTATCTATTTGTTATCTCCGTCGCTTCCCCATTCGTTCCCGAAAATGTAGGATATCGTGAAATCCTTATCCCTCTTCGAGGTGCACATCGAGTCCCGTTACCGCGATTATGGATTTCAGGAAGAGAGAAGAAAATCCCAAGCAAAGGCCGGAGGAGGGCAGGCCACTAAACCGGCCTTAAAGGAGGGAGGAGGAAAATAGAAAAATAAAAGGAAAGAGGCCTAGGCGATATCCCGGGAGGTTAAGCACCTCCTCGGGTGCCCTAAAACCTTTTTTCGGCCTGAGGTTTTATGGTGCTTTAAATTGACCTTTCTCCCGAGCTCCGAGAACCAGTTCCCCATTTCCTCCTCTTAAAAAAAAAGAAAGGGAGAGGAAAAAGGAAGAAACTAGAGGAAGAAAAAAATATGAGAAGCAACTATTTCCCCCGTACAGAAAAAACCACGGCTTTACATAACCGTTATCCTCGGTATTTCAGCACGTTGCATATCACGTTGTGTAGGCTGAATACCAAGAAATAAATGATCATTGCAAAAAGTGCGATCTGGAAGGTGTCCTTTTTCTTGTCTTCTTTTTTGTAGTTCTAGTATGACCAAGTATTTTTTGCTTTCAGCGAATTCGTCTAAGGTCGCCGATTGCGCGGGCGATTGAAATCGCAACTCGAATTAACCAAAGTTTAACTGTTTTACGCGGTTTAAAGCGGCCGTGAACCAATTAAACTTCGATTAACTCGAATTTTGGAAACGGGCCTTGTTCGATAATATGAGTTTTTCGTGGCGAACGGTGGAGTTTTAGTACCCCATATATCTTTATTATGCATTTCTTCCAGGTTTTGCAGCAATGAATCCAAGAGCCAAGCCGAGAGTACCGAAAGAAGCGAAAGTGGATAATTAAACTTCGGTTAACTCGAATTTTGGAAACGGGCCTTGTTCGATAATATGAATTTTTCGCGGCGAACGGTGGATTTTTAGTACCCCATATATCATTTTTATGCATTTCTTCGAGTTTTCGCGGCAATGAGTCCAAGAGCCAAGCCGAGAGTACCGACAGAAGCGAAAGTGGATAACTAAACTTCGGTTAACTCGAATTTTGGAAACGGGCCTTGTTCGATAATATGAATTTTTCGCGGCGAACGGTGGATTTTTAGTACCCCATATATCTTTTTTATGCATTTCTTCCAGGTTTCGCAACAATGAGTCCAAGAGCCAAGTCGAGAGTACCGACAGAAGCGAAAGTGGATAACTAAACTTCAGTTAACTCGAACTGTGGAAATGGGCCTTGATCGACAATATGAATTTTTCGTGTCGAACGGTGGATCTTTGGGACTCCATATATCTTTTCCATGCATATTCTGGAGTTTTTGCGTCAATGAATCCAAGAGCCAAGACTAGAGAACCGAAAGTGGATAATTAAACTTCGGTTAACTCGAACTGTCTAAATAGGCCTTAATCGACAATATGAATTTTTCGTGTCGAACGGTGGATTTTTGGGACTTCATATATCTTTTCCATGCATCTCTTCGAGTTTTCGCGGCAATGAATCCAAGAGCCAAGACGACGAGAGAGCCGGGAGCGAAACGAGAGGGGATAATTAAAGAGAGGCGAGAAACGAGGCCTCGGCTACGAGGCCGACCCGCTTTTCAGCGCGATCGTAAATCGCAAATCGCCGGATGGTGCCTTTTCCCCCGGGTTTCCCCTTAAACGAGGATCCCGCTTTTCCGAGCGAGCGCGTCGCTTTACATTCGCCTCGGTCGCCCCCGAAAAGAGAGCCGTTCTCGAGATGCTCGATTTCCAGCGAAATATATATATTTTTTTCTTTATCACGATCCTGTCGCGGGCAAATTAAAACGAATAAAAAAAAGAAGTTCGAAACCGTATTCTCGGTAACGCAACAAATAGGGAAAATCCACTCTATTTTACCTTAATCCCGGCGATGATCCACGAAGAAACTTCGCCGCGTGAGAAATTTCAATACGAATTTATTTATGTAATTAATAAAACGTCAAGATAGATTGTACCATCGTAATAAAATTCTCGGAGTTTGGTTAATGTCATTTTGGAATTTTTTTTATTTTATTTATATTATCCGGGATTTTTATGGGTATTTGTACGAGGGAACTCGGGAACATGGCGATTTCGTTGAAATTCAAGGAGAATAAAATTCCCCCCTTCCCCCCCGACGAGTGCGCGGCGAATCATCGTTCGTTGTCCTCCCGCGACTTTGTTCGCCGGTCGGCAGGTTCGTCGGATTATTTTTAGAAATTTCGTAAGGCAGATTTCCATTGATTATTGTCCGCCGAGTGAATCACGCCAGACTGGGAATTTATTCGAGCGGAATGACGACGGCTCGGGGCGCACAAAAGGGGCGAGTGTAAACCGGTCGGCGATTTGCACCTACCGAGAGGGGTCTTCCTCGGGAATTATCTCCGGCAATTTTATCTCCCGAGATAAAACATAAGGGCCCCGACCGGACATAGATACCGCGTCCGCAGCTGCCCAGAGAAATCGGGAGTCATACGGCGAGACGAACTCTACACCGTCGAGGAATGAAGAATCACATCCAAGATGTTCATCTCGCTTAACGAGACATCGATGGGAGTCAGGAATTATCTGCAGAAAATTTCATCCCGCGAAATGAAACCATCGAGACGCAGGAGGAGTTATCTCGAAGAACTTCATCTCGGAGATGTAACGTCGACGAGAATCCCGGAATTTTTGTAAATTTCATCTCGCTAAATAAAATATCCTTGGAGTCGGGAATTCATTTCAGGAACGGATTTCATCTCGCGACATAAACTGACGGGATTTATCCGTCATAATATATATATAAATATTAACTCGGAGGACGGCAAGAAAATCGGCGATCCACGCTAAGCGTGTCCAGTCGATGGGGGATCGTAATCGCTTCGCGGTATCGCGGGGGCTAATAACCGAGGCGGCGTAAAGAAAGAAAAAAACACAACAAAAAAAAAAACGAACAGCGAGGCAGATGTGCGGATAGAACATAAAGGCCGCGCAATCCGGGGGCGCGGCGCTATATCCGCGGTAGCAAGTAAACTTAGCCCTTTGCTTGCGACACGAGTCCGCCATCTTGGCTACGGCTTACGTCGGCTTAACCGTAATGACATAACCTCGACGCCCTTAAACTCCCCCGTTGGTTCACGTATAAACGTTTCTCCAGAGATTCCGAACTCGTGGCCCTTAATACAACGCGAAACGGGAGGAGAGACATTTGAAAGACTCTTAAAAACAATTCCAGACTTACTCCGACCATGAGATCAAGGTTAACCACAAGGGTTAAGGCGGCACTAAAGCAGCACCCGAGAGATCAATTATACAAGCTTTCCTCCGACTGGAATTCCCCGAATCGTCCGAAACATCGCCACGCGATTGTAGGGACTCTGAAGAAGGTCCCGGTACTCGTGAGATTTCGTTTTTATCGAATAAGGGGGAAAAAAAAAATTGAAAATGTCGGTATAAGAATTATAATCGCGAAATCGAGACTCCGGCGTGACTTTCGTGCTTATCTGCCTTAAGGTCTGCCCGGCGACAGGTTTTTACGAATAGAAAGATCATTAAGGGGATGTGAAAGTGGCATCCGAAAGGTCAATCGTTCATAAAACTTTTCTACGAACTGGGTGTCTCAAATCGTTTCATACTTTAAAACGTGAATATGGAGAGACCCTAAGGTAGGTCCTGAAACTCGCGAAATTTCAGTTTTTATAAACTATTTTCAAAATACCTATAAACAAATTTGAAAGGAATGGAAATTTCATGAGTCTCAGGACCTTCCCTATAGTCTCCCTATTCACGTTGTAAAGTTTCAAACTATTCGGTAAACCGAGTTGGGAGGAAAGTTTTCATAAACGAAACCTCTTCGACGCCACTTTCACATCACCTTAAGGCGTGATTAATAAGTAACGGCGAGTGACAATTAAAATCTCTCGTCTCCTCTAGCTTGATTCTCCATCGTGGACACTCGGACGAGTCGGCTCGTATACTCCCCCGCAATACGCGGTGCATATTCCTCCTCGTTGCATCCAATCCTTGCGTTAAAAGCTTCTTCAAGTCGTGACGCAACGACGCGTCGCTAACGACCTCCGAATTTAGCATTAAGGGAGCCGGGGAGGGCATTCAAACAAAATTGTTTTCACAGCCTGGGCCCTAGAAAAAAATCCCTCGTTAGCCCGCGCTACGGATTCCCCTCCCCTCTCGGCGCCATTTTTGAAAAAGTTCTGAGATCTCCCCGAAGAAGAAGTACAAAAAAAAAAATATAAAAAAAAACTCCACTGAGAGGAGTGTTCTTTCCTTGAGCCGGTCGCGGGAAGGGGTTGCTCTGGATTTATTACAAGTCTCCGGGGCTTATATGCGTCTGAAGAAAACAGAAGTATAAATATTCCATGGAAAATAAGACGCGTTTATATTTAGCTAAGTTATCGGCGAAGACGGGCATTGTCGTTTCCTCCCCCTCGCGGATAGCGCGAGAAGAGAACGCGACAATTAATAAGAAAGGCCTGCGTTAAATTTTAATGTGCAATTAATGGCTAAGTAACGACTAAGCGAAGGTCGGATGATCGAACGTTTCGATGTTATCTATCCCAGAAGAACTTCTGTCGTCGTTACCGCTTTCAAAGGAACGTCCGTTTGACGCACATTTTCTATGCCTTTATCTCTGACTCCGAAAGCGCGGAAAGGGGGAAAGAAAAGTTTTCCGCGTGGTGAAAGCAGTCTGAAGGGTAAAAAAAAAACATGTTGCACCCGTGCCAAAGCGCGAAAAGCTACTTCGGACTTTCCTTCATGGGAAGCCTCACGCTTCGTAAACTCGTGCTAATTATATCCGTGCATGTGCACATCGTTTTACAGCTTGTCCTACATTTGCCACCATCGACTAATTTTCCTTGTTCCCCACTGAGGTGGAGATGCATTCAACGAAGTAAACTCTTGCCAAAACTCAGGACGTTATGTCCTATTAAATTCTACTCGTAGGATGAAACGCATTATTAAATCTAAGCTTTAATGGATCATAAGGAACTAGATGGTATGTTAAGGAATTATGGAACTTACCTTTGCAGTGCAAGCTTTATGTCGAAGGTGATGGTGGTGCCAGTGTCCACGTGAAATATGTACAGCATCTTTAAGCCGGTCGAGCTTCAGCGCCTTTGAAAATACTGCCGTAAGGAAGCACCTCTCCTGTGGGTCGACACCGGCATCCGGATGTCCTCCTACCGTTCGTCGACGACACGGCTTCTTCGGTCTCTGGTAGTCAGCTTGATCGGGGCCGTACCCCACGGATTCCACAGCTCGCGAGGACGGCCCCCGTTGATCTGGGCCTCATTTATCAGCAAACTTTTGGCCGCCTCTTCTCCACTTCGAAAACGTCGGTCGGTCCTTCTCCCGGATCTTGGAGATCGGTAGCAAGTTTCATTCAGATCGTGGAACGATTGCTCCCTCGGCGTAGTAACCGTAGTTTTGGCCTCTTCGAGTCACCAACGATTATCAAACTCAGAGGTTTCCAAGAGTTGCTTGGGTTTCACAGAGCAACCCCTGCCAATTGTTCATCCGCTTTAAGATTCTTATCTATCCTAGATATTAAGATTTCTCCGCTGCGTTCGGCAATAAGGAACGTATTCAGAGAGCATATAAAAACAAGTAAAAGGACACTTGTCCTAACCTCGAAGGACTCGACGTTTCTTTGTTAACGATTTCCCTTGCATGAAGGAATCGACCGAGCATGCGACGTCTCGCAACTTCCTCGTTCCTCCCCAGGATGTCCAATGAAATGCCTTAACTCCTGTCTCTCTTTCAAGGAACTATGTATTTCATCCCGATCTCCCTTCTAAAAGTACATTTCCAGACAACCCTTATCGAAGGTTTCACCCGTCAGTCCTGTAACTGCCTTCCCGTCCAGTTTCTCCCCTCTATCTCCCGCAACATTTAATCCTCGGTCTGGTCCTCCTAACCTTGCTCCTGCTCGCTCTCCTGAAAGCAAACACCCCGCAAGGTTAACTCCACAAAGTCTCTTCGAATTCCTCCTCACAGGATACGTAACGTATCCACCGAAGACCCTAAAAATCTCGCACTCCATTTTCCCACTCACTCGTTGAAAACCATCCACTCGATCACACCACCCCCCTTCCATAACCACATATCAAACATATTTATCAAAAACCCCTCCTCGCAAGAGAGGTTATGTCCACCGTTAAACACTCCACCACTCTCGCCCTCAATTTTCTCACTCACACACCTCGTCACAAACCGTCCTCCCAAACATACCTCCGAACATCCGTAAATATTTATCAAAGAAAAAGGCCTGAAGTCAGGAAGAGGGTTAGAAACGCGGTTACAAGCCCCGTAGAACATTTTAAAATAAACTGTCATTGTTTCGGAAGATGGCTGCGGGACGAGGGAACGACCGCGTCGGAGCGGCTCGCAAGGGCTCTGCGCGATGCGGTGACGCCGCTCGATCAGCTGCTCGGCAAAACAAAGCACTCACGCGCACTTTCGCGAGACAGGTCGGAACGCGTCCCGCTCGATCGCGCCTTGACTCACGTGCGCCCCTCTCGCTCCCCCCTCGCCTCTTCACCGATTGGCCAGGGCGTCCTCTTACCTGAGTTCGGCCGGACAGCTCGCCTCCCGTCCAGGTTCTCCGGGCGATCAGGTTCGACGGTGACCTAACCTCGCGTCCCCTTCGCCGTGAGCGACGCTCGATCAGCTGCTCGCCAAAACAAAGCGCTTTCTCGAGGTCCGTTATCCTCCTCCGCGAGTTTCCCCTGTAGCCGGCGATCCTCGTCCCCGATTGGTTGCGGCGTCCCTTGGCGGGCCGCGATTGGTCGCGGCGTCGTCTTCCTCGAGTGGCCTCGTCTCCCGGAGTTCGGGTCGAGCTCCCCTCGAAGGGCGACTTCGGGCCGCGGTCTCGGGACGACCTAACCTCGATCCTCGACGACGGCGACGCTCACGGCGCGTCGCGTCGACGGCTTCGGCTGCGCCGCTGGCGTGCGCCCTCCGAGAGACAAAGGACTCGAGTGCTTGGGATCGACGCGACGCGCCTCGGGTCGGCGATGGCGTCGTAGAGGGACTCGGCCTGCGAGAGGTCGAACCGAGCACAGCTGTCGACTCTCGTATTCCCCGTTTCCCCGGCAGGAAGGCAACTAGCGCGGCCCGCTCGCGCTCGACATCTCGATGCTCCGTCTCTCTCTCCTCTCTAGCGCGCGCGCGCTCTTGACATACGCGTCGCCAGCTGTTTACTGCGGCGATCCGGCTGATCGGGCCGCGACTCGGGAACGGAACGCCCGAGTCTCGCTGCCGGAGACGCTCCATTCGCCGAGTCGGCCGCCATCTTGCCCGCCGAGCGCTCCCATTGGCCGAGTCGCGCGCCGCCGCGCGCTGATTGGTTCGTCCCTACCGCCCGCCACCACTACCACTTCCACGCGTTTTGAATCGATCACGGACTCGCCAAGTTTTCAGCTTTTTCCGTTCGCCTTTTTTACACGGATTGAAGGGTGAGCGAGTGCACTGGGTCGCCTGAGCGCCGCTCGAGGGATTTATGAGTATAATTAACGCTGTCGCGCCAGGGGAGCTGCCGCGTTGGTAATTGGAATACGGGATTATCGCCCTGGACATCGAACCGAGGGGAATGGGTTTCCGCGTCACGCACGTCTGTACAATTCTCGTATAACAGTAAATACTCAAGAAAATCCTATATAAATCCTTTTATACCCCTCTTTGAAATATTCCGCTGAACGTTCTAGAATTTACCTATATACCGATAATTACATAACCGAGCGATTTTCGAGGCACTTCTTTGGAAAAAAAATATCCACGCTTGGGAGTTAATCGCTCTTAATCTTCATCTCCATCCCGCGGCGTCTCCCAGTATGGGCAATTTTCAGCGGAATGAAGTAATTCCTGAAGTAATCGGCGGTTACGCCATAGCGGAATCGAGAAGGCGTAGAGCGTGAAGTCACATTTATCAGATGCTCGTGCATACATGCACACGGGCGCTGGCAGGCTGCCGGAGGTGATCGCGGCGCGCCGTCGCGGCGGACAGAGGAACTAACGCCTTGGCGCGTCGCCGAGCGAGTCGCTTCCGTGTGGAGGGTCTCCGAAAGCGGAGCTCCGCGGCCGAGTCCGACGCTCTTCTCGCCGAAGGCCGAAACGCGCAATTTTTCGATTAATTGCGTGATCCGAAGACCCGCGAATCGCGTCCTCAGGCTTCGACTCCCGAACGTCGTTTTTCTCCGCGGGCCTCGATAACCTAGAATTTTCCAAAGCTTTCGCAACTCGACGCTCCGGCCGACCGATCATAAATATGAAAGCGCGACCGCTAATCGGCGGACATGCGCAACGGTTAATTGTCACACAGGGCGCGTCGGAATACAATGGATGCGCCGCGCCGGCCGAATTTTAATTTCGCCTAGATTATTTAGGACGCACGATTATTTAGAACGGTCCTCTCGTTATTTATTTATTTTTCTTTCTTATTTTTTTCCTAGACGTGCTGGCTCATCTCGGGAGAGATTTAACAGTACGAGTGCATTCTGAGGGGGCGAATCGCGGCGTTATATCGTCTCACCGAATCCGTAATCGAGTCGTCGACACGTGGCGGTTAAACTGCGCATCTAACGTCGCGCTTCGCGGCACGTGAAGGCGCGCATAAACAAAGAACTTGGCGACAGAGCTTCCGGATTTTGAGGCCGACCTCCCGACTTTAAGGGAAATCGGGCACTATCGTAACGGGTATATAGGTAATAAATGAAACGTTTAAGCACGTTAACTCGAGACAAACACCGTTCACAGAGAAGAATCTTAAGGGTGATATCCGAAAGTTCCTTGAAGCTCATAATTAATGTTTTACTATGTTGCAGTGTACTGGTCATTTTAACACGGTACGAGAATGCCAAGAAATCAGGTGAAGGCGCATTCCTTTTCCCTCTGGACCACGTCACCCCATCCAGCTTTTAAGAAGATGTAAACAATGCGAGGGCGAGGATGACCCAGCCCTTGAAAGTTCGAAAGGACAAGGAATTGGGGCATTCGAATAACAGAGTTCTTAGAGACTCGTCGCATCCAACGCTGATCCCTTCACTAAACATCCATATATTTTGTTATAATAATGTTTGAATTTTGCCGATATCAACACTCAAGGGACTCTCCTTTAAAAATTTTCCTACACAGGGAACCCAGATAATAAATAGTAATTGCGATTCATGGGATGGAGCCTGGAAGTAACCTGAAAAAAAATTCAAAGAGTCGCAGTTCTTTCTCTGTAGGTTAGTTGTCGGTGGAAATCAGCCCTGGTAATTCAATCGCCTCCTCGTTACCTTGGGAACTGGTAATTATAATATTTATAATCCGTGGTGTCGAGGCTGCGCGTACCATGGAAGTGGGGGATTGTGTAGGGGGTCCCGTGATTTATCTTATTTATTTTTAGTTCCTGCTTTTATATCGAGGAGTAGGAGAGGATTTCGATGCCTCGCACGTTGATGTTCGCCAAAACACAGAAATCGTCCTTGAAAGAAGTGGGTCTCGCCCGTGCGGCGTCTCCCTATCCAGAATCCAAGATGGCCGCCGAGGGACCGACCGAGTGCGGGAACTGCGTCTCGGGAAAGAGGAGGCATTGCCCCGACGTTTCTACGTCGGTCGAAGGTCCCCGTTGGTCGCGCGCGTGCGAAATGCCCATGCGAGAGGTGCGTGGACAGTGCGAGGTCATCTCTACGCACGACCACGTGCGCTCGTTCTCCCTCTCTCGCTCTTAGTCGCTCCCTCTCTCCGCGTTCATCTTACTCTATGCTAGGTCTGCTCAGTGGAATTGTTCCCTGGATCATCTATATAGCCGCAAGTGAAAAAAGAACGGTACCAAAGTACCTCAATAGTTACCTAAATCATGAATCACCTGTGTAGATTCACCCATTCACCGTCTATACCGTTATACCTGTACACCTGTACCGTTTCTTTCAAGACGAAGGATAGGAAGGTGGAACTTCCAAAATCGATCGAGGATTCCTTCCTAAAAAAGAAAAGAGGAATATTTTCTGGTTAGTGATTAATTTCTAACACTTCCGTTCTCACCTCGCCCTAGGCTTTTCAGGTGATTGTTTCCCTGAGCCTTGGGTGAATGTCGAGGTGAGGGTTGGAGGAAACCACCAAACAATTAATTTTTAATACACTCGGCGTTAGAAATGTTGTGCAGAAAATTATGGGACTTCCATTTGAGGGCTGTCCCATTTGTGTCATGTATGGGTATTTTTATTACCCGATCGGGGCTATTGGAGCGCGATTGGCTGACCCGGGACTTCCTTCGGAATATCCCTATCGTGCTCCATAAGTAACTTCTTTTGTTCCTTATCCTCGAGACCCGAAAGATAAACCTTGCGAGGGAAAACAGCGGGAAGATAATGGTCTCAATTTCCGTAATAATAGAGTACTCGGCTGCTCGTAGTGCGCCGAGCCGACTTCGCGGGAAAACGTCCGAGGAAAGCGATTTCCCCGTAATCCGCGCATAAGTAAAGTAAATATTTAATCTAGGTCTGTAAAGATCCCGGGCGTTGTTCTCGCACCTTAGGCGAGTTTTAGGAGCAGATCCGTGTGAGAGTAAAGGGGCGATTTTGCGAGCGAATGGGCGGATCGACTGCACCTTTCTGCAACGACCGGTGCGTACGGTGCATATGCAGTCGCACGGTCGGTGCAGGATTTGCGCAAGCCACTTAGGCGAGTGCCTGCTAGCGGGAAGGAAAATGGATAAAGAAGTAACAACGCCGAGGGAAAAAAAGGAATATGAAGGAAAAAAGAACAACAACCCGTTCTACATGTGTGCCATTCGAATGTACCGGCGCATAGTGTGCAGTCGATTTATCGAGCGCTGCTCCACTTTTCGGATAAACGCCTTTCGTTTCGCCACTTCGCTCCCGCGCTGTACCTGCGTTTTAAAGCGAATTTCGCAACCGGCCATCAGGCTTTCATTTCAGAAATCACCGGCGTAATGTCAGCCTCCGTGATTGCCCGTTTTCAGGCCCGGGAAATGTGCAGCGCCGCTCCAGTCACGTCGCGGTGGTCTGGTGTAGTCTGGCTGACGTCACGCCGTGATATTTCCGAATTTCTCGAATTTCTTTTCCAATCTCTTATCTCTAATGAGAACGCTTAAGAATTATCCAAGAATTGTCGACTTTAATCGTCCATAAAGAACAATGGTCTCTCTTCAAGTGCGAGATAAAACGAACGAGCTTACAGAAATGGAGAAGAAAAATCCTTGTTTTCAAACCCGTGAAATATGTGGCGTCGCTCGAGTCACGCCGCGTTGGTCTGACGTCACCCCGTGATATTTCCGAATTTCTCGGACTTTTTTCTGATCTCTGTTGGCATTGCAGAGCTCGCGGTTAACGGCCGACATTATCGCGACTTATACGAATTCGCGGCCTCGTTTCACTAGCGGAGTTTATCTCGTTTCCTGAAAGAAACGCCGCGGAAACTAAATAGCGAAATCGTACAAGAAATTCGCAGGAGCGATACGGGGAGATTTCGGAGCAGCGAATGACTATGATTAGGCGCAATTATGTGATACGAGTTTTATTGAATCACTGCTTCCTCTCTCTCTCTCTCTTTCTCTCGAGTCAACAAACGATGACTGACCTCTCCGTTCCTTCGCCGGTTTCCGCCTTTCCTTCGTGCAGATGTGACATGGCGACGTCGGTTACCAAAACCGAGATTATGATACCGATAATAATAACATTAATCATAGTCGTAACTGTAGTAATCATAATAAAATAATACGAACAATGACTGGCGATGCGGCAATAGTAACGGCAATAATATCAATAATAATGTACATTCGTAACGAGATATATATATATATGTATATGTATAGACTAGCTTTAATGATAGCCAGGAGATAACAATTAACGTGTCTATAGATTTATTCACATATATATGCATATATATATACATATATATTAAGCGGCCCGACTCGACCTCGCGCATGCGCGTGCACCTTGCGTACTACTGTTAATGTCCGCATAGTTGACAAACAATTCGACAATTGCTCTCGCCAACGCTATGTACAGATGTGTGGATAAGAGATTACGGCGCTTACTGCGATAACAATCGATATCCGGAGAGTTAACCGAGTTTGCACGATAAATAACCCCGATTTGCATTCGCATGCGCGAACTCGAGGCGCGTTTCTTTTTTTTCACCTTCTCGGGTGACTTGTATACATGTATGTATATATTTATATTTATATACATACATATGTGTACGCGCGAAAATTAATTTGACTCGGTGATATGACTCCCGTGATAAGACGTACGCAACAGTTTAACGTTAACTCTCGCCACGTGAACCTTATACATATGTATACCTTCATATACATACTCTCCTCCTCCCCCCTCCGACCCTGACCTTCTCCACCCGATTCCCCGTTCGAAGAAAAGTTACTTGAATATCAAATCCACCTCCATCGGCCTAACGCGGTGTCCAAGTAATCTTTTTTATAATAGTAATTGCAATATATATATAATATGTTTTCCCGTGTAAATGGATGTGTGCTTGCACGGAGAGAAATGACTTTTGGCACTGGGGAGGGTGCCCAAAATTTTCAGTGAAATTTATTCACGTCGCCTCTCGTAATCCGCCATGTTGGGAAAATCGACGCGAGTTGGGATTTTCATCCCGTAGCGGATTCAGATAAGGAAACTCGGTAGAGTTTCGCGCCAAATACATTTAAAAGCATGTAATAAATATTCCAAATTCCATTTCTCCCCGCGTGGCTACAAAATTGCAGCCCTTACGTTTCCGCCTCGCATATTTATTAAGCCTTCTTCGTCTAGTCACTGTACAGGTGCCTCGACCTCCCTCTCTCTCTCTCTCTCTCTCATTCTCTGTCAAAAATCGCGATCGAAAGTCGTTCTTTCATGCTTTCACTCCTCTCCCTGAAATTAACCCTGTCGTCCTATGCCTACGTAGGTCCGAAATTCTTGGACAGAGGGAAAAGCTGGCCGAACCTCTCGAAGAATACAACTCTTTCGAGACACGTCCATTTTACATATCGTAACGCGCTCGAAGTCGTCGATTCGCCATTTTCCCGAAAAAAAAAAAGAAAAGAAAATCTGACGCTAAAGCACCTCGGAATCGGAACCGACGATTCGCAGTCTTTTTTGCGAGGCAATAAAAGGAAAGGCGAAAAAAGACATAAATTATTAAGGCGAAGTGGTTTACGATGCAGCGATCAGCTGATCAGCTGATCGTTGCTCAATTGTCGCGCTTTCGGCGGTTTATTAACCTGACTTTAGAATGGCGAGAAAAACTATCGATAAAATTCGGTAATCCAGAGATACATCCCGAAGATACCGACCATGGTCATAAAATGACGTTTCACAAGACCTTGTTAATTTTTTTAATAAAAAATTCGACTCGTTCAACGTGCTATCCAAGGCGAGCTAGTTTTATCATTACCTCGTCGTACCTGTCGAGAGACTATTATCAAGTATTTTTAGAGACATGGAGATTTCTTTACTAACCGCGATGATAAGGGGGCCGATGTCGCGAGAAAGGATGCGAATTCGTCGGCGCTGATTCAATTAATTGGTCCATCTTGAGACGATTATGGGAAACATTAATTACAACCTCGCGTCGAATTTTCCCGGATAATCCGAGTAAGCGCGCGAGTGATAAGACGCGTTTTTTAAACGGAGCGCCGATACAGAAACGGCGATAAAAGTCGCGGAGGGAAATTCCCCGCGAGTGTAGGAAAATCTATTCTCTCTCTTTCTCGCGGTATTTCCTCTTTCTCGGTACCCGATTGAAAGGCACAGAAGGCACGTGGTACCGCGAGTTCGTAATTAAGCAATAAATTAGCATAAGGATCCTCTTCGTTCGATTTTCGCCCCTCCTAAACTGCGAGTGTCCCTCTTCCTGACTACTCGGCAAGGATTTTTATTCCCCATCCTTCGATCATTGACTATTTAAGGCGATATGAAAGTGCCGTCGGAGGTCTCATTTATGAAAGTTTTCTCTTAACTGGGTGTACCGAAAAATTTGAAACTTTACAACGATTCGGTACACCCAGCTCGGAGAAGTTTCAGGAACGATTGAAATAACTATCAGGTGCCTTTCGCATAGCCTTAATTTTTTCTTGATAAAAAGGACTTCGTCGTGTGCCTCGACACTTCCCTCGGGCTGAAAGATCCCATCGATCGCCCTCTTGTGTGTACACGAGGACCGACTGCAACAATTGTTGAAAATGTAGCTTAATCTTTATTTACAAGAATCTCCCTTAAGTGGGTAGCTAAATAACGAGAATCCCTTTTTACTCAAAGCAGCGACCCCATGTCGAGTAATAAACGTTATTTACCTTGATATATATTTAATATGTTCAATGGCGAACCCCCTACCGGCCCTGATAGCTAGTGATAAGGTGCACGAGAACGAACGTGCAGTGGACAGTTAAACAATGCTCCAGATAGACTAGAGCTCCAATTCTTTTTTTTTTTTACATGATCTCCCCTAAAGACAAGTCAACATGGACCACCGGAATTTCGAGCCATATTTTCGATACGTGTCCTCAAAAATGTTCATCAATTTCAGGTGTAGCAAACAGTCTCGCACGAATTTTTCGAAAACAAGCATTCGACCGTAGAGTTCGGTGAACAAGATCTAATCCTTCCTCTGTCGACTAGAATATACGTACATGTACACAGAATTAGAAAATGTCGTTCATGGAACGTACTAATTTCAACCGCACGGTCTAGGACCTGTCCCCGAGCCTAATGAGACTGCTTAAAAAGGATCGAAGAGTGATAAAACCCTACTTAATCTTGGTCGTCTATGGGGAAAGATAATGGTCTCTTCGAGTGCTAATAAAAACCATAGAGCTTACAGAAATGGAGAAGAAAAATTGCTATAACCTGTTTATACGTTCCAGTGTCCAGTGGAGAATCAGTGGAGGGATCTTCCGTCTCCACGCGAAGCTTAAACAACATCGTGAACAATTTTGTGAACGAGTCCCCGACACAGTTCACGCTTGCAAGCACGTTAAAAAAAGGAAAAAAAGAAAAACTATACAGAAGATACCTGTCTGCCTTTTTTATGGACACATTTTCACTAGACTGTCTCTATTTCCATAAGCTGTACGGTAAAAAACGCGTCGTGCAGGCTTCGCTCTTTTCGCCATCGCCGACTTGAGGGTTCGCCCAAGAAAGTCTTATTAAAATACACGGTGTAAAAATAGTACGGCAGGTCGGCGCGCTAGCCGACATTTTCCGAGGAGTAGAGACCGGCTGCGCGTGAGTGCGCGTAGGAGGAAAATTCATCGAAGAATAGTCCAAAAGGGAGAAGAGAGGTCGTCTCTCCGGCCATTTCCATTGAGTCGGCGAGGTGCGACAGCGCCTCTTTCCCGGTAAAATCCCTCGACCCCCGAAATCGGGATCGTCGTTCGAAAAATCCTTGAAAGGCCTCGCCCTTCATTTTCGAGCTCGCTCGGCGAATCTTTCTCATCTCGTTCGAGAACGAGCCCAAGTTTCTCAAGTTACGTCCAAAAGTGGACCTCTGGCTCCGATGACGGCTGGCTGCTACGTCAGCAACTTGAAGAACATCAACGCCAGCGATATGTTGATAAATAGCACCAGCATCACTAGCTGCTGCCTTGAGAACCAGTCCTGAAACGGGGCAGAATTATGGAGCGATTGACAATACCAAACATATAAAGCAGACTAACATTTCTATCGTGATAAGATATAGCAGTATTAATTAAAATAAAGCAGTTTGTTAATACCGAATTAGACGAAAGTGCTTCTACGCTCCGTTTCGTGGTCTAACCTCACTTCTTGAGACACTTTTCATTCCTTCAAGGTTATTAAAAAAGGGGATACTTAACCATAGGCATCGCAGGGTGCTTTTACAATTTTTAACTAAAATATTATACTTACAAGCTTAATCAAAGAGAAAGATTCTATTAGCTGAACACGAAAGTGCTCCTGTAGTGCGATTCATGATACGCAGCTCAGCGTGCCGGGTTGCGCGCGGTTACGGCTCGCCGCGACTTAACCTCACTTTTTATTAGGTATCTCTAACAAGGAAGGTATCCCAGGTCGATGTCTCCGATTTCATTTCTTTTATAATATGTTATAGTAGACTAAAAACTAAGCGACACGTATTTCTGTTTTATCTGCCGTTAAACACTTTAAGGGGGTGAAACCACCATCCAAGGTAAGGCATGTCAAGGGGCGATTTGGCAGTTTCACCCACAAGAACATAATATTTTTTAATCAATCCACCTGGAAATGCTATCTCATAACGAGAAATGAAAAATATAATTTTCGCAATTGAAAAAAAAATTAAGGGGTGAACCACCCCTCACAGGCCTTACTTTGGATGGTGGTTTCACCCCCTTAAAGTGTTTAATGGCAGATAAAAAAAAATACGTGTCGCTTGGTTTTTAGTCTTCTATAACATATTATAAAAGAAATGAAATCGGAGAGATCGACCTGGGATACCTTCCTTGTAAGTGTTTTGAGTTTATTAGAAAAGGAAACTCGCAACTACGTGCATCCCAGGCTGTGCAGGGTCGCGGTGCAGATATTAGTCACACACACGATTATTAATAGTACTTATTAGTGCCAACTGTAAAATGCTAACGTTTAGGTAGTTATCGCGGCGCGGTGGTAACGGTTTAATTCAAATGTCGTTTCAGCTAAGGGATGCGGCAGGTGAATCGCACCGAAACTGCACCAGGGACTTACTTTAACCTGAGGACTGACAAGGTATAGCAGAGGGTTCGCCCTAAGCCTCTCGCTTTCGTCGATTTGCCGGCGGATCTCCTCGCGCCTCATGCTGCTCAGGACGCTGACTTCCTCTCTGGACAATGGCGCGGTCGCTGTCAACTGGATTGGCTGAGCCACATCCGGCAGTGACTTCTTCCGTTGCAACGGCATCGCCGCCACCGGCATTGCCTAAAGAGGAAGCATTCAAGGGTTACTCCTGCCCAGGTGAGATCGCCCCTTTCCTACGTTTCGACCCGCCATCTTGTTTTTCCCAGCTTGGATGAAGTCACGACGCCGGAGGACGCGAGACAAGATATAAGGAATTATTTCGCAAGGGAAAAGGATGGAGTGGTCCACGGTATCTTTTTTAGACGTGTATAATGTTACACTTGGGTATTTCCTGGTTTACCTTCCAGTGTAACATTAATTCATCGCGCCAATAATTCCTACACTTTCGCCTCCCAGAGATAACCCGCCATTTTGTTAGTACGAAATTTCAAATGAAGAGGAAGTCGATCATTTCCAAAGCAGACACAACAAAAAGATACATTTTTAATGTTAGGAGATTACATTGCGCCTAATAACGTTAAGACTTAGATTTGCACGTCTCTCGTCACAGGTTGCAAATCGGGAACCAATCTTAGATCCGCGATTGGCAATATTTGGCGAGGGGACTCGTCAGGATTTCCTCATCGGGTAGCGAAACATGGCCGAGCCGGTGGATTTTTGAATCTCGGCCAAAATTCCTGGCCCTCCGCCCCGCTCGACCTAGTCCCACAACCTAGGAACCTTCTTTTTGTCGCCGAGTTGGAAACGCGCGCACACAATCGTTACGTGTTAAGGTCGGGAGCTGAATCCTTTACCAAAATTTGGCCGACCTTGAACGTGGATTTCGGATAAGAACTCTAATTACTCGACGAAGAATTAATTTTATGGAATATCGTTACCGACATTACTCATTAACAATATCCCATCGTACACATTGTACCCAATTTGCCCTTATTCGAAGAATCATTGTACATATAATTTTTTTTTCTTTCAGACGTGGCAGATGGAAAATCGATTTCATGGAATCGTGGGAATTTTTGGGTGATGATCGATCCGATTTGAAATCGATACCTCGACAGGAGGTGCCACGATCCATGACTCCGAAGCCCTTCTCGCCATCAACGCGGGACTGCACAAGAGCGCCTCCTCCTCCTCGTCCGGTTCCGACGACCAAAACATTTTCTTTTTTTTGTTTCTAGATTTAATTCCTCTTGTTAAATACTTAATAAACAGAGCTTATATCTGGAGCGATTTCTGCACGCTGTGGACTTTTCTGCGACCGATTTCTTGGGCGGCGTGGACGACAGTATCGTGATTTCTCGGGGTCTTCGCTCTTTGCCTTAAGTCTTTTTCTAGTCTTTCCTTTTCGTTATACCGATGACTGTCACAGATTTTAATACTGTATAATTCAAGCCCCCTCACGACTCGATCTCACTGTCAAACACGTCACTTAAGTTCTCCGAAGTAGCGACTCGAACTCTTGTACAGGTGAACACCGAACATTTATGCCTCCTCGAAATGATTAACTCGGCTCGATTTACTGTCCCAGTAAATCGTGCAAAATCGCGGAAAGGGGACAATCTACGACATTGAAAGTCCCAGTCAACGAAATTTGGCAGCTGACACGCTCGTTCGACCTAGACACTAAAATCCGCGAAACGAGCCCGGGCACTCGACAAAGCGATCGCCTTGAACATCAAGCATAATATAAAAGAAAATTGGTGAAAATTGTATGAATTGTCAATTAACAACTTTCAAACATACATGCAGACCCGTCATCTGTAGATCCCTCTTGAAGGGTAAAACCGAGCGATGGGGTAAATTTAAACAATTTCTTTATACATTTTTATAGAATTTTGCGAGTCGACCGAGGGGCATGAATTAATTTAATATTCTTTACTTAATGTGATGTTCATGTGTTATTTAATTATTAAGCTCGAGGCCGTTCTTGGGTTCCCTGTACCGAGGTTCTCCGGTTCGCCACTGCGGGATACGGATCTCTCAGGAGGATCCACGAGGATCCTTCCTCGAAGAGGATCTTCGCGAAGCTCCCGAGGAGGAGGCCGCTTGTAAAACTGAAGGAGATCGCAAGTCCGCCTTGAGGTGACCGAAAATAGCGACTCCCCACTATTTTCGTCATCATGCTAGCTAAGGCGGCGTCGCGACGCCTCGGGGTCCACCTGCTCCCCTGCGTTACCATAAGTCGAATTCGAGGACGAAATTCATTCTTTCGAGAAAAAACGAGTTCCCTAGACGAAAGTCTAAATCAGGAGAAATTTATCAACTGCCAGATCTCGATATCTAATTTAGATTCCTATTTTCGAATCCCCTCTAAAAATATCCGTGGCATTCTCGGGAAACCTCTTAAACTTGCACTTCAGGGTCCTGCTGGAAATACCTCAATTCAGAAATGCATAAATGCATTACCATAAGTAGAATTCGGGGAGGAAAATCTTCCTTTCGAGAAAATCGAGTTCTCCACCCTTTCCTAAATCAGGGGAAATTTTTTTTAACTACCATGTCTGGATTTCTAATTTAGATCCCGATTTTTAAATCCCCTATAAAGGTACTCATGGCATTTTCGGAAAGCCTCTTAAACTTGCACCTCAAGGTCCGGCCGGAAATACCTTAATTCCGGAATCGGTTTATTCCTGACTCACTCCAATAATATTTTGGCGATTTTCAAACCCCGGGTCTACTTCGGTGCGTCATTCACGAGACGGTATCTCTATTTTTATCAGAAATCCGTAGACGAGTCAATGAGTCAATGTCAAATTTGTCCGGAAGAAAAGTTCCCTCCGAGAAGAAATCCGTGACCGCGCTTCGGGGAGCAACAATTTATATTTCCCGCCACTTGTACTTACATCTCTTTTTACAACCTATTGCCAATCGAGTACCGGTACATCGTATACATTAATGACATTCAGTACATCGAGTTAAAGACGAGACGTCGTAGGCCGGGTGAGATTGGACTTTTCTCGTCATTTTCTCCATTCTTTTCATTCTAATATCTACGTTTACCTCTCCGCGCCTCCATTTTCGTTCCACCGCACCCTCTATATCTATCGCCCTCAATAGTGTTTATATATAAATAGACGGAACCTTTGTTAAGTGTAAATATTTCCTCGGTATTGTGCGAAGGAGTGAGACGCGAAATAGGCGAAGCAGCGAGCCGTCTGATCGATTTATTCGGGAGAGGCGAGAAAAAAGAATTGCGCTTCCGGCGTTGCAAGTCGCCATTATCGAGACGTGCTCTCGAGATTTTAGTACGTCAAAACCGGGAATGGAGGACTTTCTCGCATCCAGTTAATCCTCGAAAAGGAAACCAGCTCTTTCTCCACGGAGAACTCCGCATTTCGGGCCCGAAATGCTGGGCTCGCGTCGTAAAAAAATATACTTTCTTAGCGAAAGAGCCGCCGCGCTTCGCCATCTTGAAAGACACTTTTATTAAGCTTGGCACTTGACACCCGTCTAATCGGTTAAAGGGACACGTCGGTTAAATCTGGTCAAAAACTCGAAATTGAGCTTTCTAAAAATCTTCATACAAATAAATGCACGTATAGTACCTAACAACGCAACGGAATTGTAAAGAGCTAGTCATAACACATGGCAGACTGAATAATTTCATAATTTTGTCACATCAAATCCTGCGGGGAAATTAACGCACATATATGTACCCACATTCTCTAATTTATAATTGTTATTTACTCGTCGTTCCATTTATCATGACGTTATAATGTTATTACGTTATTCCATTTATTATGACTAGTGTTTCATATTGTGCGTGAACTTGAGGTAATTGATACCGATAATCACGGATCTCGACCAGTTTAATCGACGCGCCTCCTTAATGAAGATCCACCCTCGAAACATCGAGTCGAGAATTCTAATCGATCGAATATAGATCCTTTAGAAGATCGAGTCGACATCGACGACCCACTTCGAGGGGTCGATCACATCGCCCCGTGGGCGCCGCTAATCGATATCCCTATCATCGATCGGAGCTTACGTTAAATTAGAGCTTTTAAGGTGGAAGCATGCGTTAGAAAAATAATGTCTCTGACGAGAGAGAGGAAAGAGCGGCGTGGAGGTGGTAAGGTCGAGGCATGTCGCAAGATCGCGAATAAATAGCTAATAAATAGATAATAAATCGCGGGAAATCGGAGAACCCAGAAAAAGGCCGATGAAGTACCTCAAGATGCCCGAGGAGACATTTAGATTTTCGGAAAAAGCGGTCATTTCCAATGTCTCTCACAAATTGCCATTTATATCTACGCGACTCGTTCGCTCGACAAGGATCCGTCAACATTTTACAGGAGGTTTCTCGAACTTCATGGAATATCTACCGGTGTGGCTAATGGAGGGTAGAGGGGTTGATAAAGGGTTAAAGAGTTTAAAAAACGTAGCAAAAGGGTTGAAAGACGTCAAACTGGTCCCCGCCTCCACACCGCGCGCAACCTTACCTTCTGGTCATTCCAAAAATTGTATACAATCGTTAATTAATTCGTCACACGCGACGATTTACTTAAAATCCGATTCGAACGATCTGCAACGTACCGACACGTATCGGTTCCGACACGTACCGGCACCGACGCGACAAAATTCCGTCCAGTTGCAACGAAACGCAATTTACATGGTTTCGCCGGTCCGAAGCCGGTACGTGCCGGAACCGTCACGTGTCGGTCCGTGTCGGACGGTTCGAATCGACCTTTTCGCGCTCGAACGGTTCGTACACATAAATTTATGCATATATATATACGTCTTTTATAACTACGCACATACACAGAGCTATTTCATTTCCCTCGCACAAGTGCATTCACGTGTGTGTCGCGTGCGTACAGTCTAAGAAAAAGGAAATTACTTAAACGTTTATATATATATATAGATATATCAATGTCTCGTTAAATTCGGATAATTAAATTCTCGGTTAATGAAAAGATTCACCGAAGGTTATAGTTATATCAGGAATAATGTATACTCCACGCGTGTGTCCGTGAATGCAGTGAAAGCTGCGTTTACAGATGCAGTTAAAAATTTTGCCCAAACTGGAAGAAAGTGTCCATCGAACCGGAGAAATATTTCTTTAAATCGTAACAACGAGATGTGATATAAATTCAAATAATTCGATTCCCTAATAAAGTCCAATAAATCAGATGAGACGTTCTTCTCGGAATTCTGACAATTTACTCGAGCCAAATAATTATTCCTTGAGTTCTTATACGTATAGTATGTTCGGTACCGTTCAAAGAAACGTTTCTTTGGTTCAATGGATTGTTTCTTTTTTTTTCTTTTTTTCTCGGTACAGAGATAATTTGCACTTGCCCGGACTTGCAGTTGCGTGGGAATGCGTTTAGGCCGATCAAAGTGCAGCTTTATACGAGGGTCGATGCACCGGGAGTTGCACGGTGCATATATAAACGTGGTACATAAGAGGGATTAAATACGACCGAGTGTACACATATGAATCGATTAGCCGGTAACTCCGATAAGTAGGATGTCGAAACGCAGTGCACATGTCGAATGCGAGTACCTACACGTGTATGCAACTTTGCACACCTCGTAACATATATATCTATGTATAGATATATCAATGCACCAATACGACCGCACATTGTCCCCGTACTCAAATATATGTATACATCTCTGGCGCTCTCTCCCTTACTTTATCTCTCCCTTTCTCTCCCTTTCTCTCCGGACGTCTAAATTTGGCGCGATTGCCGGAGGAAAAAAGAAAACTAATAAACTGGAGGGCATTTATTTCTCTGCAGCGAAGGAACTGTATTGTGGCTTTATTGTTCTCTTAATGGTCTTCGAGATCCACCCTCGATTATCGATGCGACGAGTCGAATGCTTTACAAGTTAAGGTCGATTCGTCAATCCGACAAATATCCGTTGCGATAAAAAATGATAATACACCCTACGTGTATCAATCTTTTTGCACCCTGTACGCAAGTTAAACAATATGTACGGAGCCATCGAGATAAACATCTCAATATTTTTCAGCAAATCGACACCGGGAAAAATGATAACACGCTTTTCAATGACACTTTTCACCCTACACGAAAATTAAACAATACGTGCGGAGCCATCGAAGCGCACGTTAGAATATTTTGTAACAAATCGTTACCGCGAAAAATTAATATAAATTATAGCACGCTTTTTCGTGGCATTTCTCATCGGACACGAAAATTAAACAGTATGGACGGAGCCATTAAAACGCATGTTACGATATTTTGTCGGATCGACACCGATATATGACGGACAGTTTGAATCGACCTTTACAATGGAAATGACCGAACCGAGTTGAAATCTCCGCCTCGTCGCATCTCCACCCTCGATCCTCTAGATCCCCTCAAGATCCTCATCGGAATCTCCCGTGTACTTTTGTACGTACTTTTTATCTTGGAGATTGGCATCGCGCGGGTACCAATATTGTAAAACACAAGTGAAAATAAAATCCCGCCCCCGCGATCGGCGTCCCACCTGGGCCCGACCTCCCGATATTCGCATACAAAAATAGATCTATCGAACTGAGCCGAGTCGCGAATCCGCTCTGTTCCCTCAAATCGCGACTCATCGATCGAGGCACGGAGCAAAATCGGCCCGATCGAATCTCGTTGTGAGGATTTCATGTACGACTTCGTTTTTATTCAGGGCCGAGAGGTGTGCGAGCACTTGTACGTTTCGCGAAAACCGATGGAAGACGATTATATACAGTATTGTAAATAGTAAAGGTGGCCATTTTGTGATCGGCGTGGTTAAATCGACTTATCGCGCGTTAAGTCTAAGTTGAGATCTGTTTGCAGAAATTTATCGCCACCGTGTAACCACCTAGGATACATTTCTTTTCTCTTTTTTTTTTTCCAGGAGCGTTGCAGGTTTTCTTTACCTTCAAGAGAACTTTAGGGCAAGATTTAGGAATCTTCGCAACTCGAGGGCCTACGAAGGCTTCGAAAATTCTAGGAATGTCAATAGTTACCCGTCAAAAACGAAACTCGCACACTTCTTCAGGGTATGTCGGTGAACGTGTGTACATAAACCGTGTGTAGGTGTCGTGTGTATGTGTGTGTGTGTGCTATACTTATACTCAGAGAGTTGCGCGGCCTTTGGCTGTTGCGGCGAAGGCGGGGACCGTCCGGATCACATCCTGGGATAGCATGCACAGAACACAGCACAAAACGCCACACAGTTACAGACAGACAAATCGACAAAAGAGAGAGGTGTAGAAAATAGTCCACGAAGCGTCGTGGAAGATAAGTCGCGTTGGAGGAATTAATGATAAATGCAAACGACGAAGAAATTCACCGGAGGTAAAAAAAACTCACGCCGACCGTTCTCCAAGATGGCCGACGAAATGCTCTCGAGTGGATTCGAGCCTCTCATTTAAGGCTTTGAAACGATTTAATCGGGATCAAATCTCATAATCGGATTTTCTACCGGGTCTTCGAGGTGGCTAATTGAAAATTGACACACGAGGGACCGTGTGGCAATTTAATTGAAAATTTGGAGATCCGAGCGAAACGAAAATCCACGAAACGTTTCTTTGATTGAATGACTTTTTTTTTTTCTTTCTTTCTCGGTATAGGATGAGTCCTAGAAGAGGCGGATGTCGGATGAGGGGACCGGAAGTGGAGGTGGACCCGCGAGGTGGAGGCTCACCTTGACTCCCCCGCCGCCGGTGCCGCCGGAAGGGGCAGGACCGCGAGCGGGCGTTACGTAAAGGCTTTCGGTTCGTTTCGGCTGTCCAGGACTGGGCAGGATGTCCTGGCCGAGGCCGCGGTTCTTCAGGAGTGCGCCCTCGAACTGGGCCCCACTAGGAGGTGGATACGTGGGGGTAGCTGCCCCACTGCCTACCGCGGATCCATTCAAGGGGGTCGCCGCTCTCATGGCGCTAGGACCTCTCGCTGATCTGAAATGTTTTTTATACGTTAAATAATCGAGGGTGGGGAACATTCGAAATTTTGTGCCATAAAATTCCACATTTCTCCTTAAGAGTCAATATTCGAACGTCATGAAAATACCAATCTATTTGTCACGAAATTACATATTTCTCCTCGAGACTCAGAATTTCAGCGTCATGAAAATCCGATTCTTTTTTTTTTTTCTGTCACGTTAGAATAGTAGAAATCGTAGTCTTCTCGGGGCAAGGTAATTAACGGGGAAGGATGATTGAAAAAGTTCTAACGAACGTTTCTCACCTGTCGGTAGGCTCCGGTGGAGGAGGTGACATCGTCTTGTCAACGGACGGTTGTCTCGATCCCATGATTCGAGAATGAGCCCTGGCGTATCGGTCGACCGAGCTGTCCCTGCTCGGAGGTCTTTTATAATGGTCCAGCCTAAAACCAATAGCACGTATACAGACGCCTGACAAAGAATCTACAAATATAAATACAGGAAAAGAAATTTCGGCTGGACGGACTAAGTTAAGGCGACACGAAATCGGCATCCGAATAACCAATCCTCACCACTTTTCCCCTAACCGAGTGTCCGAAATCTTTTGAAATTTCACCACATGTATATTCAGACTCTGAGAAAGATCCCAATGGTAAATGAAAATAAATAAAAGGTTTCTAAACAAATTCGTGAAAATTAGATTCCGCGTCGAGACCTTCCTCGGGGTATCCGTGTTCATGAGATAAAATGTCGAATGACTCGGTTCAGTCGATTGGAAAAGATATTTCATAAACGATCGATCCTTCAGGCGTCACTTTCGTATCACCTTAAGGACCTTTGCAGGACGAGTCACCTGTCGTTGAGGGTCTGGCCAATGTTCCCAACGGATGGCCTGTCTTGCTGACTTAATACTCTGCTATTTCTGCGTATACTAGTTGCACTCGGAGGTTTCTGACTATCTTCAGTCTGATTCGTTTGCGGTGGCTGACCATAGAGTTGCTGAGTGTTGTAGGGGTTCATATCAGGACCATAAGGGGTCGGAACCGTTCCCTGTAACCGAGAACCCCAGTAAACTTCCCATCTCCGCCCGCTCCACATATCCAACAAGGGTCCTCGAATATTCGTTTAAATTAATAAGACTGTAAAAAAGCCACGGTAATAAATTTCAAGACGACATTGGAGGAGCCTTGATGGCGCTTAAAAAAATTCAACGTTATCGGACTGAGCGATTAGGTTGAAAAAAAAAAAAGAAATATATATGTATAAAACGATCTTGACAGCAGAGATAGTCAAGTGCTCAAGGACGGTGCATCAGTGCATCAGTGCAGCACAAAGTGGGATGATTGATTAAAGAGGAGAGACGGAGAGAACTAGAGAAAGAGAGAGAAAACCTTTGCGGGTGGTTCGTTAAACCTACGGGGTAGAAATCAGGATTAATTCGCTTCTCGTTTGGATTATTCTGGTAGATGGGAGGCTTCTAGGGTACAAAACGTTCCCAACTAGATTTCGAGGTTGTCGCCACGTCTGGCCTCGAGGGTGCGATCGGGATTAATAGAAAACGCATCTTGACATTAATTCGAGTAGGGGTAATATCACATCGAAAATTGCCCGGGTAATGTCGGATCGCTTACACCATAAAGCTGGGGCCCGAATTGATTCATTTGCGCCAGAGTCATTGGACCGTACATAACCGGAGATATTGGGAACATGATCTATAAAAACAGAGAATCGCAAAGGCGCCGATCAGCAGTCTATCCATCCATACACGGTTTCATTCATGGTTCATCTACGAGCACAGAGCCGCAAACGAAAGGAAAACCCCATTAATCAACTCTGCCATTAATCGAGACTTTGATTGACGAGCTGTCGATAGGATTTTTTGATATTCAAAGTCCAGCAACCCCGCGGAATATCGAAATATTGGATTTTCGTGGCATATTGAAAAGAAATTTTTCAAATCCTTCCCCGACTTCGCTTCGACTTGAGCACGAGGAATTGGCAACCCCAAAAAATAATCCCCTTTCATTTAATTCCTCATCCACCGCACTTCAATTCTCATCCCGTATTTATGGTAGAGAAAACCACTGTACTAGTTAAAGAATTACCACGAACTTATGTACCGATCCAGTATCTAAAAAGAACTCAGGTGAACCCCCCTCAGGTTATGGAGCCCCTTTATCACCTGTTGATTGGCGTAATGAGACTGATTAGGGTATCCTTGCAGGTTCTGCGGATAGGGTTGCTGCAACGGTTCCACCTGGTTCGGTCCCATAGAATATCCTTGCAGGTTCTGCGGAAATGGGGCGTTCGGTGGGATGTACTGGTTCCCAGGATACGGTTGTCCAGGTTGGTAAGGATTCGGCAAACTGTTTCCAAGCTGGCCCTGGTTCCCCTGGGGGTAGGAATTCGGCTGGTTCTGGGTCGTCGACCCGAGGTTCTGGTCCTGGTTGGTCATCTGGTTGGGTAAAGGCCCGGGTCCTTGGTTATTCAGCTGGTTCTGGTTCGGCGGTTGCCCCAGCTGGTTCTGGACGGGCTTCATGCTAGGTCTCCTCAACATCTGCGACACGTTGGTGGTGGTGGTCGTCGTCGTCGGGGCGGCCGTCGACGTCTCGTTACCTGGCATCTGAGCAGGTGGCTTCGCCTGGTCCTGGCTCTTGTGCAGGATGCTCTTCCCTGGCATCGTGTCCTGGGGCGGGGGGTCGTACTTCGGGATCGACCTTGGCGGTATCCTGTCCAACCCTGGCAGCTGGAAGTCAGGGGCGAACTGCTTGGCCGTCTGCAGGGCGATTTCGCAGTCCTCTTTTGCATGAATCGCAGCGATGTCGGCCAATTCCGCCTTCCCTCTCGCCGTGGCCGTCCTGGAAATCGCGATGTCCTGTTTCTGCAACGCTATCTTGCTGGCTCTTTGTGCAGCGTTAACGGCGGCTTCTATCCTTTCCCGAAATTTCGCGGATCTTATCAGGAACAGGTGCTTCTTCTTCTGGCTGGTTATCAACACGTTGTTCTTGTACTTCCCCTCCTCTTTGTTACCGTCCCGGAAAGTCGTCACTCCGTATCCGTACTTCCGGTTGTTGAACCACTCGCCTTCGTATCTCAACCCGTCACTTCTCTCCGAAATCCCGAAGCCGGTCCTCTTGTCGTTCTTCCACTCCCCCAGGTACGTTTCCGTCACCGAGGCGTCCATCTGCTCGTCCTGGAACCACGACAAAAGAAATTCAAAGTGTCTTTTTTAACCACCACTCGTCACCAAAAAAAAGAAATTAAAACCCTCGACAATAAAATCAACGCGTGGCTAAATTTCCTTTCTCATCTTTTATTTCACTTCAATTGACAATAATTAACGCAACTAATATTTACGGAATTGATCCTGGAAAAGGGACGAAATAAGCGTTTCAATTTTCGTTACGCTCGCGAGTTTACAGGGAGGTCGGATGTTTCGCTGGAAATGGAAATGGAAAAAAAAAAAATCTTTCGGGCGCGGAAGAGTTTGTTCAAGACTTCAAGAGACCCCCCGGGGAGTGGGGGGTTTAATAATAAATTATCCTCGAGGGAAGGCCTATTTCTGTAAGGTCAGACGACCAGGTTGTCTGCCCATTGATCCTGGAACCATGGTTCACGGGACAGGGAGGACAAAAGGTTAAGACGGGGGTCCAGGAGCAGTCTATCCAGAAAAGTTATGTAAACGATCCTGAAGAGCCTCTGGCCATTTTTTAACCCTCGGACTATCTCACCTCGATGACAAAAGACGCGTTACTGTCGGTGTGCACAGAAGCCGATGCCTGACTTTGGGAACTCTCCGTAGACATCCACGAAGTCGAACTCGCGTTGCTCCTGATGCTTCCTCCAGTTCCATGTTTTACAAGGTCGCCTGTGCTCTTCTGCTTCCTCATGAGGCCCTGAAGAAAGGTCCCAAATAAGTCGAAACGATATTTGAAACGTCCCTCGTAAACTAAAATATTCTCTAAATTTAGATACGACATTATTTTTGTCGGAATAATGACAATTTTGTTTCAGTCAAATAATTATTCTTCGAATTATCGAAACATTCCTTCGGTTCATGAATTCTTTTTCTCGGGGTATAAGTACGTTATTAATTAGTTTCGACGAGGAAATTAAATTTTTCTTTTAAATCTTTATTTTGTAACTTAGAATGTTTGGGTATGATAAAGTATTCCTTGTGTAAGGATCATGTACGAGAAGACGAATTCTGACCTCCTTACCCCGAGGATGTCCTTACCGAGAGGATTCCCTTTTTCAGGGACTTCTCCGTCAGACTTTTCCTGCGAGCCGGAGGGTCGTCGCTCCTCGCTTTAAGGACGAATCCTCCTCTGCTGTCGTCCACTCTTCGATCCCTCCTGTCGGTCGGTTCCGGGGTCGGTGCAGCTACAGGACCTCCATCTGCACTTCTGAGGGACGTCATGGACGCTCGCACCTGTTTCGGGGGTTTGTAATGCGAGGCCAGGCCGAAGGGCGCGCTTGCACGCACTCCGTACCCATGACGCATTCCTCGGAGCCATTGTCCTTGATAGGTCCCTGGAAAAATGTGGAGAAAAAAATTACTTCTCGTTCCTTTCCTTCCCCATGATTTTAGGACATTTTTTCGAATTTTTCAAACAGCTACATCCACGGGAAATAATTCCCCAAGAAGGATTCCACCCCACTTTTGGCGACTCTTCGTTAAGGTTCCCCTCCCCCAAAAAACGTATCGAAAATCCCACTGATGCAGAAACTCTCTAACCCTCCCAAGACCGTTAGCGATATCCAGAAAAATTGCCGATTTCAGAACGAGATCATGGAACCTGAAAAATAATTTTCTCCGACTACCAAGATCGGGAATTCTTCGCAGAAGACCTCGATAATGATCGAGGAAAAATTCAGGCGGTCCTGTAGGCGTTTTCGAAAAATGCCGAATAATGTTTCCGACCTTTCTTTCCCTCTTATCAATGTACAAATCAATGTACAATTTTATCGAGTGACCGTGGACGTGAGGAAATAATTCTTTCGGCCGCGCCGCCATTTGCCAAGATGGCGGGCGTTTCGTCGCGATCCTTTAGGAGAAATCGAAGGAAAGAAATCATGCTCACCTTCGGCGGAGTATTAGCCCGGTAATTATGTTACATTGTTACTGCCAGAACGTGACCGTGTTTCAAAATGGCACACGGTGAGTCACGCGTGGCGTCGGTGCGACATTACGAATTCAGGGACGGAATGCGCGAGCGTGGGCATCGACATTGCCGCCATTTTGGCGAACGATCGGACGAGCGCGCCGATCGACGTTAGCCCTAAGGAATCTTTTTTAAAAACGCGATTCCCTCATCCACGAATCTATATCCACGGACACGTCCCCGATGGAATTTCGAAAGATTGGTCTCCATTTCGGAGCGCAGAATCAATGGAGCAAACTTTTGCACCGAGGTGACTCACTCGATGGAAATCCTACACTCGCGGATTCGTAAGAGGATGTTGGCCCGATTTTCACCATCCGGGAATGCAGTCCATTTCGGCTTTATTTTCCCTGCCGAAAACAACTAAAAGTGACTGATCTAAATATCTGCCACCCCAAGAAAGCGTTTAAAATCCTAATGAAAATTGTCAGGATTCTCCAATGGCGAATACGCGATTCGTAACGACGCCCTTAAATCTGGAGCAACATTGTTCTGCATAAAATCCCCATCAAAGGGACATCAAAGAAGCCGGTGGCGCATTTCTTACGCCGTTTTACGAGACGTTGACACTCGAAATCGAGATTTCGATGCGTTCGAGCTGGATTTGAAAATCGAGGCAGCCTTAAAGTTTCCATCGTCGCCCGATTCAGAGTCCTGCACTCGCGTGCGCTATTTAGGTCAGACCTTTGCGCGTCTCTCGGAAACGCTTTTAGACAAAAAGTCCCGACATTTCCATCCGCCGAGGCGAGAAGAGGAGATCGAAAGATATCGGGAAATTTCTGAAAAATATTCCCACACCCCTCCGGGAAGTCGCGGGGAGGGGAAAAGGAGACGCGGACGAGGATCGATCCTCCTTCGCCATTGGCTGTCGGGTGCAATTTATTGCCAATTCATATCACGGGGAGATTCCTGCCACAGGACCTAACCACAATTAACTCCACTTAAAGTTTCGCGAAATATCACGCCTCCCGCAATTCGCGGGGTTGTTAATTAAAAGACCGTGGAATCGCCCTCGATTTTTCCGCCCTCTTTACGGGGCGTCAATTAAAATTTCCTTAAAATTCGCAAGTACCAGAATATCGGGTACAAGAAAGTACAACGTAATTTCCAGGATTTAAGAAAATGAAATTTTGGGTTCCAGGAAAAAAAATGAAGGGAAATTGGCGAAGGTTAATGAAATCAGACTCTTTAATTGCAGCGATGACATAGCAGGGAGATAACGACTCCTCGTAGTTTATAGTTACACTTGTACAATTTAGCAAACGGGTGAATTTTCGAGATCCGAGAAAAATGGTGAAAACCAAAAAGATCGGTCTCTCATTCGGCCGCAGGCTTTGCGAGCTAACGTTAGGGAGAGGGAGCGGCCCCTCTTTGGCGAGAGTTCCACCTCGGTTCAACTCGTTTTATAGAGCACACCTGAAGCTGGAAATTTTTCCGAGGACCCTGAAGGGTTGTTTTACGGTTAAGGAGTGGTCTCGTGTCTTCGGTCTCGGGGGGCGATCGGGTCCGGCGAAATCGAGCGATCGGTACGGCACTGGGCCGCTCCATGGCACTGGCTGGCCCGCCTGAAATAGCGCGGCCACCTCGCGTATCGGTGGTCGTTCGTAAGCCAATCCAAAATGGCCGAGTATTGGTGAGAATTAGCCGTGCTAGTGTATTTCGGGCCGCAGCTTCCACCAGACCGTCGCCGACCGCTCGACGGAGATGTCGCCGGGCCGATCTCCCGGCTCCGGAAATCGAGCCTGGTCTCGAAGGGCGAAGAGAACCTCATATCCCCCATAAGAAACATCATCCCCCCAAAGAAAAAAAAGAATAAATATCCTACATCAAGAATCCCCTATTTTCATTTTTATCTCCATTTTTTTCCAATCGTTTCATTTTTACGCCCATTTTATTTCACTTTTATTTCAACGTTGTCCCAGTTTTAATCCACTTTTTATTTATCCCTTCTATACATCTAGTCCACTATTGTCCTCATAAGAAACATCATCCCCCCAAAGAAAAAAACCAAGAAAAAATATTCTTCATCAAGAATCCCCTATTTTCATTTTTATCTCCATTTTTTTCCAATCGTTTCATTTTTACGCCAATTTTATTTCACTTTTATTTCAACGTTGTCCCAGTTTTAATCCACTTTTTATTTATCCCTTCTATACATTTAGTCCACTATTGTCTGCACGTGTTCGCAAATCCAGCCCAAACGTCGGAAGGGCTTAACAATGATGGGCTTAATAACGAGATTTTTACTCGTCTGTTGAATAGGAAACGATTTAAAAGGGCTATTACATTATTTTACGAATTATATTAATGTGCATTAATTTTCAAAGCAATGATATGAAAAAAAAAAAAAGTATGGCTACGTGGAGAGGTTCAACCGGCTGACCGAGTCATCGATCGCTTCCCCTTGGAATCAGGGTCTCGGCGGTTCTTTCTCTTTTTTTTCTTAGGCGTTGGCCGATTTATTATTAATTAAATATTCATCTGCGTATCCAGAGAGGATTTGTTATCCGAATTAAATTGGATAGAGAGTAGTCTTTGTCGGTGCCCGAAAACATGACGGATGACTCACGCGATATTTCTCCCATCCGAGACTCTAAACTTCGGAAGTTTACCCGATCCTTTTCGTTTACTCATCGAATTCCCCGATTCGCATTTCGGTGAAGTTCCGTTAGCTTCCGGTCGTTCTCGTCAGAAATTAACGACGAGATGTTTCCGTCCTGCTTGAAATGTTTCATTAAAAGCCTCCCGTCCCTCCAAACCCTGAATAAATAATAATAAAAAAACATCGAATGGATTAATAATATCCGCCAAAAGTATTCCCAAATAGAAAAAGTCGACGCGAGGTAAGATGCGTAAACTAAATATCATTGACAAAATATTTCGTTGACCCAATATTTTTTCTCATGAAGGAAGTGTGATTAAATTTGGAATATTTGGCCCACCGAATATTAATAAGAAAGAAATACCGCTGAACCAAAATATCTCGCCGATTAAAAGAATAACTATTTGACTCGAATAAATTGGATGCGACGTTTATTCGAAATTGTCATAATTTCTTGGTGTCGAATAAACTATTCTTGGAATTAACGAATTATTTCCTTGGTACTATTCAAAGAAACATTTCCTTGGTTCGATGGCATTTTTTTATTCGGTGGAAGAACGATAAGATCCCGGGATATTCTTACGACTTAAAAGCTGTTAAAATGTTGCCTACACGGTGTGATTTTTCTTTTTTTTTTTCTGGGTTGTCTTTCGCATGTAATAGCTTGTCAAGCACGGTTATTAATTCCGCTTCAGCTATTCGCATCTATTTGCCCCTCTGGCCAGGAATTCCTGGGGCTAATTCGCGGATATTTCGGACGACTTTTATCACTCGGGGTGACGTCAGATAAATACAAGGCGCGTTCCTCTGACGTCCGATTGTGTGTCTCCTTTTTCACTTGTCCCCAGTTTTTCGCATTTTTTTTTTCGCCGTTCCTTAACGTTCCAGGGGGCTATAAAACTTGTCTCCGGGAGAATATTCCCGAGGGAACGGCCATTAACTCCCTTGTCCTTCCTCGAGAAAACGAGGATTGAGGCCGAGTTGAGGTAATGTCTCCAGTCGGACGTTTTGAGTGATTAAAAAATGGAGAAAAATCCCATTTAACGGAATGTCGGGATAAGCTGCATATCCGGGGAACAGTTTTTTCCTCGTTTAAAAGACTGTGTGTTCAGAGTCAAGGACCGCTCTCAGGAATGACTGAAGTGATATTCTGCGCGAAGCGGCCTACGCTAAAGGCGCGCAAACACTTTCGATTTAATTCGAGGCCTTATCGATTCTCTTCGGAATACTCCCCCCGAGCCCATTTCATGCCTCCTTTATGTCGGCTTCCCGTTTCTCCGCGGCACGTGGCCACGTGAGGCACTTTATTTATAAATATAAAGCTTTGGCAAGTTCCTGATTCGACGAGACACGCGCCGATTAACCTCTATTAATCTCGAGCGCCCGTTCGCCGGGACACTTGTACACGCTAATGGAGAATAGCCGGCATTTCTTCCACGTTAATTGAACCCTACAAAAATCGGGGTTTCGATTTATAAGCACGACTCTTGGAGCGCGCGCTCCGAGGACTCCACATTTTGAATTTACCGCGCTAATCAAATCCCCCCAACCGCTGCGCGGCGACCGCGGGACGCGACTCCACTTTCTCTTATTTTCCCTTCTCTTGACACTTTCACGGTAATGGAGGATAAGTGCCATCCCCCGAAATCTAAAATCCGGTGCCCGAAGTCAAACTCGCAGAAAATGGCACCCGGAGAATCCCACTTTTTAAATTTACCGCCACAATCGAATCCCTCGGCCGCGGCGTCGAGAAAACTCGGCAAGATGGACGGCACGTAAATTCCGTCGCGTGCGATCCATCTTCGAGATTTTTTGTATCCCCCCTCATTTCTCTCCTCCTTGTAAAGTCGGGCATTAAGCAAAGGATTCCCAGAGGGGCACGCGACTTCGGTATGCACCCCGAATTTATGAGGTCCGAGGGGGAAAACAATTCAAGATGGCGGCGGAACGTGTCCCAAATTCGCGCACTTAAACACTAATTAATAGAACACATTGACAAGTTCAGGGCGTAATTCTCGTTTTTTTTTTCTCTTTTAACAGGATCTAGCGTGGGTCAGGTCGACGTTAGGGTGTTTTCATCCCCCTGGAGTTACGGAATGACGAAGTGGAAGGATCGAGGCCCGTCGAAGAGACGGACACCTCGCCCCGATGCGGCCCCGAAAACGCGGGCAGCGGATCGTTCGGTTCTAAATAAAGCGCTCAAGAGCAGCGGGATGAAATGCAATAAAACTTATCCGCGCCTCGGACTAAAGTGAAGTGCGCCGCTATTCCAAGCTGGCCAGTGACGCGCCTTAATATCGCGAGGCGGACGTCCGCCATGAGCCTTCCTCCCCCCTTAAGATAATGGAAGTAACCAGCCGACACGAAATCGCGATGACAATCCGAGACGAACCTACAAAGGAACGATTAAAGTCACCCTAGCGAGCGTTTCAATCTCTTTTACTATTATTTGCTAACTTCAGGGCGTGCCGGGCGACGCTGACAGCGAAGCGTCGTTGATAGTGACGCGACGCTGATGGTGACGCAACACTCACTTGGTACCACAATAAGTTGAAATAATTAATGATTTCGATGCAAATGACCATTACTAATATTTCACATTTTATTTTAGATCGTTCTCGATCTGAGGGAGAATATAAATCTCTGAAGTCAGCAGAGCACGGAGGAGTAATGCGAAGAATCGGCTCGGCCTTTTCTCGACGCCCAGACGGCGTCTAGAAGCCGGGGAAATTAGGTCGCGGGAAAGCGACAAAGGGGAACGAAACGGTAAGGGTGTCTCGGAAAGGCTCGGAGGAATAAACTCGTCCACGCGGTCGAAGGTCGTATCGACCTCGCGTCTTTTGCAACACATCGCCGCCATCTTGGTTTCCGTGTGGAAATTCGTCGATCCTCGCCGTTCCATAATTCGTTCATAAATACCTCACGTAAGGTTATAAACCGTGATCACAATAGCAAGAACTGTCATAAAAATGGCAAATCAGGTTTCCACGTAAAAATTATCCTGCAATTTAACTGGCTAGTTCTTATTTTTATGATTAAGGTCACCGTTACGCGAGGCGGTGTCTTCGCCGCCATCGGGGGTGCGTTCCCAGAACGGGGACGAATTCTTCTTTGGAACTTAGATTTGGAGAGGGAAGAGGTTCTCCGTCACGTGTACAAATTAAGACACGTGCAGTCTCTTCTCCATCGAACAAGTAATCGACGAGGGGCGAACATCCCCCAGCCTTTATCCACGTGGTCCGTGCCCCTGAACACGCCAGTAGCAAGCACCTGGAGCCACGCTTCGCCGAGCTCGGAGACAATTTACGTGGAAAATTTCCGGGCACGGAAACTTCGGGGCACTCACGCGGAAAGTCTGTAGAGAGGACGCGGTCCAATCGAGGGCGTTACATAAATCCTATGAATTTGAGGGATTATATAAATAAGGGACTTTAGACGAGCCCCTTCCTCCCTTTCGCGGAATATTCCATGAAATATTCTGCGAACGAGTAAACCGACGCGGCCAATTGCGGTCGATGGACGTCAACCTAGGTCGAGAAACTTGAACTCACAAAATCCGTAAAATTTCCAACCACGAGTTTCCCGATCTCGAGCTAATCATGTCGAAGCAGAATGTCCCTCCCTCGTTTTCTCCACTCGATCGTGCCAGCGATTTTTTAGCCCAATTTCCCTGTCCCACGTTTTCTTTTTTTTCGCACGATCGAGCTAATAATCTCTCAGCACGATTTCCTTCCCTCATTTTTCCCACGTGATCGAGCTAAGAATTTTCCCGTTTCTTCTTTTTTTTTTGTCTGCATAATTACACGATTGAATTACCCTATCTCGATTTAATCGTCAAGCATCGTTTTTTCCTGCATTAACATAAATTTCGTAATTGACCATTCCGTTTCGATTTCACCTTTGAGCGGAATATTACCCCTGGAAAAAGAGCCGTAAAGAGCGTTTCATATTCCGTTTCTCAGCTCGGCGGGGATGAATGGGCGGGTTCGCGGAAACTCGAGTTCACCCGAGGGGTGACGGCAGTTACTTCTTTCAGAAATAACCCCGATGCATCGTATCAGGGGTTGACAAGGATAAGGCGACTCACCGCTGTCGGCGTAAGTCTCGGAGCCGTAGCCGTCCTGGAGACCACTCGCCCACGTGCCCTCGTACCTCGCAGTCGAGGTAGTCGATTGTCTGACGCCGTATCGACCCTTGAAGCCCTGAGTCCATTCTCCCCGATAAAGCCAGCGACCTCGCATCTCCACTCCGAGGCCATGGCGTTTCCCATTCTGCCATTGTCCCTCGTAAGTCGAACCGCTGTAATCAAATGCCTCTCTTGTATTAAGCCCTGTCGAAGGCGTTACCAGGTCGTCCTTCCATGCCGAACATTCCCAGAAAATTGGCCACTGACGTAAAGTACATGTACACTCCCTTATCAAGAAAAGGAGGAAGAAAATGAACTAAAAAAAATATGTATATCATTGAAATAAAAATTTTTTTTTCATTTGCTTACGGAAATTTTATCGTTATTTTTATCACGATAGTGACATGGCATCATGACAATGGCATTATCAGTGTTGTAATAATTCATGTCGGTACATGGGAACTAGGTCGATAAACACGGGGGAACTTAACATTGAATATTCTGATAACAAGATGGCGCCTAGAAATGTCTTTTGACCTCCGGCGATTTTTCCCCCACTTTCCTCTCTGTGAGCGGATCGCAGTTATTGCAGGCCTTCCTTAAGTTATTTTTAAAACGATCGTCGACCCTCTCGACCGATGAACGGATGAACTCGGTCCTGCGTCTCGAAAAAAGGAGCCGGACGATAAAATAAAAAATAAGAAGTACATTTCCACCCTCACTACAAAAGTATCTCTAATCGCTCTTGTTCTCCAAATAGTAAAACTCAGCAAGTTAAAAAAAAAATAAGGTACCGTTGTCGCGGCCTTAAAAACTGAAATTAAATCATTTTCCTCGACGTCAGGTTGCTTAACGTAAAATATTGCTTGCGATGTAATTCGCGTAATGTCTGTGAAAAAAAGGAAAGAAGAATTATTTCCCAATCTCTTTTATCATGGATAGGTCGCCGCGTCTTTTTGCGACGCGGTTGTCGACCATCCGAAGAGGATGCTCGTCCTGGGAATATCTCGTCCAGGATGCGGAATCCGCGTCCCTCGTTATTCCTGACAAGTCCCTTGACAGTCTGCATCGATCCCATCGACAACTGGAACCTCGACTTGTGCTCGAGTCGAGATTATCCGACGTTAAATCTGCATTGCAGATTCCCCTGCGCCGCCATGTTTTCTACGCATGTTTACTCGAGTAATCCGACTGGGTCCATAAGCGACGCATTGTCGACGGAGGTTGAAACATTAACCTTTTTATGTGACATCCTCTTGGCAAGATGCCTGGCCTACGTCGAATTACTATTTCTTTGCGATCGAGTTTAATTGAACCCTCGCGTGCCGTGCGGCAATGTCCGCCATAAGAGTTCGCCATTTCTCCGCTTTTAATCAGACCGTAAAATAGCCCGACGAGGCATCTCGTATTAGGGCTGATTAAAAGCGAAGCCATCGGTCCTTTCAGCAGGCAGGTTAATGGCGTCCTCGATCGAATTTCGAACAAATGCGATATCGGTTCCAGGCGCGGCCATCGCGGATAATGGGACCGAGGAAGAGGCAAAATATCCACAAAAATTAAAAATCGATACATTGACAGAGAGAGATATATATATTTCATGTATTTAACAGTGCCAAAGAAATACTTTATTAATTCAATGAATGATTATTTCACTGGAATGAGATCGAATTAATTGGATAGGGATTATCTCGATACTGACCCGAAAATATCGATACGAATGGCGATCGATTATAAAATTAAAATAAATTTCTAGGTTAAAGAGAATTATTAACTATCCTTACTTTGTCACGGGATATTTCTACGGGTAAGTAGCAATATTAACACGCATGAATTAATGTGAATTGTAATTAATGATAAGGATTATTGAGTAACGATCCATGAAGGTCCTATTTCTTAATGTGCGAGCGTATACGCTCGCGGTGAGAAGTTTCACGTGAGCGCTCGGCGGCCCCAGGGGAAAGACGGGCGCCGATTGGCCGTTTCCCCTGGAGCCGCGGGGTGCCTTCCCAGCGACGTTGGCCGTCGAATCGACGTCTCGCTCCCTCTCTATTTCGGTTTAAGTTAGGTGTCTCGGGTTTCCTCGTTTATTCAGACGGGATCGAAGGGAATGGAATTTATCAGGGAGCACGCGGACACGCCGAAGGCCTTGCTCCAGTTTTCCGAGTCACGCCGGAAACAAATAGTTTCGGATCCCCCGGCCCAGATTCCCGGATCGTCGCCATCTTTTCCCCCGTAAACTTCCCCGTCTCGAGACTCGTGGAAACCGAAAGGGGAAGGTCGGATTTTGCATCTCTCCCCCACTCGTCCCTTTAGTTTCGCCGCTCGATTCAATCCCGTCTTCGTGGACCTTGACGTTCTTTTCTTTTTCTCTGTCCTTCGAAATTTACCGAGGAAAGAAAAAAAAAGAAGAAGAAAAGTGCCCCCCGAATTCGCTCCCCCGGCGATTGGAAAGCGCTTCCACCGTTTTTCTTATTTTTCTCAAGCCTCTCTCGCAAGTTCGCGAAAAATGACAAGAGAGGAAGTAGTCGAGCTTCGGCCTCGACGTTCCTATGTGCTGACTTCGAGATTCCGGAGGACAAGTGGGACAGAAAATCGGAGAAGGAGGACACCAGTCAATCTGACAGAACGCTGGGTCAATATTGTGTCACGCTATCTGTCAGTTTTCAGACTGGGGTCAACGGTTTCCGAAATTCCCCTCTCCGCCCCCCGGAAAATTCAGGATACCCTGGAAAATTCACGATACATCCGCATGCAGCGTCTCATCGACTCGATTAATCGAATTGCCGCGAAAATCAAATATCCTCAGAGCGGGCGAAAGTTTTCACGTCTATCGGCTCGAAAAACTCGACGAGTTGCGAGTTGTGTGTTCATCGAGACTAGGCGACTCGATCGAATTTGAAAACCGCGTAAAGAGAGGTTAACGAGGAATCGTCCTCCATGCCTATGGAGTCTCTCGCATGTCTCGCGATAATTGCTATTCAGCCTGGTTTAGAAAAATCGCATGTCGACGTCACTTATTCCCATTTATGTGCCGCGATGCCACTGATACGAAAATATGTCGAGCAAAGGGAGCCATTAGCGTCCGCGAATCGAAGCCTCGATCAGCTGATCGGATGTCGCGAGTGACGTCCCGAATGCCGAAAATTCGAAGGAGCGAAAATACGTCGTTCGAAAAAAATCGCGAACATCTAAACTTCATACATTTCGAATATTATCCTTACAGACAGAGTCCCGGCTTGAACAACTTTTAAATTTGGTTTATAAAAAAAAATCTTGAGTATGAAAAAGAAAAAAAAAGATAAGTTGAAAATTCATGATAAAATCGAAAAGCGCCGTGCAAGAATGGCGATCCTCGATTTCCCAGCAGTAATTCAAATGTTCCGAGGGACGTCTCGTCGTGCGATCGACTATCCGGAACAGTTTCCAATTTGTCACCAGACGATTATCCCGGATGTCCGTGAACTGAGTCCGCCGGTTGGAGTCCCGGTAACCCGTTTGCGTTGTCCTTGCACTCGGTGACCCAGTTCCAGGATCCACCCTCTGGCGGGCAGGTTCGCCGATATGCGAGGCTATATGTGCACCAGGATACGTGTCAAGGTCCACTGCTCATCTCCGATAGCCGACCCGCGAAAAACTCTCTCGAATGCGGGAAAATGTGCTACGGCGACACGTGCGAAAAGGCGCGCGGTGTTGCATTAGCCCTGCCATTAAAGAGGCCACTCGCGACGTGGCTCAAGCCTTTCAAACCTTTTCCCAGAGGAAGGGAAGGTACTTCCCTAACCTCAAGGGCTCGACGTAATTACTGATCCCTAACGACAGGAAAGGTCAGATTTTCAGGCCGTCGAGGATCACAAAAAGCCACATATTTTTTTTCCTATTAATTACGCCCTGACGGTTCCCCTAATGTGAACGCTTTCCATTTTTCCATAATTTCCATAATTTAAGGGCCTCACAAGTACAGGGGAAAATACAGATTTTTAGGAAACCGCCTAGATATAATTTCCAGGTTAGATTCTTAATATTTTCAGGTTAGGATTGGCCCGTAAGGACCAACCACCGCCAACCTCCAAAATTGAAATAAATAAATTCTCGTCGAGTTACTGTCGCACAGAAATAAATCTCATCTAACCCAAGGGATATTGCGTTAATTCAACAGATAACGATTTGACTCGGATAAACTGGATGCACCGTTTCTTCGGAGTTATAACAATTTGTTTCCTCGAATCGAATCATTCTTTGAATTGAAGAGATGATTTTTTCGATACCGTTCAAAGAAAGATTCCTTTGGTTGATGTATTTTTTCGTCGCAGGGTAGCGTTAAGGGGATGTGAAAGTGGCATCCGAGGGGTCGATCGTTCATGAAACTTTTCTCCGAACTAAGTGCACCGAATCGTATCAAGCATTACAACATGAACATAGAGGTTGCAAGAAAGGTCCTGAAACCCATAAAATGTCATTTTTAATAAAAATGTTGTGAAAATGCTAATAAATAAATTTTTAAACAATTGAAATTCCATGGGTGTCAGGACCTTCCTTATAACCTCCATATTCACCTCGTAAGTTTTGAAACGATTCGATACACCCAGTTCAGAGAAAAGTTTTATAAACGAGACCTCCGTGTTGCCACTTCCACATCACCTTAAATTGGCTAATGTTTTTAAGGTTATGTGAGAATACCGACCTCGGCCACATGTAGACCCCGGAGACCTCGAAGCCGTAGTGCCAGCTCCCCGAGTACGCCCCTTGTCCCTTGGGCCCGGTGCAGACGCCATGGCCGTGGGCCTTGCCGTCTTCCCAGCCCCCGCAGTAGGTGCCGCCGTCGTCGAAGTCGAACCTGCCGCCGTTGACTTGGGCCCGATTCGCAGGGGTCGTGGTGGTGCCGGTCGCCCCTGGCTGGGCGGGGCTTGCGCCCCCCGCGGCCTGCGGGAGGGGGGCGCCTCCGGCCACGCCATTGGCCTGCTGGCCCGGCTGCTGCGGTTGCATGGCAACGGCCTGGCGTCCTCAGGCCCGTATCTGCCAGTCGGGGCCCCCGTCAGCAACAAGCGACTCGGGCGCGGCCCATCCCTCGAGCCCCCGACTGGCCACCGTGATTCTGCAAGAGAACGCGAGCTATCGATTGGCCGATCGTTGTCATAGATCGAGACCCCAAAAATGACCAAGGTAACGGAAGGGGAACGTGCAAACGAATTAAGGATTCTCCTCAAACTGACAAAATCAGCTGTTCTCCCTCTGTCACGACAGGTGCCTCCCTTCTCCCTTTTCACCCCCTTCTTGTCGCGCGTTAATAAATTCGCGCAAAAATGTATCAGCGCACTTTTAAATGCCTGTTACGAATTTCATATAAATTCTTTCCCCGCCGCATTTTCACGTGGTTTTGAATATTTCAACTCTCCGGTAATCTCGATGGAGTAACGGCGACGATCAATTTCAGCAATGGCTCGCGAAACTCTGGACACACCACTGGCTCGACATTCCGCGAACCGGTGCAGGAAAATGGAACTCACGTATTGGTTCGCGGGCGTGTATCTCCCTCCGAAAAATAAGACTCGACTTCCGATGACGTTATCGCGCATTTTAACCGAAAATAATCCGGGTGCTCTGACAGCCGGAAAACATTTCCAGCGGGGCGAGAGGTGATAGAAAAGCGAGCACCACTTCCGCAGCCCTCGAGGGATTTCCGAAATTTTCCCAGAATCTCCCGCTAAGAAAAATATTACACCAGTTTCGACCCAGCGGATGGGAAAAAGCACCCCTCGCGTGCGAATTTGAAAATCGAGGAGTGCACGTGCGTTTCGAAAAATGAAATAATGAAAAAGAAAAGAAGATAACTCGGTAAATTTTAAACAACGATTTCCGAGCAAACACGAGCTGTCACCAACCGCCTCTTGAGAGCACTCGGTTTCACTTATAGCTCGGAAATCCAGCACTATTAATGGTACCCGGTGTACTCAGCTCGTTTACGAGCGGATCCGCGGCCGTAAATCCCCGGCCACGAGGCGGCCCTCCGTCGGCGTGGACGGAGTGGCTGGGACGACGGCGCGGCTCCGCGAAGGCCCCGTCATCGGCTCCCGGAAGGCGGGAAAGGAGAAATCCGTCATCGGCCAGGAATCGATCGGCCACCTCGTCCAGCTTTTCTCCGTTTCCACCTCGGCTTAATTTATTTATCCGCGCATAAAGACGCCGCCGACAAGATACACACTTCCGAGGTGTGCCTCGGTTCACGTGCCCCAGCGAATCCGAATCACGACCACGATCCGGCCCCCCGTGTACTTGGACGAAGTGGCTGGGACAACGGTGCGACTCCCGAGAGGCGAGGAAGAAGAAATCCGTCATCGGCCAGGAATCGATCGGCCGCATCGGCCTCTTTTCCTCATTTTCTCCCACGGCTTCATTTACGTTTCCCTCCTCCTTTTCACCTTGCTCTCATCTATTTCTGCGTCTACAGAGACGCCGGAAAATACACACTTCCTCCCGGTGGAGTAGCACTGCGTCCAGGTGTCACTCGCGAACCCTGGTACAGATCGTAGCATTAATAGTCGCGATCCCGGGTCTGCGGTTCCCTCGTCTCCCGTCCCGGCACTATTAATGGTACGAGGTGTACTCGGCTCGCGCACCAGCGGATCCGCGGCCGCGAGTCCCCGGCAGGACGCGGCGGTCTTCGTCCACGGCGGCGGAGCTGGTGCTACTGCGGTTACCTCCGCGTCTAACCGCGTTACGCAACGCTTCTATAAGCATCCGTGATCTGCTCGGAATGTGGCCTCTCTCTCCTCGGCCGCCGCGGCGGAAGCTCCGAAAGCTCCCGAGAGGCCCGACGGCGCCCCCGAGGAAGAGCTCCCGGGTTCTAGGTCCCGGTTCTTCAAGGTCGGGAACCGGAACCGAAGACTCGCCTCCGAGCCCTACCCCTGGACGGGAGAGCCCCGGAAACCTGCCATCAAAGTTCCATGACTGAAATCAGCTGACCCCAGACCCCCACATCTATTATTCCTTAATTATTCCCTAAATTCCCGGACAAATTTTCAAACATTGAAATATCCTTTTCTTCGCTTTATTTATTTATTTTTTAATTCAGAGTACACGATGAGTGACTCGTTTCTTTGGGGAAAAAAAAACATTAGTGTCTCGAGGAATACCCGATTTTCATCTCGCTGGAGAACACTTTCATCGTGGCGATTAATCGGGTATTTTCAAATCAATGAATTTCGTCCAAAAAGTCATGGAGGGCCCCAACGAGATCAGCTGACTTGCAGAAATCGAAATCTGTCCACCAGCCCCGAAGATCGGAAATCGTCACTTGGTCGTTCTCGGGAATCCCTCGTAAATCTCTCCCTCCCCCAGATGATGTCCCTCTTGACGAGCCATTATACCCGGAGCACTCTTTCGCGTTCCTCCGGAAATTATGCGAGAGCCGATAAGAGGAGTTTAACGACTCGCCACGCCTCGTTTCGCGGAAACGCACGTGAATTCATTTACATGGTTCCCCACTTCGAGGAGGGGGCTCCGAAATGCTTCCATCTCACCGAGGATGGAAAAAGTGGGCGGTCTAAAAAGGGGGGGATTCTTTTTTAATGCACCGCGACGATGTAGGTTAGGTTGTTTAGCGTAAATATAGCGTTAGCGCCGGCGAAAAGCGGGATCGACGGTGAAAAGGGAGAAATAATGCGTGGGCCCTGTATAGATCTGGGCGGTCGTCTAGTTCCGAGCGAGTCGAAGATCTAGCTGGGTTGCTAGAGAGTCTATTTTTACCATGGGGTAGCGAATTGTTCCCCGTTCCGTCCACGAGGCGCAGCTAGTGCGCGGCCCGTGCGTTCGCCAATGCGACCGGGTTCAACCCATTTATAAATAGTAGATGTTGAACGCCGGTGAAAATCGCCTCTCAGGGCCTCGCGGTACGGCCCTGGACGAGAAATTCGTGGACCCCGCAGGTCTATGTACCCCATGACCGTGGATTTCGCTTTAAAAGCAGATCTAAATAACTCCCTTTCGCTTGCCCATCGACGGCCGCCATATTGCGCCTCATAATTATCGGGCAATATGTCGCGGGAAAGGAGAGAAAATAATCATTTCTTTCTGACTTTTATATCTACCGTTTTCATGGTTAGACTAACATGTAGCCCCATGTCCATGGATTTCGCTTAAAAGCTGACCTAAACAACTCCCTTTCCTTAGCCGATAAACGGCCGCCATATTGCGCCTCATAATTATCGGCCCAATATGTCGCAGGAAAGGAGAGAAAATAATCCCTTCATTCGGTCTTTTATATCTACCGTTTTCATGGTTAGACTAACATGTAGCCCCATGACCATGGATTTCGCTTTAAAAGCAGATCTAAACAACTCCCTTTCGCTTGCCGATAAACGGCCGCCATATTGCGCCTCATAATTCTCGACGCAGTATGTCGCAGGAAAGGAGAGAAAATAATAATTTCTTTCTGTCTTTTATTTCCACCGTCTTCATGCTTCATGCTATCATGTAGCCTCGTGACCATGGACTTCACTTTGAAGGTGCAGATGTAAAAAGGAGACCAAAGGCGCTATCTCCTTCCCCTTTGCTGATAAATAGACGGTCGCCATTTTGCGCCTCATAATTATCGGCGCAATGTCTCGCGTGAAAAGAGAGAAAACAGCCCCTTTTTTTCCTGTCCTTTGTATCGACTGTCTTCGTGATTAGATCAACGTACAGCCCCATGACCGTTCCACTTTGAAGACGCAGATGTAAAAAGGAAATCAAAGGAGCTACCTCCTATCCCCTTGCAAAAAAACGGTCGCCATATTGCGCCCCATAATAATCGGCGCAATATTTTAGCGTAAAATTAGCGATTTTCCTATCTTCTATATCTACCGTCTTCATGATCATGTCAATAGAGCATACACGTGGCCCTAGATTTCTCCATCAATTTTACCAGTTTCGGATTTCTAGCAAAATCCCCAAAAAAACTAACTACATTTTTTTTCCCCGACAACGATTCGCATAGTGCAAACCCTTATCCAAACTAAAGCCGAAAGTCGTTTCTAAATTACGTCGATTCTTGTATAGAAAATATGATAATTTGACGGGTGTTCTGAGAAATAAATGTACAAGAGAACAAAAAAAATAAAAAATCTAGTGTAACACACGCGCGTTCGTTTGGAATCCTTGAAAAATTTCATTTCTTCTCTTCTAGTACCCTGGAAAATCTTTTGTAAACGCGACGAACGATGGGCGATACCTATAGAAGGTCCTTTTACGAACGCTGGACAATAGACCGGGGCATTTTCCGTCACGGCGGATCCGAATGAAAGAATCGCCCGAATTTTGAGGTTAGCGTCCCCCGGGACCGAGCGGCGCTTCGGGGTCCCCTCGAACGCGCAAAACCGGGCTGAATCTTTAAGCGGTCTCTCCGGGATTGCACCTGACGTCGCGACAGTTGCGGACGACTTTGTATAACACGTTGCATCACTTGCATCACTCGTCGCGGTGTCGCGTGCAGCCCGACGCGAGCCAATGCGAGAATCGTTCTCCACCCTTCTTCCATTCCGGCTTCCTCCTCCCATCGTACGGCTCATTTCCCTTATCGCGCCCCCATAGCTAATCCCCTATCGCGAAAATGAACCGCCACCCAAACATGCCACCGTAAACAGTTGACACGTGGGAAGATCATGTAAACCGTGAAACGGAAACTCCGAGAATACGAGAATTTCCATTTCCCCCGAAAAACTGTATCTATATCGTGTAATGTTTTAACCTCATCCTTGCGTGCCCGTAATGCGTTAATTACATTTGAGCACGTAATTGTCCTCGATGTTGAAAAAAGAAAAAAAATGAGATATAATAATAGACACACGTGCTCGTGGAGCCGTATAATAATAATCGACAAGGTCGATGCCTGGTGGTGGATAAAAATTAAACTCTTCCTAAACTAAAGGGAATTTCTCCATATGGGGCGATTTAATGAGGATTGATTGTCGATTAGAGTCCTAAGTTGAGATGCCGATGGTGAAACGACGTCGCTGGTGGGTTGGGATTTTGAGGAGCGTCCAGAGGCCGGGCTTTGATCCCGACGTCGCCGCGACGCTGGTGAGAATTTCTCCGGAACTCCGCAAGGTAAATTCGCCGCTGCAGGTGCCTGCGCCACCTGAGGGGTACCTATTACACCTACTGTACCCTCTCCACCTAGTGGAATCCTCTCCATCTAATAGAACCCCTCCACCTAGGGGAGCCCTTCAGCACCACAGGGTCCGACCTCCACCTGGTTGCGCAAATCACTCTTGGATCACTTTTGGATCGGTACCCCATTCCACCTATGGTACCCTGTCTACCTGGTGAAACCTTCTCCACCTACGATACCCCCTCTACCTAATGGAACCCTTGCATAGGTTCAAACCCCCCACCTGGTTGCGCAGATCACTCTTGGATCACTTTTGGATCACTCCGGGGGGCGCGACCGTCGCGTTCGTCGAGCACCTCGACGTCGCGACGCAGGGCCGATCGATCGGCAGGTGCGAAAACGAAGGTCGGGCACGTGCGTGGCCTCTCGCGCACTCGGACGGTCTACGGTCACACCTGGACCCGACGGTCGCGCCCTCGAGTCGCGGACGGGTCGGTACCGTGGCTCCGTCGTGGAGGCGCCGCGACGCTCCCGCGGAGCCGAGGTCGACTCGGTGGCCCCTTTCACTGGTCAAACGAGCTGCGGAGTCCGCGTCCACTGGCTGCGCCGGGCTCTCCCTCAGGGTGGTGGCATGATTGCGACTACCTCGGCGCGGCCCGAGCGGCGCCGCGACGCCTCGCGTCCCTCCACCGTCCCGAACACATGCGCTGTTCGATACCGCACCGGCGAGGCCCGAGGAACCTCCTCTCGCCGGGGACCCCGCTTCTTCGACTCCTCTTAAGACCTAAAAAAAATATACACGTGTATGAATATAACATAAAATACACATTTTTTACCTAAATATAGATCATGATAATACACCGAAGAAAAAAATTCAGCCGACTCGAAAAACTATGCATTTCGAAAATATCCTGCGATCAAATGTGCCCAAAAAGTTAATTTAATTAATTTAAATGAACGTCAGTTTTTCTTCTTAACGAGATGCTTGTTATAATTATGTATGATTCTGGTAAATATATATACGGTTGTTTAGGACGATGCTAATCGCTGGGTACTTAGTAAAGTGGAGTGGAAATGGTAATTGTCTGGTAGTGTCTGACCATACCGCGTTTAATTACTATTTCTCGGCATTCTGGTCTTGCTAATGCCACCGCACCGAGACGTGCAGTGAAACGAATCGTTGAATGTTCAGGTTCCTGGGCAGAAAAACCACGACCTACCGCAATTGTGGATTTTACGATGCATTCTGAGCCGCTTCGCCTCTCTGCATATTTTTAACAATTTAATTATTTTACCCTGAAGATTCGACGGGCGGAGGAACGACTTGAAACTGATGGGCATGATAAGTAGATACGGAGTAACTGGTCAGCCATAAGTAGAACGATTATGAATATGGTCCTACGTATTGATAACTAAATCCGTAACCACTGAGAAAAATTCAGTGACGAAGAATATTACATTTCCTTCCGAAATTGTTTATCGATGTCGGTGTTCGCTTACTAGATAAAAAAAAAAAGAAAGAAAAAGAATAGTGGGAACCCAGTCTCGTCGGTATGCTCGCACGATAAGGTATCACTTAAGAGTTCCCTCGATATCGACGAGAAATTGGAACGTTTCGTTACCGACAGCTCGTCGAGAGGGTGCTTTACAAACCCTGAAGAATCTACCATACCAACCGTCGATCGTTCTCGAGGGAAAAAAATACTAAAAGAAACTTTACGGCTTAAACACGACTAGAGAGCTGATCGCCTCCCAATATTAAAATTACAATTATGGAGGGGGGATCGCGAGCCCCTAAATCGATATAATCTTTGTCGAAACAAACACTTAATGTTTTCGCAGAGATATCGAGCGCTTAATCGACGTTAATGCTGACTGGTCAAGCATTTTGTTGCCTGCAAGATACTAAAGGCCAAATTGCACGAATCAAAGAGCCTTGTCTCTAAATTCATTTGCTGCTATTGTTAGATAATTTCATTTTAATGATACCGAACGATTAAATATCTTTCGCAAAAGTGTCTCGCACTTTTCTGACGGTTGCCAGATAATGATTGTCCGTCTATGTGAATTTTCTGTCTGCGCACGTTGAGAGGTTATCAATTAAACAACTGAAAAAGAAAAAACGAAATATCTTAAAGCTTTCAAACGTTAATTCTTACTTCCGTGTATGAGTTGGATGAAAAGTCAGCTTTTCAATATTTTAATACCAGGTTCTGGAGTCATTTTAGCCGGCAATTAATGATCTCTTAAGATTTCCATCGCGTTTGCGCAAATCCGCCGAAAAATTGCACGTCCAAGAGTCGCTCGAGCCGGTGTACGTCGGCGATATTTTCGTAGCAGCGATTATCACAAGCCCGTCGAACTTGCAAGTTGCAAAACTCGCAATTTCTCAAGAGAAGAGGTTCTCGTGGTTCTGTCGCAACCTCCGAGGCGCTTACGGCTTTTTTCTGACCAGTCTGGACAGGGACCTCGAGCGGAACAATACGCGCCAATTCTTCGGAATTCCTTCCTCCAGAAATTCTGCAATTCGTGTAAGTAGCTACGAAAATCGGGCCTTTTGTGAAAACCAGATTGTAGGGCCTATCGAAAAATTCGGGGCCTTTATCCTGAACACGTGGATCAGCGCCCAGCTCCCAGAGGCAATCGCATGAGATTGATAATTGATCGGCAAATCTCCTTCCTGCGAAAAAAGTCCGCCTTCATCCTTGCAAAAAATCTCCCAGATTGAGCAAGAGATACGAATAAAAAAAAATTTTTTTAATTGAGAAAATTCAGAAATCATGAACAATCGATCCTTGCAAAAAATCTCTCAGATTTAGCAAAAGATACAAATAAAAAAAATTCTTTTAAATCGAGAAAATTCAGAAATCATGAACAATTAATCCTTGCAAAAAATCTCAGAAATTTCGCGTGAGATAAAGAAATCGGTCCACATGAAATGAGAGAGAGAGAGAGAGAATGGTTGATTATCCTTCCTTTCAGGCCGCACGAAATTTGGACGTTGTGGGAAACGGATATACCCTCAGATCTCGCCCAGGTGAGTCTAACGAAGTAATCCACTCTCCGGTGGTTTCCGACTGATTAAACGCGTTATTCATTAAACCGCGCTTAAATTGAATAACGGAGCAATTTAATGATTGAGTACCTCCTCGCAATTAATACGAGTCGGTGCAGGGACGGCAGGTGCATGCAACTGCAGTTGCGGTTCTAGTGCATCCGGCAGACCTTCGTGTACGCCTGGGGTTTCAACCAGCAATCGGATTACGTTGCTGGTTGTTTTCTAGAGCAACACCTTTCTAGATCCAATCCCAGTGCAGTCTGAACGATGTCCCTCGACCGACAACTCGAGACCACGGTGTCCTCTTCGACCACCTCGTAGGTCTCCTCGAAGTTCTCTCCTCTAAGTACCCTAAATTGAAAAGTGAAATATAAACCATTAATTTGAGGGCGTCAACGATCACATAAACAATTTTCAATTGAGCTCTAAACGACGTTCTAAGTGGAAAAATAAATAATAAACCGTTAATTCGGGGGTGTCAACAGTCGCATACACAATTTTCAATGGAAATCGGAACGACGTCCCTCGACCACCTCGAAATAACCTTCTCTAAATACCCTAAACAAGAAATAAAATCTAAACAATTAATTCGAGGGGGTCAATGATCTCCTAAATAATTAATCTTCAACAGGTGCAACGAGATTCATCGGCTAGCAGCCTTAAAATTCGGAAAATATCCTCAACCTCGCGCCGATAATGACGCGTCGGTCCGCCCAAAAGACAATGCCAAGTTTGTTTGTAATGCACCGTCAGTGTCGAGATGTCGGCGAAATTCTGGTCAGTCTCTACTGTTATCATGGGCCGATAACGCGACTCGAAAGACATCAAAGCTCCCGTCATCGATAACCCGCCGATTACGACAATGCAATTCGCCCTGTCCTCGCGCGTCCTCGTCGGGGATCGATTTTTCCTCCTTTTTTCTTCTCCATAAAATGAATCGTTGGAAAAACAGTGTCTAGCGTAAACAGCAATTATTACTGTTACGCAACCGATTCATTGACCTATAGTGAAGCCAGAAGTGGCGACGAAGTGGTTACATCAGACAGGGTCTAATTACGCAACTGATAATTGGTAAGTCACATAGCAACGAGTTTAATGACGATTGGTCCTGAATTCTTGTAGACGAGAGGCGAGCCCCGACATGGACTTCCTGACCCTCAGGATTCGCAGCCTGGACCTGCCGAAGAAGGTCGACTGCCAAGAGGAAGACGAAGAGGACGTCGAAGACGAGGTCGAGTTCTTCGAGTCCGGCGAGGAGAGTCGAGGAGAGGCCAGGAAAATCCGGGAAGACTCCTTGGATCGTCAGTGGACGAGTCGTGGAACCGAAGAGGAGAATTTTCGGTCCAGTGATGAAGGTCCTTTGGCGATCATCTCCCTTGACGAGGTCGCTTGGCACGATACCCCTGAAGACTGCTGGCTCGTCATCTACGACTACGTCTACGACTGCACGGACTTCCTTAAGAGGCACCCTGGGGGCGAAGATACTCTTCTGGAATACGCTGGAAGGGACGCTACTCTTGCATTTGTCGGGGCTGGTCATTCCAAATGTGCCGTGGAGGTCCTTAAGAGGTACCTCATCGGGGAGCTGCCCAGGGTAGAGAGGATCTTCCGGGTACCCGATGGCGTCAAACTCCATGGACTTTACGATGCCAACAGCTGAATCCATGGAACCATGAAGCCTTGAGGTTTGTTCGCGTTGACTGCACTTTCTACCCTCGAGGGTAACTCTGTGTACTATACTTTTCTTGAAAAGTGCAGAAGGGTAGATACACTTTCATCGACGTCCCGAACGCCTGAAACCTCACGAAAGTCCAAGATGACCGATTAGTAGAGAGGTACGCGATTTTGAGGTTATCTGTATCGGACGATGATGAATACGAAAATGTAATGCATCTTCCAGCCTTCCTTCTCGAGCTGCTTCGTTTTCTTCAAATCCTACAATTCGTTTTATACCTTGTAATTGTAGAAGATGAAAATTCCTCTCACAAATTTCAGGTATTGAGGATCGATAAGGGTAAGAATATTATTGCAGTAGAATGAAAAACAATTTAACTACAACAGTGAAAAATTATAGCTTAGTTCATTCCAACCGCGGCTAGGTTGTAGTACATAATTATTGTAAATTGTTTCAAACATTACGTACAAAACTAAAACGCTAAATCGTTCTATACACGAAGAAGATGCATTAATAATTACTTCTGGTTATATTACGTTGAGATGTTAGCATAAATTTCGTATTTTCCTGTTTGTTGGTCTTTTCAATTTTGAAATTTGCCGCCAAATTCGCGGGCTACCTTTCTTGCCCTCGCTCGGGATCGAGGGTAGAAAGTGTAGAGTAAATGTACACTCGGGGTAGATGCCCTCGCAAAACGAACAGCGGCGTCTGCATCACTTCCGTCAAAACGAACGCCAAAGTGTACGTAAGTGTACGTATGTATAAGTTCGTAAAAGTGCAGAAAGTGTAGGCAAAACGAACAAACCTTTGAAGTCTCACGGCAGTCTCATACCCACCCGAAAGCCATTCGTACTCGTTAAGGCGATCTTAAAGTGGTGTCTGAGAAGTCTCGTTTATGAAACCTTTCTCCTAACAAGGCGCACTTCAATGAAATCTCGCGTGAAATTCTCCCCCATGAATGTAGGGGACTCCGAGGAACCACCGCCCATGAGATTTCATATTTCATATGACTATATTAAGGTGGCATGAAAGGTTAAGGGGTATTTTTTTGTTATTTTTCTGCGAACTGGGTGTGTCGAATCGTTTGAAATTCTACCCCGTGAATGTGGAGGCTTTAAAGTGGTGACATTCCACTTTTTATCTTTTGTTTCAATTTATTCATATATTTTTACTATTTTTTCATAACGAATTCAATTTTAAAGGCCTCCATATTCACGTGACGAAATGTCAAACGGTTCGGTGCATCAATTTCGGAGAAAAGTTGCACAAACGATTGATCCTTCGAGAGTTATTTTCACATCCCCTTAAATATGTAATTGTCACGCTTATCGAGGTATCTAGTTCTCCTAGATGTACTTGTTCGTATCGTATTCGATTAAGTATTGAAGATAGAGCAGATCGTAAAGTGCACTCTCATGGCGCATCGGATATTTTCTCACATTTCGGATAACGCCGGATAAGCCGTTATTTATGTAATTGTCGAAAACGCAAGAACGTGTGAACTGATAAGAGACGATGTCGCGGGCAACACTGACGGACTACTATTAACGTTTGATAACAGAATGACATGTACCGAATCATGTCAGAAGCATTAAAAGCGATAGCATGCTGTATCGCATGGCAATGAAAGGTCGTTGAAGTATTTTTCGCCGTAGAGAAAGTCCGGAAAATTACAAAATCGACTTTGGAACCTCAATTAGACTGTAAAGGATAATTAACCCTAAATATTGTACGCGATAATGCACAAGAACGAATGATTTCATTTCCACAATCTGCCATATAAACATTAAGCACGGTGAAATGATTTAGCTTGTATCGAACGCTTTCCAATGATTTAATAGGAAATTTATTTAAGCCTTAGATACTAGATAGACTGATAATTAGCATAGTACGCGTTTTTGAAGCTGTACCTTCCGTAGTACATTTTCCCTTTAAATACAAATGTTCAATTAGTCGACACGGTAATATATAATTTGTTTGCAAATTTCTTTACCGACGTGGAATGTTCTCAACTCTACAGGAGTGTTTCATAAAAGACGTCAAAGGCTGAGGTTACTGACATGATCATGCGCTGCGATTGAAGTCTGCAACCATGTTTCTTTACCGATGTAGAAGCTCTGAAAATGTTGCATGAACTCTCTGGTTTGGCGGTGAAAGCAATGGAGTCTATCGAGAGACAATGTTTCGTTTACATATCTAAATAATCGACTCAAAAAACCAGGGAACATAAATTACGGAAAAATGTTCTCACCTTTATTTTAATACTTCGCTGTTGTTTAATAATACACTCGTATCTTAATATTTACATTTTCAAAAGTGTGACGGTTTCTTCTAGACAGTAGCACCCACAACCCGTAGGACACGAAGTTTCATTTGTAAACCAGTCTGCCAAGTGTTCCGTGTGTCCACCATGCCCACAGACAATACAAAAATTACTTGGACCTAAAACAGAAAATGAATATTGTTATTAGAATTGAGGATGTCAATTAATGTTCTCATGTGATCGTAGATGCTTCGAACAATGCACTTTTCATCTAAACCCTCGTACTTTACCTCTAACCGAAATGTGACAAATGACACAATTAAATGCCAGCCTCTTGCAATTGTTGCATTGCGGTCCTCTGCTGGCTTTTATGCAGGAATGGCATTCGCTTTGAAATTCCACGCCTTTATGTGCATCAATCGGGGCAATGCTCAGGTGTTTTAAAATCTGAGCACGTGCGTCTAACAATTGCCACCTGTGTAGCACTTCGGCATACGCTTTCTTGTAGCCATCGTACAGGGCTGTGTTCTTTTCATCGATGATCCTGGTTTGCAGAATTGACATTTAGTACCAGTGCTCTGCTCAGTAATTTCGCAATATTCGTGCATTATAGAAGATGTTCACCTGATGCTTCTTCCGAGCTCAGCACTACTTTCGGAGAAAATCTTGAGATCATCCAAAGACTCCGACCACGAATTCGATCGGTGTGGTTTGAGGTTTTGAAAATTCCAACCTTCGAGTGTCGTGTCCGCTGGATGTATCGTGTGGTAAGGCGAACCACCAGGCTGCGAACAGTATATGCAGATATAAACGTTTCGTACAAAGATATTTTATAACAAACTGTTGCTAACGGCACATGTTATCGGATACACATTTCCTAAAAGTGAATGAAAGGGGGGGAAAAAAATGATTAAATCACTGAGGACCTTCGGGAGATACCTGCGAATCTTGAGATGGTGTCACAGAAATAAACATTACTATACACTAGTACTGGTTAGCGATGCACCGATCGATTGGTACGACGGAGAACCCTAGGAACCATCTCACTCAAGTTGAGGACATACTTCACGGTATATTCACGCGAAGAAATGGAAGTGTCTTACCTTCAACCAACGTTTTCCATTCGAAAGCCGCTACAACAGAGATATAGACAAAGTATCAGTTTTGGAGATTATTTTTCTAGGAGGGCTTTTAAGAAAGAACAGTTATTGTTTGCACCGTCTACAGCAATTCTTGAGGTACTCGGATGGTGAAAGAATTCCGGAATCTGCTAAAATAGATCATCTTTCGTGACTAACTGTGAACGAAGTTCCTTCAAGTCCTTTAATTCTTGAAAAATGTAACCAAAGGAAAGGTAACCCCCCTGCCATTTTTAGAGGCAAATAAAATGTTAAAACGCAATATTTCGCGTAGTAGGGGCGAGGCCGAGTTTCATGGGCGATAAACTATTTATTCCCTTGAAGCTTTCTCTTAATCGACTCTATCGTGTATACAAAAATAAGAAAAAAATAGCGATGAATCTAAATTAAGTTTGGCTTGGTTCCTGGGGCTCTCCTCCAAGAAAACTTGGGTTCGTTCTTGATTTCGAAGACTGAAATCTCTGCCTTTTTCGAGCCTGCAATGCAACATCGTGAAATGGAATTGCTCATGAAATGGAACGTTGGAAGCACATAAAAGATAACGAGATCTCGTACTGACTCTGTAATAAGGCAATAATATTGGAAAAATGTATGTCAGATCTCTCGTTCACTTTCATATAGAAATATACAATGTTCCATGATCGGAACTGAATTTGGCCCAGAAATCGGTCTTGTTATCACCCCTACTTACCGTAAAGTGGATAAATGAGAAACGTGACACTACATTTGAGAAGGTATAAATTATCTACTTACGCTAACATTGACTGACTTGCTGATGGATCGACACTGACCAGTATCGGACTTCTCGGATCGATAGCTTATCATACAGCTCAACATGCCAGCCATTTGGACATCCGATTGACCTGCATAGTGTTGTATTCTAAAATAATTAAAAACAATTTCTCATTAACTTTGGCCACAACTGTGTCGAAATGGAACTTACAGTGAGTGCATTAAATTTTGTCCGAAAGGGTGCAACAGCCAGGGAGTGTCGATGTCAGATGATTGACAAGAACCTGGTATCCCATTTATTAAAGGTTGAGATACAACCAGTGCTGCGAGGTACCAAGCTTGAACCAAGTCTGGACGTTCCAAGGAAGCAGCAACGTTCGCATTGTATTGACACATTGCAGGGATATCGGTGACATTAACCCTAAGAACCCAATCAAGTAAAATCGAATCAACCTACATAATACCATCGGTGTACTTCCAGAATAATCTACATATTGTTTATTATTATTATCTATTTTGAATGCAAGATTCAAATTGATTAGTAAATACGAAAAGCACTCACAGATATTGTTCAGCCAGTTCTTTGCTCACAAAGAATAAAGAAGAGACATCATATGTTGTCACTAAGGAACGATAATTTTTGCTGCCCAGTCCTTTGGCTCCATATACTCCCCGTTTTGTGTTCTTCTACTCCGGTGAATTAAAACACAAAATAGTGGAACAATAGCATTCAATATTTTATATTTATAAATAATAAAATAAGTTTTGCATAATTACGCTTTTAATATCAGAAAAACTTACTCGATCTTGAAAGTAATAGGAACTTATGGAAATATTATCACTGGAAGGAACGTAAGAGCTCGAATACATTTGCATAAAATGTCCACCATTGCCGACACCTGCTCCTAAAGCAGACAAAGCTCTTGGCGTAGCCCCGTCAAATTTAATGGAGGATCTTCTGGCATACAGAGCTCGACCGAAACAAACGAGTGTTCCTGAATCAAAGCAATAAGTTTATAAAATGGTAACATTTTTCAGCCCATTTCAATCAGTATCCGAAAAACCTACCTACGCAGCAAAATTTTATTCCTGAAGTTCGAGGAAACGGAATGTAAGCATCCTGATAGTTAGTAAATATATTGTTCGAACTAAGAAAATTTGTATTGTGTTGTATCCGATAGCCCATATTATTGCTTTCAGGTTCGTCGCTTCGAGAAGTCTGGAAAATGATTAAATAAAATTTAACCAAGTGTCTGCTAAACTTTCATGTGACACTCAATCACTTGACATACTTGTTCCAGTGCTGTAATTAATTGTCTTAAACAAGATTCCATGCAAAGGCGATTTTTCCGGACACGTTGTTGAGCAGTTTGCTTCAAAAGTTTAAGGAGCTTCGCCAACGTTACATTGTCCACTGTACTTCCTGGACAAAATTGGAATGTCGGGTAAGCACTAAAAGGATAGTTTTCTGGAAAGTTGATCTTCAACGTCACACTGTACTCTTTACTACCAACAGTTACTGTACACTCTCGCTGTGTTATATCCACCGCATTGACCTATCAAAATTTGACATATTTCAATCTGAAGTGATTCATCATTTTTAAGAACAAGGTTCAAACTATATAGATACCTCCACATTTGGTAGATTTATATTGAGCGACAAAAATTCCTCCTGTAAAGTCTTCGGCTGTGTCGGAGAAGTTTCCTTCTCGGTATCGGACTGTACATTGATTTCCGCATTTCCGTCCGAACTGTTAGCTTTGGCGGTTATGCAGTGGATTTCTCTCTCACTCTGAGATTTCCGAATTCCAAGTTCTTCGACTGATCGTAAACTTCCTAAAAACGAAGAATAAAAACATTTTTGTCCTTGCACCGAAGGCTATTCTTAACCTATACTCACTTAAATTATTATCCTCTGAATATTGTGCATACATGGAAGTAGCATCATCAATGTCATGTCCACATAACTGAAAAAACAGTAGTGACTTATTTCTGTTGTTGATAATATAACTAGCACTTTCATACCTTTTTCAGAAAGGGATCAATTTTAAATATCCTAAGGCACTGATCCTTTGACCATGTGATTAATTCATAATCATTGGAATCTATTGAAGAATAATAGCATATCAACTTATAACTTATATTCAAGATACTTAAATTCAATAATGAAATATGACCAATTAATCTGAATAATGATCTTGCTTGCCTAATTTCTGATGACGCCATTGAAACTCAAGTACAACATCCGTATGACCAACAAATGTGTATATCGGAGCACTGAGATTCGAAGTGTTCCAAAGTAGAAGACTGTTCTCACCACGACGGAGTTGTGGGACGACTATAGTTACTAATCCTTCTCCAAAAGGCTACAAAAAAAAAAAATACTTCCTATGAATGAACCTATACAAGACACTGCAGGAACTTAAAAAAGGTATGTAATAGGCATTGAGTATCCTTACTGTGTATCGAGCTCTCCAAACTGGGGAATTTGTCGTCAATACATTCTCTGCCCGACGTGGGTTACTAACGTCAAATATTTTCACTGTGCAGTCCTGACTAGATGTAGCCAGTTGATTTTGTTGATATGGACACCAATCGAGCCCATGGATCTGCAGTATTATCCGCAAACATTACACTAGCCATATTTATTTTCAATGACACCTAAGTAACGAATATTACCTTTGTAAGGTGAGCCGCTATATATTGTACAGGATTGTTTCCCTTACGCTGATCCCATATCTTGACATCCCCATCATGTGCTGTAGCCAAAGTATATGGTGATAGGCTATTCCACTGCACTTGGGATGCACCAGCTGCGACACATCAGAGTTTATCTACTAATTAACTTTTTATTTGCAATAAAAAACAGAATCAAATGGTACGGCAACTAAAATAATTTTGATATGCTATACTGGTCAATCTCAAACATAAATATTAAAATATAACTAACAAACCGACTGCAGATAATGATAACGATGGCTTCCTTTGATCTCTCAGGTCCCAAATATGTATAAACGTGTCGATACTGCACGAAGCTACTACATGAGGCTCTTTAGGATGCCAATTCAAATCGCTAACAACCCTTGTATGTGCTCGCAAACTGTGTGTGGTTTGAAGTTCGTAGCTCCCTCCACCAGCGAGGCTCAGTATTTCCACTCGTGTGTTGCTCTAGGACGGTACGATGAATTACACTATCGATTACAAAGCTAAATTCCAAAAATAGACATAAATATCTTACAGATATCGCACATAAGTGACAGTTTGCTAACGTTGGATTCCACTCGGCAGAACCAACTTCGTATTTACTCTGACGTTGAAACTTCCTCAATGTATCTGTCTCTTCGTCCAGATGCTTAACTCCAAAGCACCGCCGACTAGAAAGACAAAATATTACCTAGAATTTAATATAATTTCATAACAATTGTAACTTACCCTGCCAAGAGAACGTAACTACCAGTGGCATCGACTGCCATGGTGTTTGCCTGAAAGGACAGTGGAATGGAAGAATAAATTATTTTAAATGTCACCTAACCAACTATAGGTACATATCATGCATAATTTTCAACCTAGTTAAGTAATTTAATTACATATTAACGTATTAACGTTACCTGCAAGTCGCGATGCTCTGTAACAACATAGTCGCTGCCCCAACGCTTTGACATTTTAACAAGCGATAAGTTACCACAATTAGGTTAACATTGATAGTGACTACTTCAGACTTCTCCCTTGTTGAAAAAAATGTGAAGTTCTGTCATGTGCAATTTACATTACTGCCATCGAATGAAAGAGGCTTAAAATTACGTTGACAACCGTTGACAATTCTGCCTCTTTAAGGTTATGAACGGTAAACCGATTCCATGGACGTAAGCCGATTCGATCGCTTTGAAATTCCATCGAACTAGGACAAAGTAAAGTAACTAAGAACTGACAGAGATGAGTTGGGAGATTACTCACGGGCAGGATCGTGCGATCGTGTCCTGTGCTGCCCTCTGGTTTCGTACGTGAGCTTTCACCGTTTTTTGCCCCCAAGGGCGGCGCAACGAATTTCTGATAGGAGCTCGCGCACTCGCGATGGCGGTACCATCTACCAGTCGCCGTTCGCGGCTCACGTACTCGGATGGTGACTTAAAATAAAAAAATAGATCCTATACTGATCCACCCAGATCCACCTAAAGTGATCTCCCCCCAAATCCCCAGGAAGAGACCACCTGGCAACACTGTTCACTCCAGACAAATATCCTACCTCCCAAACTATATCTAAAAATGCAGCAACATTCATCCCAACTCATTCACTCCCCAGTTCTCTAACAATTTCATTTCTATGTAGCCCCGGGAAAAGTAATATAAAATTTCGGCGAGTATTTGAGAGCGCTAAGTGACGTTAAAGCTTAACGTCACCCGTTTAGATATTTTTATTTCTGCATCGCTTTTTACAAAACACCATGAACCGTAAACCCGAAGTCTATCAATGGAATAAAATTCTTTTCTCTTATATAACAACGGGTCTTCTATCGGCAGCTCTTTTGATAAATCAACCGCCGTCTTATAAAAGTCGGTTACAATTGCCGATTTAACAAACGCCATGAATAAGTATTTACAATCAGTACGGTGTACGACAAACCGCAGGGTTAAAAATTTATATGGTCTGTCCCAAGAGAGTGGGCCTATTTTTAGAGCTTACATCGTTAAGGGGGAAATCACCGACGAACATCCTGCGAAATCTACCCTATGAGTACTTCATATTGTTATAATCTCATTTTACAAAGTGTTCGCGCGGTATATGTATTTACAATTCTAATAAATTCGTCGAAAAACCGCGTATTCATCGTATTCATCGCATCTCCCTTGTCCCCGCTTTTCGTTCGAATTTCTATGAAAATTTTCGCAGAAACTTGGGCTACTAAATACTGTTTCTTTTTTTTCCCGCAGAATATTGCTCGGTACAAATCTCGGCATCGTCGCTCAGATACAAGTTGATCCCTTATGAGTTGTGCCACTAAAAAGAGCCATTATAAACGGTATGCTTGTGTATATATGCAAAGTACAGTTTGAATAAAAAAGAAAACATACCCAAACAATTTTATTCAAAATGGCCACCTCGGGTCCAAGGAATTTACTCGGCAATCGGTAAAACCCTAAAAAGATCAATTCTTGCTTTGGAAAGACGTCAACAAACGATCTTGTTAGATAGAAACTACAGAAACGTATATATATATCCTAGTGATCGGTGAAAGATTTACAGTAATTCTATGTACAAACGTGTACACGTCTGACTGAATGAAAAATATTTTTTATCACATCAGTACATGTAGTAAAAAGCTTGCGGTCACTTTTAATCCGAATAAATAAATCTCTTGCTGACAACTTTCAAAAGTGCACTTTGTCCCAAGCTCGATATATTTCCCGTTAGTCAATAAAAAACTGTATTAATTTTCACTGCATTTAAAACGCCCATGGCAGAGGCATCCCTATCGAAGGAAAAAAACACTTCTACTTAACGAGGTAAGTTTTGATTTTAACATTTGCGTTAACGAGAACGAAACGGGAAAATACGCTTTTCTCTCAGGTTTTACTTCTCCACATTTGTCTTTTTAAGAAAATATTTTAACCACAATAAATACACCATTTCCTGGTCCGTACCCATTACCTCTTACTCGAGGTACGTATATAAAAGTCTATTAACTATCGTTTTATCTACCCAATACCAAGACAGGGTATACGCAGTTAATTAAACCTACTCTACAAACCCTAAATTTATCAGCCTTATCCGCATGGTATTGTACTAATATCGAATAGAAACAAAGTGATCTATGTTACTTATTGACAATTTCTCGAATAAATATCTATGTAAGGCCGTTCTCTACTTATTATACAGTCGACTGTTCATCAGTTCAAGAGGCGAATTACCCCGGATAAATCAGTACAGCACTATCGATTGGAAACCATTGAATCTAAAGATTAAGAGGTTCCGAAGTGGCTCCTCCAAATCTAGAGCACTAGATCATCCTACAACTCTTTACATCTGCAGTTTCTCTTCCCAATTTGTCTTCAATACTTACACGAAGACTATTCAGTCGGTTATCCTGTTTACAAGTCGATTCTAAACTTGCTCCGATGACTGGTTACCAATTTACCGATCAAGGAAATAGTTATAACCAGTTGCAGTGCCTGCACCATTTCTGTCCACGATTCACACATGCATCAATTATTTACTATTATTCCATTGATTGACCATCATCCGTCATTGAGATTTCATGGAGACAAGCTTTCGAGACCTAGCTCTGGCCTCGGCACGAATGTTCGTGTACTCGAACCAAAGTACGTTAGGAATGAGTGTTGTGTCCCGTAGGAGGAGATACTCTGATAATCGCCTGTATAACACATAATTCAAATTTTTGTAAAATTTCTCATCATAAAATGTTGTATTTGCATTTCGATACTTACCATGTTACTATTACTGGGAAGAATGGCGTCAAAATTAGATGAACTATGGCAAACCATGTTACTCCAAAAACGCAGCCAATAATAGCGCCACAAAGTACCTGTGCCATCGTATGATATTCCAGGTAAGTTCTGCTGTATGACACGGTAACTGCTAATACGATGCAACTTGCAATGAGCGTGGCTCGCCAGAACCTCTCAGAGACAGAGTTATTATTGTAATGCAACCTGGAAACAAATTATATAACGGTTCATACATAATTATAGTAAAAGTAAATTATAATTGACTGAGCAGGAAAAAAAATTAGTTTTATTTTATATTCACCTAATGCAGACAAAGAGTGTCGTATATGCTGCAAAAAACCATATGAATTGCGAATGCGAGGATGGCATGCCATATTCAATATATATCGTAGCACGTTTCATCGGTCGATCCTCGCATAATGTATGCTTCAAGAAAAAGTTGATGGCCTCATTAATAGTAATCCCTCCAAAGAATGTAATCTGTAAGAAATATTTTTGCATTAGTTTCATAATCATCCCTGACCACTGAAGTCTGACCAAAAAAAATTAATTTCAATAATGCAATACATCTTCAACTTACCGTATGCAAATCTCTCCTGAATAAAACCAATGCCACAAATCCAGCGATAATGGCAAATGGAGTTAGGCTTATTAAAGCTAAAAGTTTGCCCAACAGATCACCTGAAATTATCAATATTAATAACATCCATACAAAATCGTAACTGAACCAGTTCAGAATTCGTCTTCCCTTTTTAAGTACAAATATTTCAATCGAGATAAAATTATCAAAACATGTGGAGCGAACTAAAATTGTAATAAAAACAGTTGTAACAAAGTTTCTTTTCACAGTACAAACTGTTAGAAATAAAAAGACAATATAAATGTTTTGAAATATTCCTGCCGATACAACCCCCTCCACATGTATTCCATCTGGTTAGCAAGTCTGAGACTTCCACTTTGGAGGTTAGTTTTTCCTAACGTCAGATCTTGCTTTCTCAAACGAGCAACGCCCATAAATTAACGTCTGTTAGGTAGCAGCTCCAACAAGGATTAACCGAGGTACACGCGCGAAAAAATGGAAGCTGAAATCGACGCCATACACGTTAACTCGGGGAATTTTCAAGGAAGTTTACCTTGTGGATATTCGACGAGCGTTAAGGAGAAAGGAACCCAGTCCAATTTGTCGATCAAATGGGCAGCGTCCAATTTACGTTCGTTGAACGGCTCTTCCTCGAGATACGCCATAATGGAGACAAGTTACTGACATTCATATGCTCTCTGCGCGCCCGACAATTCACGCAATCGCACGTTCGAATATAAATGGTCGTCGCCCGGCCCGGCTATGCTCTATATACTCTGCCGCCATTTTGTTACATTCGCCCGGCAACGCACATGCGCAATAAAGCAACCTCGGAACACATTCTCTAATCGTTTTTATTCTTCTCGGCATAAGCTTTCTCAGTTGAATCTTCAGATTAGAATTTGTTTCATGATATTTCACGCATTTCCTGCCAAATGAATTGAATTTTATGTAGAAATAGTATGTTTATTTTGAATTTTGTAAATGCGACATTTGAATGCCGCCATATTTGAACTTAACTGCCATTGGTCGAGAGAAAGAGTGTGTCGTCAGATGAAGACCAATCATGTAAGTCTACAGGTGGAGTCAGGTGCAGCAAGGTGCAGTCGCTTGTTGCAGTAAATTAGAAATTGCAAGTAAATGTAAAAATCGGGTTTGAAACCGTTTTAATTATTTTAACATTGTCCATTGCTTTAATTATCAGTTTTCTGTGAATAGTTTTTATGATCATCTCGCATAGACATCGAGAGGTTATGTTATATGATAAATGCATATGACGGATGTCAACATCGGTATATGTAATATAACCTCCTAAAAAAAAAGATGGATCTACTATATACTGTCAACAGGAAAACCTTCTCAAAATCACATGTAAATCATGAAAAGTAAGTTGAAGTAATTTTGTTTATACTAGGGGATTATTTTCTTAAATGTAAATATCTTCGAAATAGATGCAGATATAAGACTTACATTATTGACATTTTAGCTTATACGATGGGCAATCTTTGTGTTCTCTGTCGAGTCGTAACATAGCAGCATTTACGACAACAACTGAACTCGACGACAGCAGTGGAAAGACATGGGGTTCTCACGTCTATGTGTGTGATCTCAATATGCCTTGGCATGTTCACAGGTATGCATATATTTGGTTTCTCTTTTGATTCTTCTTACTAATCGTATAATAATTCACCAGGGTATTATCAAACAAATATATAATTACGGCCTTGGAATGGGATTTACCTGGAGATAAACTAGTTGTAGCAGACGCAGCAGGTACTGTGCTACTATGGATGTTTAAAGATCATGTTCTTAATGATTGGGTATTGATCGGTTCTGCGAGTTTCCCTGGTGAACACATCTTAGGAGCTGCTTGGTTCCACAATGGCAAAAAGGTATCAGTAATCGTTATTAAAATATAGAAGTCATTTTGCTAATAGTCATTTCGCAGTTGGTTTAGAGTTGTAATATGTAACATTATTCTTTTCCAGACTGGACTGGTTACAGAAAAGAAGGATAGCATTCATTACAGTGAAAAATTTAATCACTTGCTGTTCGCCCCGTCGGTCAGACAATTCGGAGGTCGAGCTGCTGAAGGAGTTTTAGTCGTATCGACTACGGGCATGGTTGGAGCAGTGTTGATCAGTAGAGATTTTCACAATCCAGTCTGGTTCGCAACGGAGAGTTTGGGTAGCATGCGACATAGGATCACTGCAGTCGACCTATGTTACGGAAAAAGTAATTTTTAATATTAACATCTCTCGGATAAAACTATTTCCAATATTAACTTTTTAAAACTCTTTCTTTATTGAAATTTAAACGATATCTTCCTTTTTCTTGTAGATGGTCATTTCCTGGTAGCTGTTAGCAGTGGCAATATTTCACTACCGATCAGATGTTATCGAGTGTTGGTCAGGAAAACCGATGAAAAGTGCAGTATAACTTCCCAGGCGCTGCCAAGTTTCTTCTTGCAAGACGGTGCACCTAAAGATGTTTCTTGTTAGCTTTCTTTTCAATTACCGCATTCTTTTTTTGCGGACTACCTTAAAACAATAGAAAATAACCAATGTTTTCCACAGGTACGAGCGTTACTCATTTAAAGTTTGTCGTGCGCGAGGACGCCGATTCATTGGTGGTTGCAGCGAACAGTGAGAGTGGTGGATTTGTCGAAATTTGGGAACTAAGAGAAAAGTGCCAACCAGTGCACAAACTTTTCCAGCCAAAGACTTTGGAATCCTTCAAAACAGTAGTATGTACACAGTTGTCTTGTTTCATAACCTGTCATTATTTTTCATAAACTACAATTCAAATTTTTGTTGAATAGGTTTGGCAGCATCAATCACAGTACCGATGTCAGTCCCCGGTGACTGCAATAGTGACGACAAAACTATCGATTGTGACTACTCTGCCACCGCCAAGCTATGTTGTTGTAGCACTAGCAGATTCTTCTGTACATTGTTTAACTCGCGACTGTCTTAAAGAGGTTGCATACTCATCACTGAATATGTCCTGGCGTCAGGATGAACCTAGTAGCAAGTATTCAAAGTCCTCCATAACGATATCACACATTGACATTTCTTGGTTAGGCTGCGTATTGTTGGCTTGTGATACTCATGGAAGTTTGTACTTATACAGATTGCTGCCAGAAGGTGGTTAGTATTAATTACATCTATGTACCGTAGTCTAAGCTTCAGTGAATAATTTTTTTTTTCTTCTAGGTCCATCGATGACTTTAAGTTACGCTTGTACATTACTCGAGTATTGTTTGGTAACTGGGTTGGATTGGTTAGATCTCCTCCTTTGTCTAAGATCATCAATGATCGAAACCCTCTGTGAACGATTGGATGCATCTTACAACAGACAGTCTCCACCAACTCAGCAATATCACTATATTCAATTTCTCTGCATAAAAACTTCATTGTACAGGTTAGTTTTTGATTGCAAAGCTGGCTCGCATATACATGTTTACTATAATTACCAGAAAAGTAATAGATTTAAATTGTATAGATTGTTAGCAAGTGGCCAAAACAAGGCAGCTGATCTCGCCTCGTTGTTGATGGTGCACTCCGTAGCAACAGCATTCAAATCTTTGCTGAGACCTTCCGATCTCATCTCTCATGATAAGGGACCAGCAGAAAGTTTAGCTGCGGTTATCAACGATGCGATAACGGACGTCGACAAGGTTTGTAATATTGGAAATAAAAATGTTGCAGTCATTTTAATCAGCTGGAATTTTTTACAGGTGCTGCTACATTTGGACCCAAAAGAATTTACAGTCGAGCCCAGCACATTGCAATCGTTGCAACAATTGATCCAATGGGTGGCCGATCTGGCACTGAATCTTTTGGCAAAGTTACCAGAGCAACGGATGCAGATGAAACCTGGTGGTGTAAGTTTCATACTTCTTGTTAATTTATTAATTATTTTAATACGGAATTATTGACAGGCTAGAATAAATATATTTTAATATTTATTTACTTGTCTGTCCCTGATCAAAAAGTACGAACTCCTGAAGGATCACAAGGCATTAAACACAGTGAGAGAACTCCTGGTTATCATTCGTATCTGGGGACTGCTGCGACCTTCTTGTCTGCCAGTTTTTCTACGCAGTGCTGACAACCTTGACGTATTGGCACTGCTGTTCCAGTTACTCTCGAAACTTGTGCAACCGAATGGAGATACTCAGCAACAGCAAGTCGATGACAGCTTAATAGGTAAGAAACATATTAATCTTGATTTAATTATTATTTTAATAAATTCTGAATTCTTTTTCTCTGAAGTAGTAGTTAGAATTGTGAATTTTTAATGAATCGTGTGTGTTTTATCAATTCTATACTAAGCTGCAGGAAATGCGATAAGAAACCGTTTCCTGAAACCTCGAGTGTTTCCTTTGAACGGTAGTTTTTATATAAAAGCAGAAATAAATGGTTTGATATCGTTGCACTCTTCTGAATGAGTTCTCTAAAAAGTGAGACTTTACATTTTTAATCGAAATAATTTTTATATAAACGATAATAACGGTGTTTAATTTGTTCATCTATTCACAATGACAAATAATCTGGCGAGGAAGCACAAGAGTTCTCTAACCTTGGTGAAGAATCCACCGACAACGAATGACTGTGGCAGTTCAAGTGAGGTTGAACAAGATTCAAGAAATTTTCATTTAAGTTTATTTCTGTCAATCTCTTGTTTAATGTTCCTGTTGTATTGGATTGTGCTGTGTCCATTGCTTTGGGCCTGTCTGCAGAATGGTTTAGCTCCCCGGAGTTGGCCAAGATTTTGGCCCTTCGCATTCTGGTTCGTAGCACTATTAGTTTGGTTGTTAATCATGTCATTGTTCGTTGCATTATGGAAATATCTGATAAGGCGTAAACAATCACGTGAACTGGAGATTGATAAAAGAATACCGCAAGATTGGACACCACTGCTCAGTCACAAGTCTATGTCGAAGAAAGAAAATTTGCAGAGCAAAGAGAAACTTACTGGTCAAACTGAATCGACAAATGATGAAGAAATCAGAAAAAAGACATCGATGGAAACAGAATTAAACGAAGGCTGCGAAAAGGATGACTTACAACTTGTGAGGATAGCTACACCTTGTTCCTCTGAGGCTGCTTCGGAAGAATCTGAAAATACGAAAATGCTCTCCGAAGACCCTGAGCAGGAAAGAATGTCTCCGGTAACTCCTTTGTCTCCAAGACAATTATTCTTCATCAATTTTCTAAGGCAGGCTGAAGTGACTGGTAAGAGCAAAAAAGTCAAAGACTTACCGATGAGCTCTAAATCTGTCATCGAGTCCTCAACTGATGAGGTGACAAATACTGCAAAAGAAAGACAATTCAAAGAAGAAGGAGACAAATCTAAAGATACTGTGGAAATTAATGAATCCTGCATCGATAAACCTGTGACCTTCTTTGACGAAGAGATCGGAAGCTTTCAATTGCACAAAGAAGAATTTGTAACTGATAAGGATCCTGATTCGAAGTCTTCAAATAAATCAGAAAATCAGCAAAAAGAAGTCTGCGAAGCCAAGGCACCTAATCTAGAGAGATCAAAAGTCAAATCTCAATACTTTATCGCAGATGTAGAACCTCTTGCGAATAAAAAGACAGAAGTCTTTCTGAGAATCGAACCTGATTCAGGAATTGCAAAATTAGAAGGTGCTTATGTGATAAATGTGTCTAAAGAAGATTCTAACTCTCATGAACACGACCGAGAAAACCAAGAGTCATTCAGTGAATAATTCTCTAATAAAATCTGTAAAGTTAAATCATTAAATTAGTAATTTAAATATAGTGATCCTATGTTTACTTTAATATTCCCATTATCTTCTTAAAGAAGAGACTATTTTCATTTGCGTTACATGCGGGTGAACTATTCTCAATTATTCTTAAATGTAAGCTTTAAGCAAGAATACTTTCTACTACCCGACATTTTTTATCGCACTAAAAAAATCAGATTCAAATTTACAACCGCTCTTTTCAGACGAATGCTGCTTACTTCCCAACCAGATAATGATACCTCAACTGCACCAGGCCAACAGTATTACTTCGATAGCGTCACCTGTACTCTTTTACCAGAGTCTTCCGCTTCAGGTAAAAATATTACTCGCATACATTTTCATCATGAAATACAACCACGTATTACACTGAAATTTTTTCATTACAGTTAGAGTACGGCATCGAACCAGAGCAGTTACTCTTCGTACCAGAATTAAATCCAGTCGAAGGGTGTATGCACACCGGACAGATAGTTGACACCATTCGTCACTTGTATCTGGGCAAACAACCACTTTACGTAAAACAGTGTACAAGGTAATTATTTTAGGTTATACAAGTTCTATGTAGACCAAGAAAATGTCTTGTAGAAAATTTTGATTTCCTTCGAGGGCTTTCGATCCTTCAAAATTAACCAAGTTATTCCTGATGACAAAAGTTACAGTCGACTTTAAAGAAGACATTTCATTAATTCAATGATATTATGCATTGCAGATGTGGAGGTAAAGCACAGGTGCAGAATATGACGCGAACAGCTGCAATTCGAGCCTGGGACCAAAGATGGACGCGTGCTTGCAGATGCGGTGGTATCTGGAGAATCCACAAGAACTCCCATTGATGAACCAATCGCTCCTACTAAACTATTTAAAAAAAATCGACCGATAACGTGCGTCATCACTGCCAAAAATTCGAAGCGAAGCAAACCAGTTCGGGCTTCAAACTCGAGTTGCGCGTGCATCGGTCTAGAGAAAAGAAATCCGAACAACGTGATGAACTCTTCAAATAATCTCTTTCATTGCGTCTGTAAATACACGAGCCGTTGTAAGATAAAAGGAAGAGCCTGTATTTAGCTGAGCCAGCGATTAAACTAATTTGTACCTAATTAGGTATCCACTTTGAATTGGGATAGCCCTAAGCGACGTCACAATTTTTGCCTCAACTCTGAACAAAGCCACAATCTGAGATCTGTTTCAATAATTTATTACCTTTTAATCGCATATTTATAACAGTTGTCGCCTTCGGCCTTCGTCAAATACTTACTTCCAAACGAGAATAAAACTAATAATCGTAATAATATTAATAATAATGTGTGTAAAACGCTGCCATAAAAAAATACCCCTTGACAAACGACGCGCCCCTCTTGTGCCTGGCCGGAAACAAAGATTAGTTTTGCGGTTCGTACGAGCCTTAGAAAATATTCTATATCTCTGGCGAGAAGTTCGAGAGCAAGCCTGGGACTCGGTGAGAGGAGATAAACCGGATAAACTTAAGAAAGCTTAACAAAGCTACAAGAGAGCGCCGAGAATCCGCATTCGCTTTCCAAATATTCGACATTAGTCGAGTCGAACGACTATCTACAGTTATCACGTTGTTAAATTATCGAAAACTATTGCAGACTATCACGCAACTCGGCGACGATCGGCCTCGTCAGAATATTCACTGAGATAAAAAAAAGAACAAAAACCACGTAATTACTCCGAAGAAATATATGTTTTCCACTAAAACAAATGACAATATCCCTTCGAATTTCATTAAAACCATAATGGATTTAATTCCAATTAATAACTTGGTGAAATATCTTATTCAATCCATCGAAGGAAATGGTTTCTTCGGTGTGGGAAAATAATTCCCTGCACCGAGAAGATAAGTGTCATTGAATAAATAAATAAAACTCTATTCCTTCAAGGAAATTATTCCATTGAATGGAGTTAAAGAAATGAAACGTAATTTAGATTTGACTTGATTCTTACAAGATATGAAATATTCCATCGAAGCAATGCATCGGACAGTTGAATATTCGAAATTTATGTTTTGCGAAGACTATATCTCTTTGGTTTCATGCTGAAGTTACTTCAACTTAATTCAAAGGAATAATTTCCTGGAGTGAAACAAAGATTTTGTTTCTCAGCGTTGATACAAGCTACAAATCACCGTTCGCCGAGGAGTCGATTGCACCGCCTTTGATTACCTATCTAAATCGGGGGGAGCTAATCCCTCGGATTGAAAAACACTCTCCATAGTACCTCCACATAAATTCTAACTAACCGTTACAACGAAGGAAATTATTCTAGCGAGAAAAATTGACTATCTAAGGACGAAGTTGAAAAGAAAGGAACGCGAAAGACAAGCAGGCAACGTTTTCTCCTGGCAAGAAAACCGAAATCGCAAGTATCAGCACTCGAATGCGACAAGGGACTAGCAGAGTTAACAATAAGAATCACCTTTCTCAACGTTCGTTTTCAGAGGGATTCCCCTCGACCTCAAGGAAGACGAGACAAGCATTAGAAGTCATCGCGCTAAACTAAAGAATCCAAAGCGCTTTACACTCCCGCCTTAATTCTACTAATTCTTACGCCATACCGCAGCCGCGATTCCTCCTGCTGGATATAAATATTTCCTTTGTACACGAGTTAGTTATTTACAGCGATGATCGAGGCGATCGAGTCGCAGAGTACTCGAAAAACGTTAAAGGATTTTTAATAATTCTTTTTTCCTTACAGGGTGTACCAAATTGTTTCAAACTTTACAACGTGAATAACGTAGACTGTAAGGAAAGTCTCGACACCCGTGGAATTTTAATTTTCACGAAAAATTGTTTAAACGTCTATAAACGAATTAAATATATATATATTATTTTTTTTCTTGGGTGTCAGGACCTTCCTTAAGGCCTTCACATTCACGTTGCAAAGTTTGAAACGATTCGGTACACCCAGTTCGGAGAAGTTTCACAAACAAAACTTCCTTGACGCCACTTTCGCATCGCCTTAATCACACTCTTGTAGATTAATCCAAGAAAATACAAGAAAAAGTATAAATGCAACTGTAGAGGTAGAAAGGATCTACGAGAAAAGCATCTTTAGAGGTACATCGAGTACTCTTCGACTAGGGCGCTCTAAAAAAATTGTCACTTGCAGATCGCAAGCCCCGAATAACATTATTCCATTATGCTCTTAGAGTAATCGATGAGTGATGCCAGAGTGCCCCGAGGATGCAATTATTGCACTACCTGAGAGAGGTGGACGTTGTTTCCCCCGGGTGCACCCGGGGGAAACAACGCCTGGACCAACATTAATACATTTCTATAATGTAACGAGGATTTAGTGGTCCACATATCACGGTCTTTCCTTTAGCTTTCTCCATAACATTCCCTGAACGTAACGTGGACACCTCTCGACATTCTTATTTTTCAGACATCGTAGTTCCCTAGGACTGAAATTGCAACAATTACGGCAAGACTTATACAAAACGGAATCTCCTTAATCTCTGACGCACTGGGACTAAAAGTCTTCTCGTTTTAAGAGTATATCGTAAACTTAGCGCGAACGTCAAGCCTATTTTTCGATAAGAAAAATAAAATGTCCCAAAGACAGCGAATGCATCATCGATGAACACATTGCCTTGCGACTTATAAAACGAATGTATACTTATCCTACAAACTGAGCGCACTTATAAGCGGGCAATGTGTGGACAATTGAAAATGCACATTTTGTACCACTGATCAGAACTCGAAAGTAATTCTGCGCTAGATAAATTGTCTAATCGTCGGCGATCGGGAGGTTCCATTATGCATGACTCGGTACAATGATAATGCTAACGGAGGCTGTTCACCTAACATCACGGTATCGAATTACTTCTTCGTTAACGGCGTTGAAAGATGTATAAATTCGAACATACTTTAATGCCACGATCGACGAACAAGTCATTCGATCGAATGATGTTAAATCGTCCTCCCAATATTAGACGTTGTCTGTACACTGTGCAAAGAATTTTCCGACATCCGGTTACTACGAAATGGAATAAAAATTTCGGACAACGCCTAATACAATGTAATAAAAATATATGAAACATTGTATAACGGAGAATCCCGAGCACCGACGCATGGATGCATCGTCATAATAGTCCTCTTCTAGGAAGAGCATCGTTTCCTCGTTATCTCTTTAGATCAGACTTATACAGTAAGTGGTAGATTATTTACAGGGGAACATTGGTTCAGGATAGTCCAGGCACTCTGCTCGTGAACGACGAAGGAAAGTCTTTGACACCTTCCAGGTTTCTCACATTTTTGGGCTTCGGTCAAAGAAACTTCAGAAGTACATCGGCAGACTTTGCCCACTTCCTCGGTCAGCCAGTCTTTTGGAATCCATCAACGAGGTTCACGGCTCAGTACTGCAACGGTTTGAGAGTTTGAAAGTTATAAATCTCTGTTGTAACGACGAATTATGTGTTAGCTCCAGGTGATGTCGTAGCCATTCCAGTTTGCACTTGGTGCCAGGTGCACTCTGCGACCGTTGTAGAAAAACGTTACAACGCCTCTGTAACCAGTTCTTGGTACGCCACTCTGTAAAGAGGAAAATTTTAAAATACGAAGGAAACGATGAAACTGAAGATATTTATTTTCTTTGATGTACAGTACCCTGAAGTCGTCCATGAGACCCAACATCTTCGCAGTGTTCTTATAAGCCTGACGAGTATAGTATGGTATCCTGACCGGACCAGCCGTAATGATGTTTCCACTCTTTAACTCGGAGTAACTGACCACCTTCGATTGATAGACTTCGTGAACGAAGGCTATGTCATAATAATCCTAAAAGTTATAACATCGAAAATTAATCCTGAAGGGAGACTCTTTTAATCTCATTAGAATTACTATGACTTACTTTTAACAAATACGTTAAATTCATCTTTGTGAAAGGCACAAATTGCTCGTTTAACTTGATAAACTTCAGATGCTTTTCGTAGAACAGTCCACTAGAAAGGAGAATTACGTAAAGTACCTACACTCGATCAAAGAGTACCGAAAGTACTTACTTGCTAACACCGATTTTCCCGAAAGTTCTCGTCCTAGATAGTTCTGGCCTTATGCAGGCTCTATTCTTACGTTGATCTGGCTGTCTGATCCAATCGTCCCAATATCTGTCCAGATTTGCAATTCCGATTTGAGATTAAGAAATGTCATTATATATTCTTTGACAATAAATTGAATGCAAACAATGTATCACAAGTACTCACGATTTGGGCCATTTGGGTGCAAGTTCCAGCCAAAGGTCTCGAGTAAGCATCCAGCCCAGACCAGGGAAGAAATCGGTACGATAAAGAAGATGCGGTGCATGATCGTCAACGAGGCCCAACTTTCCATTGTCATTCCATGCAGACACGCACCAAAGGGAAGGATCGGATACTAACAAAGAATAGGTTCCCAGAAAATATTCGAAGAAATCTGGAGCCACATCCAAATCATCTAAAACCCACCAGAGCGTTTTTTAAGCTTCGCCCATTATACCGACGAGGCTTCTACATCGTTATCATTAAATATACCTTCGACTACTATCGCAGTGTTATATCCAAACTCTAGAAACACTTCATTCAAAGCCCATCCGTAATGTCGAGCTATCTTGAAGTAGCCTTTGAATTTTTTTTCTCTTGGAGGGACTTCAATATCGGATTGATCAGGTTGCTGCAACATTGGTTATAGGTTAATTTAATATTAAATGTCAATCCACATTTAAAATAAACCACGTCTGAATTTTGTTTCTATAAAGGGAACTTACTCGTATGTGTATAATTTCATCACCATAACTGTGGATAACTTCTGCAGTCTGCTCGTGTTCACAGTCCTGGCTAACGATGATAGGAAACTGCTCCGGACTGGGTCTCAACTTGATCAACTGATCAAGGCATCTCTGGACGGTGATTCGGTTACAAGAAAAGACAAGAACTGCGATCACTGGTGCACCATTGTCCAATGTCTTCTTTGCCGTTGGTTTGTATACCTCACTGACAACCTGTTTTTCAATCTTCGACTGAAAAAACGATTTTTAAGTCAAAAACAAATGATTTAATTTTTTAAACTAGGACTTAAAATAAAGAAGATGCTTTTTTCTCTTTGAAATGATTCTAAGTATTAGATTGACATAAGAATGTAAGACAAGTTACAAGCGCTTGAAGGTCTTCCTTAGGTGCTTCTACGTCTTCAACTTTCTTCTGCGATTCCTCCCCTTGATTTTTCTTCGTGTTTTCAAGCTCCTTAATCTCGTTACTTGTGCTCTCTGGCAGCGCGACATTATTTTCAACTGGGGGTAGGGCACGTAGTTCCTCAACTTGTTCTGAAGAGAAAGACTTTAATAACGGAACTATCGACAGTGGGTCACTTGATATCCGATAAGAGAATGATGGAGAGAATCATCTGCTTTTATTTTGACGTCCACTCGATCATATTACTAACATAATTCAACTTTGACGATTCCCTCTACAGATCTCCTGCGATTAGATCATTGCTTACTTCTGTGCTCCCTGCTCCTTCGGATATTCCACAGTAATTCCTTATTAATTGCGATCTGCTGTTTGACATCTTCCTCCAGCTTGTTAATCTGATTCGACAGTTTAATCTACGATTATCAATGCAAGAAAACATTGTCATTATATTATTCTTCAAAGAAAAAGACCAAGTCTGTTTGGAAAGAAACCTATCTACTACTTTGATTAGTTGAGAAGCTAATTCATGAATTAACTGACTATTTCTATTTCTACTATAATTATCATTAAAGAAATACAACTATTAATGATATAAAATTATTCTTCTCATTTGTTTCAATACCTCTTCATTTTCTTTGCCGATTGGTCGATCCAGGAAGAGAAAATATGTAATGACGCCCCATACTAATAGCGAGGCGAATATAAAGCCGACCAACCTGTTCCGCATGGCAGATCTATTGTCACCTCATCTGAAATTAAAATAAAATATTATTAAACAATGAATATTTCATGTACCGTTTAACTACACATCTCATGCACCATTCCAGAATAACGGAAACATTAAGTGCTGAAAAAAAAGTACTAAAATTCAGGAAATCACAAGGCATGCAATTGTTTAAACTTTTCCTCGCTTTTAACATAATTTGACAGTAGACACCTCTATCTGAATCTGTCACCTCATTCAATGACAGCGCGGAGTTACAAAAAAAAAACGATTTCAACAAAACCGGTTTAAACAAAGATATAAATCGGTAAAAATAAAAAGCTCAGTGACCTCACCGTTACGTCATTATAAATCCTGTCAGGGAAAAATGAAACCGCTAGACCCGGAAAATACCCTTGACATTCCAGAATTTTACTCCGATTTCCAGAAGCAAACAGGATCAATTGGCATCGTAGAGTGACACGAAAACGTCGGATAAAAGAATTAGAATTCGGTTTACCATTCCGTCATCAGCAACGGCGATCAGGATCGAATCCAAAATCCGGCGACCTTGGTGATAACGGAGAGAGGACGTGGACTAACATGACACGACGCAGAGCAACGCAGGTGATCGCAGGTGATCACAAGCGAGGGCGAAGACGAGTTCTGCGATAAGAAGAGAATGGGGAAGCGCGAATTAGCTAGAATTGGAAGAAATTGTCAGTAAGTGAAAATTCTGGCCTCGGAAACTCATGCGACGACAGCGACGTCGGAGGTCATGGCGAATGGAAAAAGAATGTAGTGACGTGCAAGGCCTTAAGAAAATAAATATGGCGGACTACATCTACCAGAGATGAGTTGGGAGATTGTTCACGTGCAGGATCGTGCGTTCGTATCCTGTACTGCCCTCTGGTTTCGTACGTTGGCTTTCACCGTTTTTTGCCCCCTAGGGCGGCGCAACGAATTTCTGATAGGATCTCGCGCACTCGCCATGGCGGTACCATCTACCAATCGCCGTTGGCGGCTCACGTATGTACATACTCGTGATTGTAATACCATGCGGCAGTTGACAGTGGTGGCTTACCTACGCTTACCGACACTGCTCGCTTTTGATGGTAAGGGAAGAACACTCGTGACGCTCCATTCGATTTTATCTACTTATCTACTACTATTAAGTACATTGTTGCCTCGAAGCGACGTGATCTACGTACTCGTGATGGTAATACCAACTGCCGCATGGTATTACCATCACGAGTACGTGAGCCGCCAATGGCGACTGGTAGATGGTACCGCCATCGCGAGTGCGCAAGCTCCCATCAGAAATTCGTTGCGCCGCCCTTGGGGGCAAAAAACGGTGAAAGCTAACGTACGAAACCAGAGGGCAGCACAGGATTGATCGCACGATCCTGCCCGTGAGCAATATCCCAACTCATCTCTGCATCTACATAGTTCTGTAAAATTCCGACGGATGGCATGCGCGTCAGTGGCGGGAGAATGAGGTAACGACTAGAACATAATGAGCTGCGGTTGAAATTCGGTGGAAAATATCTTAAGATTTTGCTTAAATCAGAGTGCGGTTAATACTTTGAAATATCGTTTAATATTAGTACAAAGTATCCGTTTAACGCATCGAACTTTGCAAGAATTGGAACGCGCGTAGACTTATGCTACATCTGTCCGGAGCTACGATAATTCGATTATGCGACCATTCTTAATCATTTCCTTCGGCCGAAATTCCCTTTTCCGACTAGACTGACAATCCTGACAATCGTAGTGATACGTGCTTGTGTCCATCAGTGGTTAACCTTCTCATAATGTATTTTGCGTAACGTAGGTGTTTGTTTGTCTTCTTTCATTTCTCAAGCAGATCATAACTCAGTCAGGAATTGTAACTTCGGCCTATAATTTATCATCCCTTTCTCTTTGCTATCTAAATATATGACGTAAGAAAGACCAAGGGCACCAACATAGAAAATACATTAACAATCGATAAGAGAATTAAATGATTGCTGCTATTCCGAGCAGTTAAATCACTTAACCTTTTCATCCCCTGTTTACGATGCTACTTGGACTTCCTTTTATCATGTACACGTGATCACGCGACACAGAACAACCACGCATTTAATAAAAGCTTTGTTCGACTTAGATAAAGTAGCAACCAATTCTGAGAGCAGTGTTGACGAGTCTCCTTTCGTTGAGCTATAACCATATCCTACCGCTATCCCAACGGTCTCGTAGGCTCGTACTCGTGTCTTACTTTTAGTGTTAAAAAACGCCATTTATCATTTAAAAACCAGGTAAAAACAGTTTTCCACCATTAAAAGTGAGACATGAGTACACTTAGACATCCAGCCAACGAATAGAACGGACATCAGTGAATTCAGTCGCCGGTCAGGTGACTATTGAAAAATTGTATTGACTATACAAATCTCTGACATTCCGCTCCGTCATCGGGAATTGACTTCAGCCTACCTATGATTTCAACGGTACTATTGAGAGACCCGTTGACAAGATAACGTACCTAGGGTTAACACTAGAGTTGCAAGTTTTCACCAAAGAGAAACGACACGTTCGCAGACCTAAGATCTACCTAGTTTGCACATAAGGCACGTCGAACCTTATTTGCAAGTCTGGTAGCGACTATTTCCCAAAGGAACAAGTGTCAATTACAAATCCCTCGAAAACTTACGATTCTACGTGAACGCTAGTAAGTACAGGCGCTGGGTACGAATAACCGAATTCCTGCTTGAAGATCCAAGAACTTTGTCAAGTACACACAAGAGCTTTGAGCTTCCCTTTTGATCTTTACTCGATACGTATATCCGAGCGCGTCGAAGAGGCTGCGAGGCGCGAATCAAACACACTGAGAAAAAAAATTCATCTAACCAAAGAAATATCTTGTTAACTCAAAGAATAATTATTTAACTCAAATGAACTGAAATAAATCGTCACAATTCCGAAGAGACGTTGCGTCTAATTTGCTCGAGTTTGAGTCAAATCATTATTTCCTGAATTGTTAAAGTATTTCTTCGGTCCGATGAAATTTTTTTCCCTCGGTGCATGAAACTCGGTATCGGTATTTGAACGTCGAAGCCGCTATAAGAGTAGAATAAGAGTAGAATATCTTTGGCACGACAAGTATTACATTAAGCCGTTGTCTCCTCCAGCATCATTCGGTCCGTGGGCTACAAACTGCGGTTTGTACGGCCGCAATCGCCCGGAGGAAAAAACGGATCACAGTATCCGAGATCGTTCGTGCACTCGAAAAGAACGTGCGGACGCGTCCGCGGTAGATGGATACAAATAGTACATAGTCGCCATCGCCGAAGAAAAAAAAAAAAGAATCCGCGATATTATTCAGCGATATAAGGGGATGTAAAAGAGGCATTCCAGAGATCAATCGTTCATAAAACATTTCTTCAAACAGGATGTACTGAATCGTTTCAAACCTTACAACACGACTACCGTGGCTATTAGGAAGGTTCCGTCACCCATGAAATTTCAATTTTTGTAAACAAATTTTTGTTCAATTCAAATTTCACGGCTGACAGGATCTTCGTTGCATTCTAAATATCCACGTTGTAAAGTTTCAAACGATTCGGTATACCCGATTCTGAAAAAAAGTTTCATAATCGAGGCATCTTTGATGTAGCTTTCATATCGCCTTAACATTTCGCATTTTTTATGCCAAGTCGGAGGCCGCTTACAACTGCGGCGCATGGCCTTCGCGAAAAGGCAATCGCGGATTAACCGGCGATGCCTGACGACTACCTAGGTCTAAGGATGCCCTTTTTCTTAAATTACAAAGTCCTTCGCTATGCCACTACGTGACTCTCTACATTAATAGCCGGTGCGACCGTCGTCGAGGTTGTTGCAGCTGCAGCTGTAGCCGCAGTTCCCTGCTGCAACGGCGACCTGGCCTGATGGAACCTCAACAACTCCGACACCGTGACGGCGACCCTGACGATGCCTCGACCGCCTTCCAGGACGTCACTAGCGCAGCAGACCAATTTCTGCAAAAGAAGAAAAAAACCAAATATCAGATTATTAACGTCTAATCTCCAGTATAAATAAATACACCAAGACTACCAGTCTTGGCCTTACACCCTGGAGTCTTGTTCTTGGTCTTACGTCGATTATTCTGGAACTATAAATAATGTTGAATAAATAATGTATATCTATCGACCAGGATTTTCGAGATATCCTGAATTTAAAAACAAGATATTTCGTTCGCTATCTCCTGCAGTGATAAGTAAAATCGACCTTGGTCTTGATCTTGGCCTAGATTATGGAAAAATGGGCAGGAGTCGGTCTCCTATTTTTCTTTCTTCACCCTTTCGGAAGACCAACCTCGATTTTTCTCACCGTTATCTTTTTTTATACTCAATTCTCTCGTCGACGAGACCCGGTATCGGGCGAGCATACAGGGGGGCTTGTAAAAAGAATATTTTATTACAAATACTGTATTACGGCGATACAATTTGGTAAGACACCCATATTAGCCAGCGTGCACGGCCGATCCGAAGGTAACCCCCTAAGTGGTTTTCATGGGACCTTCCAAAAGCAAGACACAACCCCGGAACAAACAAAACAGCGTGTACAAAATCGTGCAAAAGTCGCATCACAGGTAGTAAAAGCTCTTTCGCTTTCGTCCCCCCTTAAGGCTCGCGCACATCACGCCGAGATGAATCGCGGTTTATCGCGATATATTCCGTTTACAATATGCGACAAGTCCATATAAAATCTATAAAATCGATTGCGAATTTTTCCGATGCGCTGCGATCCGTCCCGCCATAATGTACGCAAGTCTTAAGGCGATACGAAAGTAGTGTCAAAGAGGTCTGCGAAACATTTTCCCAAGCTGGGTGTATCGAATCGCTTGAAACTCTATAACGTGAATATGGAAGCTGTAAGGAAGGTCCTGACATCCATGAAATTTAAATTAAAACAAAAGAAGAAAAATTGTTTATAGACCTTTTGAAATTTATCTTATGAAATTTGAAATTTCACGGCTGTTGGAACCTTCTTTATGGCCTCCACGTTTGCGTGGTAAAGTTTTAAACGATTCGGTCCACCCAGTTCAGGAAAAAGTGTCACGATGCCACTTTCATATCGCCTTAAGGATCCTCGTCCCTCCGCCGATGAAAGGACTGCATATAAATTGAAACGCGAGCGACACACTCGGACACGAAGAAGCGAGTTACCTTTCCGAAAATTGGAAAAACGAAAAGAACCCTGAGTAAACGTCGTCGCTTATGCTAATCTTAAGTCCTAGAGCGGATACAAATGCGCATTGTTAATTACTGAAAGCTTGACAACGTCCGACAACGAGCGTCGACGTCCGCAAGTACGGTAAAAAGAGCAGCCTCGGGTCGAAGAATTGGAAAGCCATCGGAAAACGAGGCTTATTCTTTACTAAATGCAAAGTACGAACACGAATGTAAATCCCGACATGGAGGAATATTCCGCGATTCCAGTACGGCGTGTATCATACGCGTCCCTGCGAAATATAACATATTTTCCTCTTTAAGGCGATGCGAAAGCGACATCTGTCAGTCAATAGTTGAATTAAATGAAGCTTTTCCCCGAGCCGAGTGTGCCGAATCATTCGAAACCTTACTACGTGAATATAAAGGCCCTAAGGAAGGTCTCGACATTCGTGAAACCCCAGGTTGTACAAAAAGTAGAAAAAATAGCTTATAAAAAAAAAAGATATGTTTAAATATGAAATGTTAGGAGTGTCAAGACCTTCCTTAGGGCTTTCAAATTCATGGGGTAAATTTTCAAATGGTTCGATACCCCCAGGTTCGGAAAGAAGGTTCATAAATAAGATTGACCCCTTGGAAGCCGTTTTCACATCCCCTTAAAATTGTCCAAGTACAAAAAAAAAATACAACCAGCGGTGGACGCACCCTGGTGAATGCAGAATGCAGACTCGAGGTCGTCAATCGAACGCCTGTGGTACATATTAGGTCGACAAATGCGACATTAAGCCCCGTTACATCTTAATTCTCAGCTCACCGAACAGGCATTTCTCCTTTTCTACTGGCTAGATTAGATATGTCGAAAAATAAAGGCAGCCTACACGGGAGAAGCCTACGGCGAGAATTCCTCGACATAAGAAGAATAATAAGGAAGACCAAGGAATACCGCCCGAATAATGAATTGTATGCCGTTCTCGTAGAGGCGGCTTGACTAGAAGTATCCTTACACCCCGCCGTCCCTCCTTTCGTAACTCCTGAGGACAAGGCAAAGGAAGATGCCGAAAAGGAAAGGAAAAGAGAGGAAAAAAAAAGAAATAATATCGAAGCATGGACTGACTCGATAGAAGAATCGACAACAGGGACTAATCGCTAACAACGAAGAGGACTAGGCATTTAAATAACGACGAATCGTCGCGTCCTGTTAGGTCGTCAAGGAGATAGAACGGATGCGACGAGATTTAAGTACTATAAGAGACGCCGCCATTGCGGCTGAGAACCCGGAAGAGGGTTTAGATCATTTCAAGAATACATATACACGACGAGCGTACATTTTTTTCTCTCCGTTAACCAAGCCCTCTTCTCGGCGCACTTCCGACAACCTCCCACGCTAACGGCACTTAACAACTAGATCAATTAAAGATTCGATGGAAAGTAAATTCGTTACTGGATAAAAACGTAAATTCATGTGTACAACTCCGCCAGGGGCGAACAGGTATCGATCGGACTCCGTAACCTCTAATTATTAACCGTAAAATAAATAAGCGAATAAACCAGGTATAGTCTCGATTAAATTAAGTAACTAACCGTAGATCCGTCCACATTAATGATAAATAAATGATACAAAAAGTAAGGCTTCGGTCCAACTTAGGAGTTAACAGAACTCGTCTACGTGCACTGACGGACATGAATGCCTTCCTTACGGATACCCTGCTATTGGTATATGATAAGAGAGCATTAATGTCCGCCACTGTACACTACGTACCCAGGATACCCTAAAGTTCCGCCGACCTTCACGTTCCCGAATTTATATAACTACCTATACGCATTATACGTGTACATGTGTGCGTAAATATATATATTTTTTTNGAAAAAAAAATAATAAATAAATTAGAGCGGTAGCACATGTCTACACCGAGTCGACGTGGTCAAGAGTGGGTCTCCTCAAGGCGAGTCTCCTCTTCGAGGCCGTACAGAGATCGGTGCCGATAATTCGCAAACGGCATTACAATCGGCGGAAATTTTCGCGATTCGATTAACGCCAACGGCGTAATCGAGAAGAGCCTCTAGCACCGGGATATAACGAGAGAACGAATCGAGAGACTGGATGGCGTCTCGGACGAGTTCGTCATATTTTTTTTTTCCTCTTTTCTTTTGTTCTTTCACACGGAAGATGTTTTCCATAGGGATAAAAAAATACCCGGTCATAGCCAGGCGATTCACAGCAAATCCAGCGTGCTGTCGAATTCAAGGATGCGCAATTCCCGTCACGTAACAAAATATAATTAGCGTAGCTCGTCGTCCGATAAATAATGCTAACAGCGAATAAGTGTAACACGAGCGACGCCCGGAAAAGCGTAAAAAACATCCCTCGTCTCCTTGAATCACCGGAATATTACGGAGCACATCTGATAGAGATCGAGGAAACAAAAAGCGGCTTCTACAAACGAACAACGATGAAGCGACTCCGCGACAAAAATGAATCTTCGGTTGTCGAGGGATCGAGGAGGCGGTTCTCTTCCCTAGGAAGCGAACATCTCCTGAAGAGCTCCTCTTCTCGTCGAGTGGTCTCCCGCCCTCAGTAATCGGGCAGAGGAAAGAGGTAGAGCAGAGTAAGGATGGAGACGAAGACGACGAGGAGGGTCGTCGAGAGTACGCGGTCCTGAACCGTAAGGATCGCGGGCGAACCCGCGGACGGTTCTTCCTGGCCCTCGTCTTCGCGAAGAAGAACGCCCACGAGACGCGCCAGAGCCGCCAACCCGTGCGCGTCCATGTAACCCACGTCCATGATTGCATCCGCATCCATTAAGACCTCCTGCAACCAACAACGAGTACTACTCAGTCCCTCTTCTACTATTCTTGACCTCGGTCCCCCTCCCGAGGACCTTGGCTGCCCGGCGCCCGAGGTTCAAATTCGACAGTAAACCGACCGACAACGTGAACGAGAGGACGAGGTACATATCTAGAGCCGGTGGGGCTCTTCAGGGTAAAACAGAAAATCTTGACCGAAGGATAGGTTCCCTCAAGGCGGTAGGTTCAAGACTATCGACGGTAGTTGGATGATAAGCCTGGGTTTATGGGTGGACCCAGGATTCGACGCCACGATGGACCGCGAGGTCCGTAGGTCGTGGAGAACGAGAAGCAGGGACTGACTAGTAGTTGCTGGAATCGCCGACGAAAGCAAACAACTTCTCCGATTCGCAATCGCGACGCTACGGCGTGACCTTAGTCCGTGAAATCGCGGACTGCCTCCCCCCCTTCGCGTGACCCTAGCGAGATGCGGCGGGACTTGACCTCGTGGTTCTCAAAATTACGTATCAGCTCTAGACTTCATCGGCGGAAGAGTTCTCCGAGTCGTCTTAAGGAAAGGTCGAGTACAAGGGCGAAGGGGCTTACCTCGTCGACACCGATCTTCCGACAGGCCTCCAGGAAGTTGTCCACGTTGCGTCGGCACCTCGCCATCGTCAGCTTGGGCTTCGATGGAGAACCGGGAAATGTAAGCGATTAGACGGATCAAGTGGGGGGAATATTGGATAACTAACTACCGAGTCATAACTTACAACTGCAGGTGAGGGAACATGGATACTGCCAACGGAGCGCGGCCTGACGTGGTTGGCCAGGTGACAAAGAACGACGCCGTCCGTCAGCGCAGGGGCCAGGTCTTCGGGAAGAGCCATCTTCAACCTTGTCTCTATATTCTGCAAACGGTGTCGATAAAACTCTGTTTAATAATGCATCACTTGCAAGGACACCTCTGATACAGTCCATTACTAACGTTTCTCAGTTGTTCGATCAGATCGGCCTCTTCCTTCGCTCTTTCGAACTCCCTCCTCATGGTGAAGGAGTACTTCTCGGGTAGACTGCTGTGCCAGGTCACTGACCTCCCGGCAGACTTGGGGCTGCCACCGTTTCTGCTGGGACTCTCGTTTCCTGGGAACATAAAACCACGACCTATACATCCCTTCGTCCCAGGAATCCGTCATCGCACATATAGAATCCATTAAAAGAAACCCTCACCTTCGGTGAAACTCGAGCTCGTCCTGGCGATGGCAGACGTCGGGTGAGCCAGACTCGTCGGACTGTGACTCTTGACCGGCGAGCTCGGTTTCTTGTACGGCTGGTCCACCAGCTGTCCATTATGCTCGCCACCGCTTCCATTGACGATCGGTATGCTCCGATAATTCGCCCGAGATGGTGTAACCTTCTGGACCGGTCTTCTATTCGCGCTCTCATCGTTCGCCGAGGACTTTCCGAGTATGCCGACGCAGTCGGTTCGATCACCCGGAGGCTCGTTTCCAGGTGGAGTCATCTGGTCCCGAGACCTATAAACGCTGGGCCCTTCGTTGGCTCGCTGCTGTCTCAGCGCCTCCTTGTATTCCCTGATGTACAATTTGAAAATCAATCACGGCTCTTCCGGAATATTCCTGGATATCCGAAAGAACCATCCGAAGTACCTGTATGTCTGAATATGATTCAACGGCCTCTTATCCTCGCCATTGGCGATCATCGGTGTTGGGTTAGCCACCGTTTGCGGAAACTGCACGGGTAGCGTCGTCGGGTCTTGCTGCACTTGTCGCTGCTGTTGCTGACTCAAGCCGGCGCTCTCCAGTTGCCTGTGAAGAAACGCGAGTCCCGCTTCATAAGTGCCTCAACAAGCAGGAGAGCATACGAAACGGGAGAAGGAACTCGAGAGGAGACTCAAGTAAGCCCGAGTAAGAACAAGAGATTCACCCTGAAGGAACGACGGGAATCGAGCCGCGCATGCAGGAAATGACTGGTCTTCTGGATTCGACTCCGTTTTCCGAGGCGCTCCTCTCCAGCCTCCTCTTCTCAAGCTGATCGTGCAACAGCATCGCCTGCAACGAAATTTCCCCGCCATTAAATATCTAGTCCCAAACATTAATCCTAATTACTGTTAATTATCATTACACAGCTTGTGATCCTCTCGCAGTCGCCTGTGCCCGTTCGTTCTGGGAATGTGACGAGTTGACGAAGAAGAAGGGATCGAGGTCGGGTCAAGGTATTCGAGCCGAGGTATTTGATGTCGAAAACGACGACGACGACCCCCAACGTTGGCGGGACGCCTCGACGTGGGGAACAGGTCGAGGATGAAAAGGGTAACGCCTACCTTGCCCAGTTCGTCCTCGAGAGAGGCGTGTTCTCCGGGTGAGATCGTGCTGGGTGTCGAGGTGCCGCTGTAGGAGCCGTTCATCCCGGACTCATGGGGCAACGCGATGGAGAGCGGTGAACATTCCGGTCGCCACACTCCCCGGAGGTCGTCGTCGTGCGCCTGCATGGACGAGAGAAATGAGAGAGAGAGGTGAAACGTTACCGGCAATCCTGACCATAATGTCGATCGCGTAAGTGAACGGCGAGGCAGGGTTATAATTACTCCTGAAGAAGCGAACAACGAGCCAATTAAAGCAGGGAGAACATTACACGGGATGCTTACGGCAATGGCAGAGATAATGGCAAAGATAATGCAATGATAATTAATAACAACGCAATAACGCGCCCACAGCGACCTTGCTCGAGAAATGGTTATCATTTAGCGGCATACAAATGGCAACGGATACCTCATCTGATGCGCTTCCGATTAGCTCTTGACATCCGCAAGCAATACGTTAAGAGTCCCGAGCAAAGTGGAATATGATGCAGGAGGGACTTGCGGGGAAGAGGGCAAGGCCCTCTGGCACGCGCTACATGAATAGCACAGTCAGCTCTCTGTTAAGTTAAATTACATCTCACCGAGGGACCCGAGAGAGAGCATTCTCTCAAGGGACCGCAAGGCAGTTGCACAATTCATGGGCTGTAGTGCCAAGCTGCGATTTTCTACGTTCACCGATTAATCGTATAATCCGAAGGAACAGGGAGGCCTTGAATGAGGATTCTTCCAAGACGAGACAGCGATCATGTAGGAAGCTCTTGAATGAGGGTCGTCAATTTTTTCCCTTCCTCTTCATCGGGTACTGACATTTCTGCGCCCTTTAATAGGGCCATTTAATTCTCTGGCATTTCTAGGTTTAGGAGGCAGCTCTGAAAATGCCTTCCCAGGTGCATCAGGTGTAGAAGGAGAGGATAGGTCAGAAGCAACGAGGACAGGCAGCGCACAAGCGAACGATCGTGTTCCCAAGCTTTAGAAAAGGGCAAGATCAACGTGACCGCGAACTAACCGCACTGTGTATCTCCTGGGACCATCTTTTCTCGCTGACCCCGTCGCTGGTGCTGTACCCGCTGTCGACGTTGTGGCGTTTATGGGACCTAGTGTCCAGGGTGACGTGACCTCTGCCGTCCAAGGGACCTCTTCTGGCTTGTCTTCCAGCTCTCGCCCGCTCGTGCTTCGCGGCCTGCCTCTCGAGGTACTTGAAGACGTGCGTTCGCCCGCGAACGCACAGCTGAAAAGGGGCGACAATTTATTGCAAGGGTTACTCGTGTACCCAGATGGTCCACGAATGCAAGAAAATCAAGGTCGAGTGGCATCGACGAAGTGGAGAGCTCGAGACGTACCGAGGCAGGAGGTGAGGTCAACGGGTTATCCGAGATTCGAAGGTCGTCGAGGCTCTTCATCTTCCGCAGCTCGTTCGGGAGCACGGATATCCGGTTGCCGCTGATGTCGAGCTTGACAAGTCGCAGGTACGTGAGTTCTGTGGGACGGGGATAAAAATAAGTATCCAGGTACAGTGATAAACAGAGAATATCAGGTTGCATGCCAAAGAAGTGACCCCACGAGTTGAGTACTTTATCGAGTCGTGTTGACCAACTTAATTTAATATTATCACATAAAAATGGGGCATTAAGTGATAATTTTAATATATACGTCTTTAGTTTTCCTAAGCTAGACAAGAGATCCTAACCTATTGGCAGCTGCACCAAAAGGTTGCTCCTCAGGTCGAGGCACCTGAGTCTCGGTAGGTCGCCAATTCTAGGAGGTAACGACGAGATTTCGTTGCAGCCTGCGTCGAGTTCGGCCAATGCCGACATTCTGCCCAACTCGTCGGGAAGCGAAGATAGCCTATTATGAGCAACGAGCAGAGTCTGCAACGGCAACCTGCACACCTCCCTGGGCAACGCCGTCAGCTGATTTCGGCTGTATATAAAAGAGACCCGGTGAGCACCGCTTATCTCTCTTTCCCGTGACATTTCAGCGCAATAAAAGTATACTATTCTCATATCTATCCAAGGGAAATCCTAACCTGAGGTCGAGGTAGCTCAGCGACTGCAGCATCGCTACCGTCTCCGGTATTATCCTGATGGCATTATGGTACAGGTGCAGCTTCTCCAAGAAAGGAAACTCCGTCACCTCGTCCGGCAGCTCGGTAAAGCGGTTCTTCGATAGGTCTGCAAAAAGGAAGAAAAAGAAATCACCCATAGGCGCAATGGTGCCACCGTGCCAGAGGCGCGAAGTGCCGGTTGATTAATTCAGGGCCTTCCAAGAATCGCAGGAAAGACACAAGAAAATCGCCCCCATATACAGATATCTCGCGTTGACATTTCCAAAAAGTCCTTCGATAACAGTAGCGATATAATTCCTGGCTCCAAGAACCCTAAATATCATGTCAACGAGGCTTATCAACGATTCCCAGATGGCGGTTCGCAGCACCGATTTAAACGGAGGTCCTTGCGGTCCCGTGACTCGTATTTTTATCGACTGGTCTCTCATTTACCAGGCATACCTAATTATGCACGCGAGCTGAGACCCTTGGCAGTCCTGGGAAGGGAAGAGGAAGAGAAAAAAAAATTCGTAAAAAACATGGGAAAAAGAAGCTAAAGTCGAACAAAAGGTGGCCTGTTCGCGTCACCTTCCCTTCGCTCGTGGTTGCTACGCGCGCGGGGTGCGCCCTCTTAGCCGGCTCGGATGCACGTGGCCCGGCTCGGCCGTGTTCGGCTACCTTCGGGCCCCCTCGGGCCGGCCGGCCGGCTCTACCCGGCACGGCCGCCTATTCGGACGCGAACCACGTCGCATCGAAGGTAGGCCCACTCCCCGATCAATACCGACCGCCCCCGCCCTGTCGCCGACACGTGAGTGCACGCGACCCCGTAGAATTGGCTAGGGCGTGAGAGGGCTCCAAGGACCAAGGTCGATCGATAAGGACCGTGTGCCCGCGAGCGAGTCGCAAGGTGTTCTCGTCACCGAGTAACGGAAGGGAAAGAAGGAGGCGACCCGTCTTCCCATTTCGTCCTCCCCTCGCTTCAATCGAACGCCACTCGAATCGCATAGCTTTCGATGCGTGACACGCATCGTTAATAAATAAAAAGAAAAAAGAAAAAGGGAGAGAGAGGGGAGGGTGCAGTCGTGAAATCGGATAGATGGCGCTTGTCGGGCGCCGTGCATCGGTGGGCGTCGCTGAGCGCGGTTTCCCGTCTGGCGCGGAGTCACGCAACCCATGACGGAGAGAGCCTCGCGATAAGTCGACCGAAGCCCGGCAGGACACGAAACCATATATATATCCGACAGGGCGCGATAACTCGATGGGAGGAAAACATACGCGCAGGAAACGCGGAAGCGATATCCACGATACCCCCGCGATGCCGGGAATCGCACCCTCGAATCCCCCGTGCGGTGTTTTGGGGTTAGTTTAACCTTGAACTAGGCGAACAGGTAGACGCACCGCCGAGGGGTGGCGCGGACCGACGATCGGGTCAAGGTCCACGCGACCTCGCGATCTCTACGGCGAAAAGCCACTTTTCCATTGCAGCGAACCGTTGCACCATAGACCGTGGAGGTGCGTATATACCCTGACGGGGAAAACCGATGTCCTTGAGCCGCGCGACAGGCGACGGGAATTGGCAGAGCGCGAAACCGCATCCGGTGCCCGTGGATCCGCGCGCGGCCATTGCGTCCCAGGAACGAAACCCCGGCGAGACCAGAATGCGCCGTGCAATTAGCTAGCCTTAATAGCCGGCCCGCTAATTGCCGGGCGCGCGCAAATGTCCCAATCGAAAACGAGGATGCAAGGACGCCGGGTTTCTAGAGCGACCTCGCCTCGCGAAGGGATTACTTCCATCGCTTCCCTTCCTTCGATTACTTCCTCGGTCGTACTTAATTGTTAGTCACGACCTCAAGTGCTATCCCCTAACGATCGAACGCCCCATGGAGGCAATTGGCTCTTTATTGTTCGCTAATTAGCTTCGCGTAGCTTCAGGAAAGGCACCGGCGAGTCATCGGCCGTCCGGCGGACGGGAAGCGCGTGCCCGTCGACGGGCCAAGACAAAGGGGACACCTCGGCGGAAACGGCCGACGGCCGGAAAGGTCGGTACGGAGGAAGCGGCGAAAGGTACGCCATTTTGGAATCGCGCCTCCCCCCGGCAAGTACGGTAACTTCGAGCCGAGCCATTCTCCTCATTCCTCCGTAATCACGTAAATACGCTTTTTTTTTTCTCTCTTCTTTTTTCATCTTCTTTCTTTCAGCTAAGTAATTCATAAACCTTGCAGATAATCGCCAACTCGAAATCCCGGAAAAAGGCGACAGGAAGTGATCGACGGTACGGTAACGTCCTACTAATAATACTTTCGTTAAATTTCGTCCATCCAATTTTGGTGATGGTATTTTCACGTTTTAACGTGCATCGAATGAGACTCTTTCGTATCACCTTAACGACGCGCGTCCCTCGTGGGAATTGTTACGCGCGGTTTTCGAGGTTATAATTAACGATCGTTAAAGCCGCGTAGAGAGGAGGCGAATGCGTTTGATCTTCCGGCTTTCTTGCACGGTGGTTTGCGAACTCGTACCGAACGTTCCGAGAGCTGTTTTGTATCCTCTTTTGCCCTTCGGCGTGACTGTCGGTCAAGTATGCCGTCTCGGGGCCGACCTCTCGACTGAGACTCGCCGGGGAGTCCACCTGGTAATACGGGAATCCCCGGCAGGAATGCACCTCCACCCAGAGAGACGGATCTCTAGGCCTAGATCGGAACTCTCTCCGCGATCATTCCCCACATCGCAGGTGCACTTTATCGGATTCAACGGGTGGAAAAAAAAAAAAGAAGAAAAAGTACGCCCCTCGTGCGAATCACCCGAGGTAACATAATCCAGCAAGCCCATCGCCAAAACAGCGTTAAACACGAAACGCGTTACATATTAATTTACGTCAACACTGGTTAAAAAAAAAATAATAATAATAAAATCATCATAATTTTATTATATTAAACACGGAAGAAATTAACGCGATACGCTGATTTTATACCGTATTTTCGATGCGTTAGAAAATTATCATCAGCGCATTAAGGAGAAAACAAGATAATACGTATAGAAAATGTGTACAAGAGAGGTTAAGATAAGAATTACTAACGCGCCGTTATGCGAGTATAAATCCACTTCGATATATATGAAAGATCCGTATGGTACAAGATTTAGAATTTTACAGCGTCGCGTTAATCGGCGGGTTAATATATATATATTTTTTTTAACGTATACAGCCCGTAAATAAATATGCGTTCAAACGCGTGTACTCGCATGAATTTAAATTTCAACATATCTAAGCATCTTAGACCTATGTATGGAGAGTATGTAATCCTCTTAACCCGATTTCCCTCTTTTTTCAGGGAATTAACCGAAGCGTTGACCCACCCCGAGTGTGAATTACACGGTTAACAAGACGTCCCTCTCTCTCGTAGGACAGGTCACCGGCATTACCGGCCGCGTTACTGGGCTTACGGCACGACCCGCAGAGTATCGACCTGTTGACACCCCCGAGTGACCCCGGTGCAGCTGCGGGGGTCTATCTTTAGCCTATCGACTGTCGTGGGACTCCCCGAGGGCCGTCGTTCGCTCCGGTTCCTTCGCCTCGAGCAGCCACGCCCGTGCGTGTCGCCGCAGGGGAGAGAGAGAGAGAAACAGAGAGAGGGTAGGAACGTCGACCGAGGGTCGAGGAGGTTAGAAACGGCGACGGACCGAAAATCCAGATACGGCGAAGACTCCAAAATGACTTTCCTGCGGCCAATGCCTTGGTGAGCGCCCTTAATTAATGGAAATGCGCCACACATCCTTAATGCGATACGAAAGTGCCGTCAAGAGGTCTCGTTTATCACACTTATTCTCCGAAGTGGCTGTACAGAATCGTTTCACACTTTCCCATGTGAACGTGGAGGAGATAAGGCAGGTTCCGACACCCGTGAACCTTCAATTTATTTATTTTTTTTTTTTAATTTGTCTATAGGCGTTTTTATAATTTTTTATAAAATTTATGTTTCGTGGGTCTCCGGACCTTCCTTATCGTCTTGACGTTCACGTTGCAATGTTTGACATTATTCGGTACACCCTGCAAGGAGGAAAGTTTCACTGGATGGATTGACCTCTTGGAGGCCACTTTCGTATCACCTTAATGAGCGGAGGTGAGCCCTTGGTAACCAGGCACCATGAATTGGCCGAGTATCGTGGAGATGTGTATGTACGTATGTACGTGATATAGCGGCAATTTTAAGACGCGGTGCACCTGCTCGAGAGTTTCCTTCGGGTCGTCGCGGCTGACCCCTTTACCAGAGTCGTTGAATCAAGGAACGGCCGAGGGTGTCGCGAGTCTCTCGAGTTTCCCGGCAACCTTTTCCACACCTTAACCCTTGGCCGAGAAGAATTTGCTCGTAGTTCGCACGTAGCAATCAGCGGAGTGGAGGCGGGAAAGTGGAACTTATTGGAACTGAGCATGGAAAAATCAATGAAAGCAAGGAAACTCTAGGTAATACAGGTAATTTGGAACTAGATACATAGAATGACCCTTTACCTTGTATTTCAAGTTAGAGAATATTCAACAAAGTCAGACTACCAGGCGAGTTTATCAACCCCTTAATCCTTATTTTTTAAAGGCCTTGCAGATGGGTGGAGGAGAGTATAGATCCCCGGGTTCACGGGTAGAGCCTCGCGCCAAGTACACTGCGCGCATTTATCAGATGTTGCTCCAAACCATTCAGGTGAATCACCTGTTCCGTTATCTCGAGTACACATGCGTCAGGGGAGGAAATAAACAAATGGGTAAGATAATCCTGAGGTCTTCTCTAAGCGGCGTGCAGTGGAATAGGAGGTTCAAGGCGGTAAATAAAAAACAAACCGAAGTCTTCGCAGGCTAACAATTTGCATTCCTGAGGAATCTTACCGGCGATTACGGTGTCCTGGAGGTTGAACTTGGCGTTGCCTTTCCCCACCTTCGGGAAGTCCTTCAGCTTCCGGTTGCTCAGCTTCAGCTCGCCGCTCAGGTGCGCTTCCTCGAGTATTCTTTCGAGACTTCTGGTCAGCTGTTTCTGGATGTGGTCGCTCATGTTGGACGCGACCATCGCCATGTTACGTTGGACACGAGCGTACGAGACCGAGGGTTACGCGAGCGTGGGGAACGGACGGGCCTGAGGTCGCCCTCTGCATCTATTCGACGCTCTTCGCGGTCATGGCGCACGCGACGCCCGCCCGACGCCGAGCGAGGGCACTCGACCGGCACCAACGCAGTCTGAGAACAGACGCCAGGGTACGATGCTTTCCTAATCTCCTTACAAGCGCGACGAGCCGGCACGCGCCAGCGATCGCTCGCGACTGCGCGACGGTGCGACGCTGCGGCAGCGGCCCCTCCCGAAGATCTCAACGGGTCGAGGAGTGGGGGGTTTCGGGTACATTTGCACTCCCCGGCGCCAACCAATGCCACCATATAGCGCAGTCCGCCTCAACTATGTACACTACTGAAACGCCATCTGTACTGTCTGACTCCATCAGTATTGTGAGTAAGATAAAGAAAGAATACAATTCGCTATATATCGCCATAAGATTAAGAGAGATGGAGAGATAATTACAGCGCCACCATCCGTTGGCTAAGATACTATTTCTCGAGCATCGAACATCCGTATTCTTCTGGGTTTCTATGAAGACTTCTGAACTCTTTGGTATATACAGACCAAAACTGGTCGGGGTGAAAAATTTCGTAAGAAATACGTTGACAAAAGTTTGTTTATCGTTTATAATGTACTTGTGTTTTGCTGTTATCTGTTAGGAGCTTCGTGACAAACTCCGGTGTAGTCGAATTCGCAATCTTTCTTTAAACGACATTTCGGCTCCTACCAATTTTTTTGAGGTTATATAAACAAATTTTGGTCAAACTTTGTTTAAAACGGCTAGTACAATGTTAATTGGCCCGCTAAAAAGTAGCATGAGCTCGAGTCATCTGTCACGCTGGTCACGATCGTCCAGATTGATTCAATTTAACCACAAGGTAAGTAATTCGCATTTGAGGTTAGGTTAGTTTGCCGGATTAAATGGCAGTATTTAGTTAATCTGCTATTTGTCACTCAATGCTGCCGGTGTTAGAACCATTGTTTTCCATTTCAGATGCGAGAGATTGCACGACTTTTCTCTTCACATGCCAAATATGCAGAATGCCAGCCATTGGATAAAGTACGGAATATCGGTATATCTGCTCATATCGATTCTGGAAAAACAACTCTGACGGAACGTATCCTTTTTTATACTGGACGTATTAGTGAAATGCACGAGGTTAGAGGAAAGGACAACGTAGGGGCAACTATGGACAGTATGGAACTGGAGCGACAACGAGGAATTACTATTCAGTCAGCGGCTACTTATACTCTTTGGAAAGGCCACAATATCAACATCATTGATACTCCAGGCCATGTTGATTTTACAGTCGAAGTAGAAAGAGCATTGCGTGTTTTGGATAGTGCGATTCTTGTTTTATGTGCTGTCGGTGGGGTACAGTCGCAGACGTTAACGGTAGATCGCCAAATGAAGAGGTATGGAGTACCATGTCTGGCCTTCATCAACAAGCTTGACAGAATGGGAGCGAATCCCAAAAAGGTGTTGTCTCATGTGAGGTCTAAAATGAAGCATAATGCGTCATTTATTCAATTGCCAATTGGGCTAGAAGGTAATACAAAGGGATTGGTTGACTTAGTCACCCAACGTGCTCTTTACTTCGAAGGGAATTTTGGAGAGGTAGTGCGGGAAGATGAAATTCCTAAGGATATGAGGACAGGTGAGAAAATGCCTTTAAAAAGATGTTTGATGTGACAAAGATTTATTTATAGCTTTTAATTATCAAAACCTGCAGAAGTTGATGAAAAAAGGCAAGAACTCATTGAGAGCTTAAGCAATGTTGATGAAATCCTTGGTGATGCATTTTTAAATGACAAGGAGATTACCGTGGACAATCTAAAGGCTGCTATTAGAAGAAGTTGTTTGAAGAGAACATTTACGCCAGTGTTGTTGGGCACAGCTCTTAAGAATAAGGGTGTTCAACCCTTGCTGGATGCTGTACTGGATTACTTACCAAATCCAGCTGAAGTTACAAATTATGCAATTAAAGAGACAAGTAGGTAAGTGTTTGTATAAAATCTAATCTAATTTAGAACAAATTTTACCTACATCTTAAAATTTATTGCTGCTCTTTTTTTAATACTTTGTTTATGCCTGAATATATTAATGCTCTGGTAACACAGTGAGAAGACTGAAAAAATTACGTTGAATTCTGCTCGAGATGGTAAAGATCCATTTGTGGGATTGGCTTTTAAATTGGAGGCTGGCAAGTTTGGTCAACTAACATACTTTCGATGCTACCAAGGAATCTTAGAAAAAACAGACAGCATATACAATACACGTACAGGGAAAAAGGTAATTGAACAATCGGATGGTTACTATTACATTTCTTTAAAATAACAATTAAAGTTATCACGCAACAAATGATAGGTAAGAGTGGCGAGGCTGGTTCGTCTTCATGCCGATCAAATGGAGGACGTGAGTCGCGTTTATTCGGGTGATATCTTCGCTGTCTTCGGCGTTGACTGTGCCTCAGGAGATACCTTTGTCACCGACCCTAAACTGGAGATCTCGATGGAGAGTATCTATGTACCTGATCCTGTTATTTCGATGTCTATCCAACCAAAGAATTCCAAGGACCGTGACAATTTCGCTAAAGCTATTGCCAGGTTTACAAAGGAAGACCCCACCTATCGTTACTTCTATGACACCGATAATAAGGTAATCGCATCAACTTAAAGTTACATGGTAATTGTTTTAACCGATCAGAAAATCCTTTTTAACTCACTTGGAATAATCCCGTGCTTCATTGTAGAATTAAGAAAATTTAAAGAACCAAGCACGTAACTATTTAGTCACGATTTTCTATTTTCCATCTTTCTTATCAATGTTCAGGAAACGGTCGTTTGCGGAATGGGAGAGCTGCATCTGGAGATCTATGCGCAGCGCATGGAACGCGAGTACAACTGCCCAGTGGTCCTAGGAAAACCTAAAGTTGCGTTCAGAGAGACCGTAACGGCTCCTGTTAAATTCGACTACTTACATAAGAAGCAATCTGGTGGCCGGGGCGAGTACGCTCGCGTTACTGGCGTCGTCGAGGTATCAAATATAAATATAATAGAAGAACCTCGAACATCTAACGCCGATTACTTGTTGTTTCCTCTCAGTACCCTTTCTTTGCTTCAATTTGAGAAGTTATACCACCTGTGATTAAAGTTTGTCTTTTTCTTGGTAGCCTTTACCACCTAACGAGAATACGAAGATCGAGTTTGTGGACAACACAGTGGGCACCAACATACCGAAACAATTTATCCCGGGTATTCAAAAGGGCTTCAAGATCATGTGCGAGAAAGGCATGCTGTCCGGTCATAAAATCGCCGGTATCAGATTCAGGCTGATAGACGGAGCTCATCATTCGGTCGACTCATCGGAATACGCGTTCCAGTTCGCAGCCCAGGGTGCCATGAAGGACGTTTTTAGTGACGGGACGTGGCAATTGCTGGAGCCGATAATGTTGGTTGAAGTGACAGCTCCGATAGAGTTCCAGGTATCTTACCAGAGAAATTAATTATCATTAGTAATAACTCGTTTTTCATTGCGTTAAATGTTACTCGGTACTTTTTCAACCTTTCATTATAAGGAGTTATTATTTAACATTGTACAAGTATTAAAGTAGTTAAGTTTAGTTACCTCATTCGTTTTCTATTTAAAATTAAATTTTGATCGACGTTAAGTTGAGAAACATCAAATTAGACGTGGAACTAAACGAAAATAATTGGAAGTTTTTCTTTTTTCTCTTCAAAGAAAGGAGAACAATTTAAGAACCAATGGGAAACATATTGTTATGCACGATGTTGGAACTTTTGTATGAATAAAATCATCACGCGTAGAGTTATGGTAATGCATGTCCTTTTTAATAAAGGGCAAATTGTGATGATGTACACAATTATATTTCTTCCTTTAGGGTATCGTCGTAACACAAATCACCAAGAGAAGAGGACTGATCACGGGCACCGATGGGTACGAGGGTTGGTTTACCATCTTCGCGGAAGTTCCCCTGAACGACATGTTCGGATACGTCGGCGAATTGAGGTCGTCTACACAGGGCAAAGGAGAATTCACGATGGAGTATTCCCGCTACAGTCCGTGCGTTCCGGAGTTGCAGGAACAACTCATTAGGCAGTATGAGGAGTCCCTAGGGATCACGCGAGAACAAAAGAAGAGTCAATAGAAGGCGAGAATTTAGTTAAAATTATCCCCGGGGTGAAGCACCTTGAGGAACTCGTCAAACCGTACTGCAATCAGTTCGCCAGGAAGACGTGGTCTCACCAAATGCGATTCTATTGGAGTCCGTTTGTTGCCGCAAATAAGTTATTATTACATTAAGAGCGAGAATGGACATTTGTTATAAGGAACTGGTATCTAGTTGCAAAGGCTTCTCAGTCTGTTAAATTAGTTACAATTTATGCGGGGCTGTACATTGTAGCGCTGCATCAAGTGCACAGAATGGTCGCGAGAAAACTGCAATGTCTCGATTTTGAAATTTAAAATTTTGCAATTATCGTATAGAGCAGAGTATTCCGAAATCATTGTATATTTTTTTAAATGTAAAGGCACATTAACGATACAATTTCGTTGTAATTACAGAGTCGACGTAACGTTATCAAAGTTTATTCGATTGGCTTCTGCTGATGACGCTTCGTCGTTAGGGGCTTTGGGCTCCTCCAGTTCAAATGTTGGATTGTCATACTCGAAGCGATTATTATTGACTACCTGGTGATCTATCGGTAGATCATTTCGTTGCGTTAAGGTGGACATCTCGTCGGTGTTACCGTAGGGACGGTCAAACTCTCGTTCTTGTATTTGCAGTCTTCTCTTTTCTGCAATCACTGTAGATCTCTGCTCCTGAAATGCTCTGACAGCTCTACTTGACATTCTGGTGGATATCAGACGTGATATTCCTGAAAAAACAGTGAATACAAACGTATTGATTAAAAAATTGACATGAACTAGGTTACATGAATAATTTTAAAATTGATAATGCGGCGCGCTTGGCGTGAAATTACATAAGTCTTGAGGCACGTACCACGATTATTGAGATCGTTAACATTCTTGAGAAAGACTCTCTCGAAATCGTTGGCCGTTGTTCTTCTTCGTTGGCCTTGCTGCAGTTTGTGCACGGTTTTTCGTCTACCAGGTGTAATATCGTCTGGATGTGTGCCGTAAACTTCCGACTCGTTGTCTCTTTGAAGCACCCTAACGATATCCACCATATGTTTCTCAAGTAATGCATCCTTGGTAAGATCAGTTGGCTGCAAACATTTATTTATCTTAATCCAAACGTTCAAGCGAAGAAGTCCCAAGAGCTTAAGAGTCGTTCCAAAATGAAGTAATATATTCTTTTTATACCAACCTCTTTACAACAATACCAGTCCAATTTTGTATTAGCCAATATGTGAGAAAAGGTGTCGAAACGATGGAAAAGCATCGCAATAAATTGGATTACTAGAACTGTGGCGAAGGTCAGGATAAATAAGCAGCCGATGGGCTCAAGACGAAGATACTCTTTCTCTATATGGACCTACGACAAGAAAAACACAATTCTATTAATATTAAAAATTTGTTCTTTATTACAAACGCGCAGTCCTTTTCATTATATATTTGTCACCCACTTCATATTCTTCGTCATCGACAGTAAAAGAAATGTTATATTTAACGTCCAGTGGCCACTGGAAGTGTAAAATGTCCTTATTGAGCTGCATTAGGAAGACGATGAGCAGGAAAAGAGCATTTACCATGAAGAATCGGAAAAGGTACTCGTCCCGCAAGTTCTTCAAGTCTTGAGCTGTCTTTTCCTGAAAAAGAATATATCTTATGTATTCTTTTCCAGAAATCTTGTTTGTAAAATATGATAAAAAAAAACCTGAAATCGCTACCGTTTCTGTATCATAGAAGAGAATTATTAAAAATATAGTCAATTTGACGTAATGAAAAAGGAATGAGATTAGAAGGCGGAATTTCTGTCTTTACCTGTTCTTTCTTATTTTCTTCGATAGGGGAAAGATAAGTGCTGATCAGTTCCTTCCAAAATGTTTCTTCAACGTCGGTAAGGAAGTCGACCCGTCCATCTCCAAGACTTTTATCTCGCAGCCAATAAGGACTTACGAGAAAAGACGGTTCTTCGTTAGCAGTTTCGATCTTCTCGATAACGCCGTTGTCAGTTATCGTATTCCTTTTCTCGGTAGTTTCCTCCGGACATTCCAACAATGGAGTATTTTCCGTTTCCTCGTAGCTAGGCGATTCTTCATCGTAAATCTCGATCGGCGAAGCTGGTCCATTTGGCAGTAAATTTTCGGCACCATGTAAAGTGGAGGTAGTACTCACCACGGAATGTTTTTTACTTGGAGTGGGTTGCCGAGCCTGTCGTTCGATAATTCTGTAAAACAATGAAAAAATGCTTAAATCCATTCTTACGGGAAAAGCTTCACTTTCCATCGTTATCGAACCAACCTCTCTAATGCATCGAGTTGGGTGTCGATATCTTTCAGTGAATTAGAAATGGCTTCCAATCGAATCATTTCTTTAGTTGGTTCATTCTCATTTAAGCAGCAGATGCACTTGAAGAGCCCGGCAAGTGAAAATACAACGGAGCCTCGTCCATTACTTGAGTTACCTCGAAGAGAGTCAAACGGCCATTTTTTCTTACATTTATCATCGTTGCCTTCTATATTTGTAGATGCAAATTCCTGCAATAGCGATTGTTAATTACAGCCGAGAGAAAAAGATGACATTCGTTAATCTGGGCGGAGTACAAGTCTTAGGGATACGTAAGGTATTCACCGTTGTTGCTGGTTTGCTTTCTCTCGTTCCCCAAGTGACATTGTTGATATTAAAAAGTGAGAATATTATGAGCAACATGTACATGGATGGTACGGTCACATAATAAATCACTCCACAAGGCAGACAAAGCAATTCTTGGGGGTGCAGAAACCCAGCAATAGTCAATTGAGCAGCAATCACGAAGAAAAGAAGTGAGCTCGGCGCCAACCAACCGTCCTGCGCGATTTGTAGCATAATCCCAACCAGAACAGCTATCATGATGAGACCGTAAACCGCGCTGATTATTGCCGCCATTAGAAGCTGAAATTCATATTAAATTAATGCACACGTGTATCCCATGTTTCTGTGATCACGTTGGATCGTTTATTACCTGTATTTTGGGTTTGCATAGAAAACAAACCAATATAAAAATTGTGAGAGGAATGAGATTGTATCCGAAGCTGGTCCAGTTGTCGATGTTAAATGCTGCGACAAAGGCCCCTACCAGCATTAAGAAGATTGTTCCTGGTCCCAAAATGGTGCTGCCTGAACATGAAAATTTTTTTTATCTCCTGGGAAGCAATTTTTATGAAAATGATATCGAACTAACCCATTATGATCCACTGGTAGACAATGTAAAGCCAAGAGATGTTGTCGTTCTTCTCTCTTGTACGTTTTGAAGTACTGAGCAGGTCATAAATGTTCGCCAAGGTTGATGGTATCCATCTGCGTCGTTGATTGTAAAATTCATTAAAGGACTCCGGTGCATGAGTATAGGCATCACTAGCTGCCGAATACTCAACCTGTTAATTAAATTCCATTAATTTTTATTAATATACAAACGAACCCTAGTAGCGCAGAATAATTTCTGAATATTTATTTCTAATCTTCTCTAAATATCTCAAAGCTTACTCGATAGCCTATTTGTAGGATCAAAGTGCAGAGCCATCGGTCTTCGCCTTGATCATATTGTACATAGTGTCTCGCTTCCGTTGACTTTGTTGCATATTTCTTCATAACATTGTCTTCCATTAAAGCTTTCGCCCTAAATAACGAAAAACAACCTGGACTGCAGAGTACGCAGCCAATTAAGTGTTCCGTAGACTTTTGCAGCCAATGTCCAATTGCATACTCAAATTTTTGGAACCACACCAGGGGCCCTAAGAAAGAAAACAATTGTCTATTAATAAATTATGGATGAATTCTACGTCATGTTAAGAAACATAGAGATTGTACATGTGGAAAATGGACTAAGGCGAAGTCTTTGAAAAAAATTGACAGAACGTATTGAGACTTTTACCAGATCCAATGGGATGAATCCGACCGCAAGCTGCTCCAAGATCCCGATTTTTCTCCATAAGATCCACCAAAACCTTGACTGCCATCGGTTGAAAATCAATGTCTCCATCTAAAGTGAGGATATATGTGTTTTCTGCAAGGACCTCTTTACGGCTCACATCTATTGGCTGCTCCATTATTCGATGACCAAGAAGATAGTACATATACATCACCTAAATGGTTGATTAATCGATCATTTGTACAGGGCGAAAAGTCTTCATTGGAGCAAAGTCACTTTAAACGTGACTAAAAAGAAGTCGATTATTTTTAAAATAAGTTGAATCAGGATTAATTGTACACTTAGATCATTTATGTCATACCTGGCTCCAACGTTTCCTATGTCGTATTTTATTCTTATCCTTTAAATGAGCGATCATTTTATTTTTTCCTGGAAGAACCCACAATAATCTTCCTCCATAGGGAGCTGGATACTTTAAGGGAGGCAATGCTCGCATGTGGAGTTTTGTTATGTTTTCTTCAACTGCCACAACAAGATCCTTCACATAACTATTAACCATAGTTTCGTTCTCGTCATGTCCACACACCGACGTGCAGCCATGCATGCAACAAAATGCATCGTCGAAAAATATATGAACTGTAAAGACCTTTTTCAGCTTATTTCAAAATCAGTAGATATACATTTCAATGTATATTTCACGTAATGTCAAAGAAAGGTTTATTTTTAATTAAAATCACACGAAATAATTCGGGTGCGTGTGTAGAGGTTTTTACATTTACGTAAAATATAAGGATAAAATCAACTTACTCTCCAGTTTATAATAATCTCGAACAGGTCGTTTGAGATACTTCTGGGCAATTCGCATGGCACATTGATTTTCATCCAGTCTCAAAATGCTGTTAACAAATTGGTCCATCTCTTCCTTTGTTTCGTGCCACATTGTAGCACAGGCATATATCTTTGTGATATAATCCTTGTCTCTGATAGCACTTCTTCCCAAATCTCGATGACCTGAAGGACTTCGAGATCTCTGATAGATGACATATTCCTCTTCCTCATCGCTATCTTCATCATCCTAGTGAAAAGAACGGAATCTTCAATAAATATCCTATGAATTTCTTATTAATTGCAGGTTTCATATATGAATGCAATTTCTTGTGCGACATGTTGAGGTTAAATCTCTTACATCTTGCGTATCATTTCCTTGGGTATCATTTTTCCTTCGATTGAGCATCATCGATTGGTCCACGAAAAGTGAATCGTAACTTGAAATGGCAAAAAGGGAGGACGTGGAAGCCAATCTTTCGCCTTTAGGAGTCCACACGTGAGACGTAATCCACATTTGGGACAGAAACCAAGAAAACCAGATCCATGAGGTTTGGTGTTGAAGAAAATCGCCGAGAGATTGAAACAGCGGGGTAGAACAGTCGAAAAATAAATGGTCAGGTATTATGGAATTAAAAATGCAGACATTATGATGACGCAAAGCACATAACGCCGTAACAACTGATAAAGTTACAGGAGTGGCTAAACTTGCAGGAAAGGCGAAACCGAAGCCCTGCATTTGCGTTCTGCAGGCGAATTTTCCTGGAAACAAAAAAAGAGACAATAATTAATATGTGCGAATAACATGAAAGTCAGTTACACCTTTGAGAATGTGGCACTAATAATGTGTGAAATAAAAATCGCAGCTACTGTATACGAATTATCGCGGGTCAAGTACGCATTAATGAAGGAAAGATCATTTTAGTATTCATTATGGATTTGTGTAATTTTAGTGAAATATTATGTTAAGGAGTTACGTTACCAAATTCATATGCCAATTTCGCCCCAGTTGCGTGAATCAGTAATGAGTAAAGAGGTACGTAGCCATTTGTAGACACTGTGAATGATTTTGCTTCGATTACAGATTCGAGAATATCCGATGGCTTGATATCCGGAGTGACCTGCACGATCGTGACATTGTATGTAGAAAATACATCATTGGATAGAAGAGTACTTAGTTTAATTTCCTTCCAGAGAGCAATTGAAATAGAGCAAGTTGTGAAGATGAGTGTTCTCCAAACAGCGGTAAGACCTCGAATTAAATGCCGGCTTGGTCTCAATCTCTCTCTTGTTTTCGCCCACAACCTGATTAAACCTGTTCGGCAATTGTTTAAGAAATTTCTTAAATTAGTTGCAGTCTAATAATGTCAACATCATTTTAAAACGTACCGAAGACACTGTTCGAAGAGACATAATTGCTCCACCATCGACAGGATGACAATATAAGTGCGCAAGGAAGAATCCAAACAATTGACTGGAAATATTTATAAGTCTTTCCATCGTTTTTTAGTACCCATGTTATGAATCCTGAAGACTGTAGAATTAACGCTAAGAAGTCTACGACGATAACAAGGAAAAATATTCCGGCAGAAGAGAACTGGCTTCTGTTCCTTGAAAGCATTGCTGAAAGAATATATCACATTTTATTATATCATCTTGCAGTAAAACTCTAAAGTCTCAATTATTATTTAATGTGACATTATAGATTAAAGAATTCTTACAGAGGACACCAGGTACGAAGCAGATGCAACTGGTTAGCATGGTGCCTTGCAAGGAACCCATTTCCGGCAATACTACAAGAAAGAGCAACGCAATACCGATTACGTGCAAGGCTTCAATGAGAAATACTGAAAGAAGTAGAGGTGCAGCTGGTATCTTCGACTTCTTGAACATGCATATTCGAATGCTGCGAATCAAGGCAAAGATTTCCGGGATGATGAATGCAAAAGTGATGCACCAGAGCCAACCAGCTTGTCCTTTTATGGGAAGTTTCGCAATAAAGTGTTCGTCCACTCCTGAAATCAGTATTTCTTTTAATAAGAAGATCTTGAAACACTGATATCAAATAATCATGGTCAAGCAGAGGATCTTTGCATGATTCTGCAAAATAATAAATAGACATGAGCATCGAAATCCTTCTGAGAATCATTCGATAAAAATTTCTGTTAATTCATTTACAAATAATTGGGAAAGAAACGAACCTGCCGCGCGGTTACAATATGGAATTAATTTGTCTTCCTTTAAGTGAGAAGCAGCAAATAGTATACTACTTTTCGCAAAAACGCTCCCAGCTAGGACGACGAAAAATATTATTCCGTAAGCGAGTATTTTAATTATTTGGAGTATCACGTTGAAGCATCGTTGGTCGGTCATGGAACCGCTTTCGGGTTTTGGGGTGAAATTCCTGAATACATCCCACGATTTGGGTGGTTTCTGCTTTCTGGAATTACGATGACCCGATTAATATTTCAGGAAATATTAGATAATACGATATTGTCTTTGGAAAACATTCCGTCGCTTTTCTTTCTTCGCAGATTTTTGACATCTTTTGGGACAGTTGAATTTGATTTAATACAAAATCATTATTTCTTGTAGTAATATACTATTTCTTAAAGACTTACTCTTCTTCTTCCTCTTCATCTTCTTTTAATGACGCACTATCGTAATAATCCGAAGACTCATCATCCCACCGCATACACGTAATACTGGTTCTGTTAATACGCAATGTAGGTCTTGACATATTGACACTATTGATTCCAATGTTGAAGAAAATATTGTCGCTAAAGGTTACTTAATATATGTTGGCAAAGATATTTTACTCAACAAATCTTAAAAGACCTGCAATATGAACAAAGAGCCAGACCCAAAAACAGGATCTATCATAAAAAGTACTATTGGACTTGACATTGTTTTAACACGTTTCCAAGATTGAGTTTCTCTTAACACCACCCAATTATTATTCAGCAATGAAGTAACAAATGTCTGTTGATGTATTTTCAGCGTACATGTACTGTCTATCACTAATTTGACACGACTGAATACATATGACAGCATGAAGGACCTGCAAGTTTGGGAGTGACTTATCATTGATTAAGCAAACGATAATACATATTCGTTCATTCCTTCGATATTCGGTCATCGATAGCCACTGGTGATAAACCATATCAGGATTATTAGCTTTCGGACAGTATCTGAACATCGGAAGAGGGGATGGTCAGCAGGGCAGGAATTAATTGGTTCTGCGAAAGATATAATGAAAAATACGAGTACACATTACCCATCGACAGACGGATTTACTGGATAAAGAATAACAAACAATCCCGAACGAGGATTAATTATATATATATATTACAAAGAGCCACCTTGAGGCCGATTTGATCGTCGATGTTCAAGCAAAGGAAACCACGGATCTGCTGCAACGATTTTGTTTAACGTCAGGTGATAACTTTGCCAGTTTCACCTGAGTTATCCGTTCTTATTAGACCCAAGGAGTACAGACAAGCTAATGCGGCGCTTTGCTCTGCCCTCTTCTTGTTCTTTTCCCTAGAAAATGAGATACATTTAATTAAATTGCTTACAATTTACACTTAAATGTTTGAAAAAGTACATTTTACAATTATTTTGTGTCTTCATTTTTTCCGTTAAGTAGTTATTTTAATCGGTGAATTTGACTAAATTACCACAGTGAAGAGCCATATTTTCTGCCATCAACACAGACGACAGACCGGAAGAGTTTCTCTTCCTTCCAGGTTTTATAACTTGGTACTTCTTTCTTATGCCGCCAAGCCCACGCGGAGAGTCTCGTTTTCGGTAATTCCGCGTCGCTGGAATAACTGTTTTTGAGAAAAGCGCAGTTGATCGAGGTCACGTCCTCGTCCTCGTATTTCCTCTTCGTGCTTTTGCCACCCTCAGTCTCGTCCGCAGTTATTAATAAGTTATAGCGTCCCAGAAGACCTCCATTGGCTTGATATTCCTTTTCCTTCATCCTGCAATAATCGCCCATGTCCCATACATCGCTAAAAATATAAACAGATGGATGAAGTTCCACTTTCAATTTTTACACGCTACACAATGCTGAAATTAGATACCAAATCTGCTGTAAAGTCAATGCGTCCAGGAATCGCCTTCCTTTAGGAGTCTCCTGAAGATCCCGAAGAATATTTTGTACGCAATACTTTGTGTTCGAAGGTGGATTGTCGTAATCCACTGCACACTTGAGGTAATCCTTTATCACCTGTTCCATAGGTAAGACTCCGTCTTTCTTAAAAATCGAGCAATTCCACTCGGCAGCTCTGGCAATCATGACGCTACTGCATCCGGATTCTTCCTTAAATTTGAGGATGTCCTTATGAGTTTCGATATCCCTTGATCCGCCATTAGCAATGACAGGAATTCTTAATTTCTCAGCTATTTTCCGGAGGGTTTCAATTCTATTGGGGTGTTGTGGTCTCTCTTCAGTCGTTCTGCCATGTACAGCTATCGCTGAGATTCCAGCACTGATCAGGATCTCGCAAAGAGCTAATGTTTCTTCCACAGTAGGTAAAACCCGAATCTTACAACTAATAGGAACCTTTGACCCTTCCACCAAAGTTTTAAGAATTCCCTTTGCCTTTTCAGGCTGCTTTAAAAGCGCAGCTCCCATGCCTCCCGTCAATGAGAATCTCTTGGGACAACCCATGTTAACGTCGATACCAGCCACATCGTTGTGCACCATCTTGGCAACCTGAAGTGCCCTTCCTGCGTCACTAGTCCCAATTTGCAGGACTACATGGTTCTTTTCGCGAGCACACGTACGAAAAACAACAGTGCCATCGGTTCTGTCGACGTAGTCAATGGTCTGAAGTTTTTCTGAAATAATAAAACACTACAAAATACACCTAAATAATATTTACAGTTCTTTCTTCTTTTTCATCCTATATGATGATTTAAAAATGCTGTACAATTTATATTCAAACAAATGGAGTAATATTTCTCGAAGCTGTAATTTTATTTAAATAACCCCTATCGATGTTCTTAAGTCGGGTCTAAAACTCAGGATAATTGAGAGCCATTTACACATACAATAAAAAAATTACCATTTTCCCTACGAATTGAACGCAGGAGTTTCCAGTCAATAAGTTCCTCTGTGTACACGATATCAGCTCCATAATCCAAAGCAAGAAGACGCATCGGTAGTGTTCCAATGCGCACCATAGGAGCCATAATTATTTTATCCCTATAGGACAATTCCGTAGAACATTTCTCTTCGTTCGACATCTTTTCAACTTGTTGAACCTCACCTAGGAAAAAGGTTTCTATGCATAAACTAAAATCAAATCACGTCCAGTTTTTCCTTAATTCACTGACAGATTACCTTATGAGTAGTAATAAGTAATAACTCTGTGAGGAGTCACCAAAATAGTTGCATGGTTCTTTCGTAAGATGGCGAAAGCGTCGCGCGGCAGACCCACGAGTGACAGCAGAGATGACAGAGATGAGTTGGGAGATTGCTCACGTGCAGGATCGTGCGTTCGTGTCCTGTACTGCCCTTTGGTTAGCTTTCACCGTTTTTTGCCCCCAAGGGCGGCGCAACGAATTTCTGATAGGAGCTCGCGCACTCGCGATCGCGGTACCATTTACCAATCGCCGTTGGCGGCTCACGTATTCGTGATGGTAATACCATGCGGCAGTTGACAGTGGTGACTTACCTACGCTTACCGACACTGCTCGCTTTTGATGGTAAGGGAAGAACACTCGTGACGCTCCATTTAACTTTATCTACTTATCTACTGCTATTAAGTACATTGTTGCCTTGAAATCGACGTGATGCGGAGCTTTGGGGCACGCGTCGGTGTAGCGTACGGAACTCTCATGCAGCGAATCTGTGTGAGTGCGATCGCTCCTAGAAATCTTCGCGCGCTCAACCAGCCAAGCGCCAAGCTACGGGTCGAGACGTTGAGTATGTGTGCGTTCGGCGCTACACTCGACGAGTATGCGCGAGAGTCGAATACTGCGAAAAATCCTCCCGAGGTAAGCCTCGGGATAACTGCGGATATACACGAAGTCATTTCGCGTATGACTTTTACATTTCCCTATTAGCGTTATCGAGCGTTTTCAAGCATTTCTAGAGCGTTTTCGAGCGTTTTCACGCATTTTCAGAGCATTTTCGAGCGTCATCAAGCGTTTTCGCGAGTGTTTTCACGCGTTTTTAGAGCTTTTTTGAGAAATGTAAAAATCATGCGCGAAATGACTCGGCCTATATCCGCAGTTAGGTGAACCTCGAGAGGATTTTTCGCAGTTTTCGAGTCTCATGCATACTTGTCGAGTGTAGCGCAAAATGCACACATACTCAACGTCTCGACTCGTAGCTTGGCGCTTGACTGGTTGGGACGCGCGAAGATTTCTCGGAGCTATCGCACTCACATAGATTCGCTGCACGAGAGTTCCGTACGTGACACCGACGCGTGTCCCAAAGCTCCGCATCACGTCGACTTCGCGGCAACAATTTACTTAATAGTAGTAGATTAGTAGATAATGTCAAATGGAGCGTCACGAGTATTCTTCCCTTACCATCAAAAGCGAGAAGTATCGGTAAGCGTAGGTAAGCCACCACCGTCAACTGCCGCATGGTATTACCATCACGAGTACGTGAGCCGCCAATGGCGACTGGTAGATGGTACCGCCATCGCGAGTGCGCGAGCTCCTATCAGAAATTCGTTGCGCCGCCCTTGGGGGCAAAAAACGGTGAAAGCTAACGTACGAAACCAGAGAGCAGCTAGGATGCGATCTCCCGATCCTGCCCGTAAACTATCTCACAACTCTTTTCTGGTGTCCGTTTTAATATTATAACCTACAAAATGGTTCCAAGAATACTGGTAATTTTCAACGTTCTGTCAATTTATTTAATTTCTTGTATAGGTTGTAGTGAGGTAGAATATTGTGCGCAACCCGATGAATATATGGAAAATGGTAGCAAATGCACAATACAACGGCATTTTTCAAAAAAAAGGTAAACTCAATAAGGTAAAACAGTATTCTTGCATTTCTGATTACTGTTGTGCTGTGTTAAAGTTAAATCATGTTTGGTAGATATATCTTATACGATGTAAATCCTCCAGAGGGATTTAATCTAAGAAGAGATGTTTATATCAGAGCCGCAGTGTTTGTGAAAGATTTAGCGGAACAAGACAACGAGTTCGATTGGCAATTAGTGTTACCACCATGGGGTAAGCAATACATTTAGGTTGTTAGATTGATATATACTATTTGAGTCATTATTTCAGAGAAGCTATATCATTGGAAAAGTCGGGACTTGGGATCACAGTTGCAAATACCATGGGGAACATTCTTCGATATCGAAAGTCTTAGGAAGTTTGCTCCTGTTATTGAGATGTACGACTTCTTGAAAGGTATAAGTCTTCCAAGGTTGCCTTAAGTAGAAAACGGAAGGTGAATCGTTCCATTTTAGAATACCCATCAGAGCATGGTACAACCATTGTTGATAAGTTATACATTTTACAAAATGATGAGGAGATGTTTAAAACGGGCAAGTTTGAGGACAAAAATGAAGTTGTTAAATGCTTGTCTGATAGTCAGCAAAGAATTGTTACATGGGGATATTCCAACATTTCAATGAAGGAAGTAAGTTGTTTAACGTTTCATGCAACAGTTTCTGGTTTGCGGAAGAACCTTCAGCCAAAGATTTATAGGTGAATATCCTGTAAGAAATAATTATATTTAGAAGTTAAGGTTTACTTTAATAATTTTCTACTTTCTGGTTTAAGTTCTGTGGCGTTTGATCACATGGAGGTGGCGTTGCACGATAGTTATGGTTCTCAAAATTACTGGCGAGCTCGTCGTAGTATGCGGTATAATTCAGAATTATACGAAATCGCGAAGAAATTTAGAGAACAATTTCTCCATTCCAATGACGTAAAAGACCAAACTATTCGATCTTCGGATTGGACTAAAGAAAAAGTAATTTAGAAAAAAAAAATTAAATCCCAATGTTACCTAAGTGCAATTAAAAACTGAAAATTTCCAAATGTTATTACTCAAGTTAAATATCTTTAGGGGGAACGAAATGCACTCGGTGGGCCGTATTTAGCGGTTCACTTAAGAAGACGAGACTTTCTTATTGGTCGATCTAAATTTATCCCTACAATTCCGCATGCTGCTGTGCAGTTGAAAGAAATAATGGTTCGATTAGGATTAAATGTTACTTTTGTCGCCACTGATGCAGAAGAGCATGGTGAGCCAATATGTTACTGTCAAAATGAATGTAGATTCTGATTTTTGTTTAGGAAAGCCAGTTCTAACTTATTTACAGTTTCACCTTCAATAATGTATTTAATTCCAGAGTATAGTGAACTTCAGAAGCATCTACCAGATTACAAGATTTTGAAGTTCCAGCCATCATGGTCTATTAGAAAAAAATTTAAGGACGGTGGAATTGCTATTATCGATCAAATCATCTGCTCACATGCTAGGTAAATGTTTAAACCGATACGAATTTGAGCGTATAAAATACGTTTCTGTTACTTTACTACTTATTTCCGCTTACATCTTGTCTAATAGTAATATATTCAAAGTACAATAAATTGTATATTCTCATAGGTACTTTATTGGGACATACGAATCGACTTTTACATTTCGAATACAAGAAGATAGAGAAATCCTAGGTTTTCCTACCGAGACTACTTTCAATGTATTGTGTGGGAAAGAAAAGAAATGTTTATTAGGAGGACATTGGAAGATAGTGTGGTGACAATTAGTGTATAAAATAAAAACTTGCCATATTTTACACAACTATAGCTTGTACTAATAAATCTTTTTTTATTATTTCATGTATCAAGTACAATTAATGTCAGTAATTGACATAAACCCTATTATTTTTATAGTGTATACAATCTTTATCAATATGTATAAATGGTGATAAGATCCTTACAACAATGATTGTTTGTTCTATTACAATGACATTCTTATATGTATATACTTATATAGGTTTTCCGGGTGCTGAGTGGGATAGCGTCGCTTTGCCGATGAGTTCTTGTTCTCTACGAATTTCTTGCTCCCGATGTTGTTCTCGACTTAATGCTTCTTTTTGTTTTATGTGTTGTAATCGTAATGCACGTTTCTGGAAACAATACTCTGACATGCACTGCATCAAAGAGAAAGTTATCTTGGCCCAAATAACATACTTTTAATCTGAATGTCCTTTCATGAATTGCAGTCATCTCTTTCTTTATTGCTGTAAGCTTCACTTGGTAGATTTTGATCATTGAGAACTGCAATGTTATAATGATGTAACAAAGAATACAAAACATGTACAGGGTAGAATTTCAAAAGGTCTTACTAGCTCGTTCAATTGCACATTGTCTAACGTGTCTTGCAGCTTCTTGTTTTCGATTCTCATCTGACTAAGCAGTGTCTCTTGCTTCTCTCTACGAAAGAATAATTTCATATAAATCAGTTTTACTAAAGAAGAGGTAACAAATCCTTACGTTAATTCGTGCAACTCTTTCTTAATCTGTTCTAAAGGTGGAGAATAGACCGCCAGTAAACCTTCGGCTAGATCCTGCGCTGCCTTTGAAAAATCTATATCGATTTCCCTGAAAATTCATAATATTTTTAATTATATAGACGCTTTATTCTATTTTTATGATATTAAGAGCCTCGTTGTAAAGTTAATAGGACTTTCTTCAATTCCAAAAAAAATTCCAGCCAAAAGAGGTTACCTTTCCAGCGAATCGGGTTGTATGCCGACTTCGGCTGCTACCGTCTCGCCCACTTCTGTCATCATATTTTACTTTCTGTCAGTTACTCTCCCGAAATGAAAAGAAAAATGTGTGCGAACTCTGATTATTAGGCGAACACTGATTTTCATTCAAACCATGGAGGAACATTTGACGTTTACTCTGTAAATCAAATCAGCTGATTGCGACCACGTGCGAATGACGTCATCCTTCAATATCTTTGAAACTCGGAATTGTAAAGTTATTGTTCTTAATATTTCAATGTGCGTAATGTGTATTTATTTCTGCTTTACAAAAGATTTAGTTACAAAGTGTAATTAATACCTTGCATATTATCTTGGATCATTTAATGTATTTTTATCCTAGGGTGGAAAGTGACCAAAAGAAAAGATATAATGAAAAATATATGTTTATTTTTTGTTTGATACATTGAATACTGGTTTTACTGACTAATTACGAACTTATGGAGTCTTGGCTATACTCTTTGGCAGAACGCTTCGCCATTTCATCCTCCATGGCATATATTTGTAGTGTAATTATTTCTGTGTTAACAGTTTTCAAAGGTAACAGACTTCGCTTTCCCATTTCAGATCTATTTTCATTTATTATCCATGGGAAGTTTTCACATTTTGGATTTTCAGAGAGCGTTATGTGAGCACTTTCATTAGTTGACACTTCTATGGTAAAGGTACAGTCCTCAGGTAGTGGTTTTAAATACGATTCACATATTAATAGTTTTAAACAAATCGTTCGTAAAGCATCTTCGGTCTTTAGGAAGTATGGATCCTGTCTAAATGATGAATATCCATATTTAAATGTTCTTAGCAATCAGTATCACTTTTATTATATTTAAACAAATAACTCTCCTCTGTGTTGGAACATTGAATAACTTACTCGGAAGAATTAGCTTGCAGTAGAAGAAGATCAAAGACAAATTTTTCCAATGGAACGCGACGCTTATCATAGAATACCAGATTTACTGCTTTTACATTGTTCTCATCCTCTGTTATCAATTCTCTTATCGCAATGAGTACGTTCTGTATGTATTCATTTAACTCAGGATGCTGGGAGACATGTACCGCAGTCGAGTATACCTTCCTTCTGACAAAAATTTCCTCAGGATATAATTTCCGAACGTAAAGGATATTGTGGATAGCTACTTCAAGGAATTCCAAAAGAATATCTGCTCCAACTGTTGACAGAGTTAAAAAATGACTTGAATGTTCAAATTTAATGTTACGGTGTAAAGTCTCAGGAATCATTGTGTAACTAAATTATCTGTAATTTCCGCCGAAATTTAAAGTACCTATCTTATCTTGTGACATTATTAGAATAATTTAACAATTTAAAAACCCCATCTATACTAATTTTTTCTAACTTATTCTCCACAGAGAAGATAAGAGTAGCTACTGTAATCAGAGATGAGTTGGGAGATTGCTCACGGGCAGGGTCGTGCAATCGCATCCTGAGCTGCCCTCTGGTTTCGTACGTCAGCTTTCACCGTTTTTTGCCCCCAAGGGCGGCGCAACGAATTTCTGGTAGCGGCTCGCACACTCGCGATGACCGTGCCATCTACCAGTAGCCGTTGACGGCTCACGTACTCGTGATGGTAATACCTTGCGGCTGTTGACGGTGGTGGCTTGCCAACGCTTACCAACACTGCTCGCTTTTGATGGTAAGGGAAGAACATTCGTGGCACCCACTTCGACTTTATCCTTCACTTACCTTACTTATTTTATGACAAAGTGAAATTTTACCTTAATTAAATTCTACTTCACAGCTAGTTCGCGGATCGGTGTCATCCCATAAGGATGGTACCGATCCCCCAGGTCCCGCCACGAGGAGGCCGCTGCGATTAGGACCCGCCTAAGCATAGGCACCTAGTTCCGCTGAGTTCCCGGCGTCCCAGGAACTCACAGAACCAGGATTTCATAACCCATACAGCACACCACTCGCATACCATACGCATCCGTCCACACAACACACTACTCGCATACCATACTCATCCGTCCATACAACGCTGGCCGCAGAATACAGGGTAAGTCGCCGAGTACATTGCCAGTTGGCATAGAATTACGGATATAATTTGCCGGAAGGGCATACTACTTCTAACGCGAACAATCCAGCAGCTTCCACCGTCACCGACGACTAACCCGGCTCGGCTGTCGGCCCGCGAATACGAGTTTCAGTCGACGGGCTTGTCCCGGCTTACAGCAGGCAGAGCCCCCGCGGGATGCCGCAGAGCGAAACAACGCATCGCGCAACCGACAACCTGAGCCAGGTAGCCTTGCACGTCGTAGCTTAGCTACGACGTACTAAGTGCCGACGGAAGCTGCCGGATACACTAAAGGTACGGCAATGCCGTACCTGCAAAAATCTACTTCGGTTAGCACGCAAATCCGAAATTACTACCTGCATGGAAAGGTACCCGACAACGTCCTGTCCGCAATTAACAATCTCGCACGCACGCAATGAGTGCTTCCACTTTTAATTACGTTAAGCTACTGTCATACAAAAAAAAAAACACGCTAAGTGGAACCACTCGCGCAGCTATTTGCGAACCGGTGGTTTCGAACAATAGTTGGAAACCACCGATCCCCCAGGCTCACCACGCGGAGGTTGCTGCGCACCGAAGCCCTTTACAAACGTATTAAATTAAGTTAAATATATGAAGAAATGGAACGGAAGGGAAGGGAGGTGTCTCCCATAAGGCCCGGTTTCACAACCCAAGTTAACCGAAGTTTGATTTTTAACCGTTAGGTTTAACCGTAGGTTAAAACTGGGGTTAACCGTAGGTTAAATCTGGGGTTAACCGTTAGGTTTAACCGTAGATTAAAACTGGGGTTAATCGTTAGGTTTAACCTTAGGTTAAAACTGGGGTTAAACCAGTTACTGTAGAAGCAGGTAACTCGATGTTTACCCTTCGGAAGACCAAAGGGTAATGACGCTCCGATCGCGCGCTCGGCCTTATATAGGGTCCCCGACTCCGGCATGCGCATGCGCAGTTCCTTATCACACTTTTCTATATTCCAATTTTCGAATTTCTTTATAATAACGGAATTTCATGGCTACGGAACCCTTTTTTAGGGTCTTTATACTCACGTTATAAAATTCTAATAATTAATTTTGAAATATATTAATCAACTATGTATTAGACATTTTTGACGTATGATCGTCAACCTAACTGATTATTACGTGTTAGTACCATCCTTATGGGATGGCACCGATTCTCGAACTAGCTGTGAGTAGTATGTAATACAGATAAAATTTCACCTTCCCATACAATAAATAAGATAAGTTAAGTTTAAAGTCGAAGAGGGTGCCACGAGTGTTTGTCCCTTATCATCAGAAGCGAGCAGTGTCGGTAAGCGTAATTAAGCCACCACCGTCAACACTCGCATGGTATTACCATCACGAGTATGTGAGCCGTCCGTAATCCACGATCTTTAATTTAGATCAGAGTACTCCCATCTGCCGAGTAAACTACGAAGTCCATCTATAAGTATTGAGATCTGGCAATTAAGTTTTCTAGCTTATCGACTGAGAAATTATTTACGTCATGTACATACCTGAAGTAGCTAAATCGTGGTCGGCTAAATCTCATTTTTATCGCGTTAAACACAGTTTTCTATAGATGGCAGATCACTCGTTCACATTAATTAAATGTCGCACATTCATTCAATTAGCCCTTGGAAGTACTAATGCATTTTCAGTTTTTTTTTTCTTTCGGGCTAGTTGGTATCGCAGTTCCCTACTTCCGTTTTCTCGTGGAACTCGTTCGATTTCTTTTGGAAGATGTCCTCGTAGTCGTCGAACGCGAGTGGTGTTTATGCGGCCGCCACTCAGGGTAGGAAAGCCGCAATGCGCACGTTTCAAAGCACAAAACACTTAGCTGAATTGTTGGCTCGATTTGCCGTTGCGGCTTGCACTTAGCCCGGCACCATTGAAGCCAATCGAGTAAGGGGAAGCCCAAAAATACACTCTTTGGCCGTGTATCCCCTTAAAACCATCCGAGAACTCGGATTCGCAGTAAACCAGCCGAGTCCCACTACCGCGAAAGTTGGCAAATGCGGATTTCCCTTTAACTCAGCTTCATTTGCTCGTTTATTTGCCTCTCTTCCTCGGCATCTAATTAACTAGTCTCGCACGCGACTGTCACCTATCGATTTCTTGCTAATTACTCAGCACGCATATCGTCTAACTTTTCATAACTAGGTGTCCAGTATGCGTTAACGAAAATTATGGATGTCATATTTACCCTGTTAGAGATATTCATGAAATTCACGCACTTTTAGTACATACGATTGTAGCTGAATTATACATTTAATGTCCTAATAGTGAATTAGTATACATTCGTTACGAATTTCTAAATGAATTTATAATTTGATGACATCAGGTTAAAACTTTGTGAAATTCCGCGGGTGAATTAATACACTTGTGTACTAAATTTATGACAAGTTTTATACATTTCTTGCAAATATGTTATAGAATTAATACACCACTTCTGTACAAAACTTCCAACAAAAAATGTTATCAAATAATAATATTTTTTCTAACCGTATACTTTATTTAATTACTTAATACTCCGATTGATGAACGTTCGGTGGTATTGTCTCAAGGATTCATTATGTAAAATAATGAGAACAACAGTTTTCACGGCCTTTATTGTCTAGATTGCATATAAATGAAATTCTTATACTGTCTAACACTTCTTGAATAGTGGTCTTGTGTTGATAAAGTATCTCAAATTTGCAAGGTGTTAATGGTGTACCGCATCGATGGATCCATTGATTAAACCTTGTCGCAGACGCTCCGAAAGGTCCTCCACTTAATTCTTGACATTTAATCACCATCTACAACCTTTTGAGAGTTAATTAACCCTTTGCTTGTACTCACCCGATGTATGAAATGCTCGTCGGGTGCTCAGACAGTAGCGGGTAATCCTAAAAGAAAAAAACAGTTATCGCTCCGTTGACTTGGAAATCGCGAAATGCCGAAAGCTGGGGAAAGGCGTAACGCACGAGGCAATTCGAGATGAAATCGAATACTGATGCGATTGACGAGACCAATACTTCTCGTCGTATCCGATACCACGGTGACTGACTCCCTCAGTATCGATTTTCTTTCCCACCGATTAACCGATCCCTCGATTCTTCAACGCTCGATTCGAGTATTTCCCCTAAGAATCGAATGACGAGTGATATAGGGAACGTTTATGCCAAGGGTTAGGATTAAGCTAAGTAAAGTATAAACGCTCCCCCAGAATTTTTTGGTGGTGAACAATTAAGTTAAGGTTAACTAAGAGTTAGGTTATGTTACGTTAGGTTAGTTTATTTATCCGGACGCGACGTTCAGTAGAGCGTATAGTGTTATATCCTAACGTTAGCGTAAAACGTACTTTGGAAATTACATTTATCGCTTCTACTGTGATAACTTGTGATCTGCCGCATCGTTGTAAAAAAATAGCATGTCCGTCGAGTGAGTCGATCATCGAATCGATCGATTTATTATCGGGAAAAAGGTAGGATCACTACGTCGGCGTGGCGTCGTCACGGCGTAGCGCGTAGCGTTCCGGCGTAATCGACGAGGTACGCCTGCGCGAGCGGGCACGCGCGTACGCAGAGAGGTTATGTTGTGTGTCGTATGTGGCGGGTAGAGGGGGCAGCACCGGCGCGGCGACGCGTGCGCGCCGGCCCGCAGCCGGCGTCTTCGTCTCCCGTACCGTCAGTCCACCCCGGAACGGCAGGAGGCCAAACACCCAAAACTCGGCGCGGTTTCGCGAGTCCCTTTGGCGTCGCGCGCTGAAGCTCAGGCAAGGAGGAAAGGGCGAAACGGGACGAGGGGGAAGAAAGGGAAGAGAGAAGAAGAAAGGGGCCGGGACAGAGTCTGAACCGAGGACACGGAGGATGAGGCACACTGAGAGGGTGTGCCGCCCCGTGGCCGCGGTACGCATGGGAGCGGGTCAAGGGAAGTGGGATGCGGGGATCTCGGGTGCAGTCCCGAAGGAGAGACCGGGATTCGGGACGCGCCCTTGTGGTACGGCCTAGGGCGCGGGGGACTTCCGCTCGCGATCGGCCCGATCACCACCGGCTTCGGGACCGACGTCTTCTGTCCGGCGAAGTTGGAGCGCCGAGAGTGCCCACTGGACGGTGGTCTTTCCTCGAGGTGTCGTTGGGCTAGGCGAAGACCGAGACTCCTGGGGGAGGCGGGAGGTATCGTTATCGGGGACTCTTTGGTTGGTTGCGAAAGGGTCGCGGCGGACATTGGAGGAGATGAGGCGCTTGGGCTTGGTTCTCTTTTTTTCGCGAGGCGTAGTCGCGGATCCTTGATGAAAGGGGCCCCGGTAAAGGAGGACCGTTGTTCCTAGGACTGCCTTTTCGGACCGAGAACGAGAAAGAGGTCCTTGAGGATTTCTTCGTTCCCGAGGCGACTGGTCTTCCCGTGAGGAGTGTTTAAATGGTCCGAGTTCTCGGAGTCACCGACCTGGATATCCCTGGGTTTGGATCGACGTTGAAGGGTGATTTTGGATGCTGAGGAAGAAGGACCCCGCGTGGACGTGAAACGGTGTGGGTGAAGGAGGAAGAGTAAGAAACGGTTCGACTCCCACGCGACGGCGACGAGGGCGGCTAAGGAAACTCGACTCCATAATAAATTGGAAACGCCTAATCCGTAAGGAAGGGACCTCGTGGACGTAGCTCGATGCAGGTGCAACGAGATGGAGCGAAGAAGAGACCTTTCCACCGAAGCTTTTTCCAGACATCACTTCATCTCTTGATCTAGAAGGATTTGCTTTCGTACAAGATTCGTAGCAGGAAAAGACAAAGGACTCCCATTTCCGAGATTCCGCCTCGACTACAAAAGCCTCGCGTGAGATCGACCTGGACCTGCTCGAAGGGAAGGACGGAACTATACAACGTTATTTCTACTCGACGCGACTTCATCCATCGGTAGCACTTTGCTACGTTTCCTCGCAAAGGGGAACGCTAACCTCTTCAACGCTTTGCAACGAATTTCCTAGAAAATAACCCTAAAGTCGGAGTCTTGAAAACGTACGCAACAACAACAAAAGAGAGAGTAGAATTCCCCGTGAACCTTGAGGAACGTCTTCTGAGGACTGCGTTGCATCGGATTAGCGGATTAGTTGATTAGCGGATGAACGAGGCGGCCGAAGTCATACTTAGCGAGACAAAGAAACGGCGAACGTAGATGTAGGACTTGAAGAAATGCCTTGCAGGGACTACACGGTACCGTTTAGCTGGTCTTTTCTACTCGAACGTTGAATCATTTTCACCGACGTAACTTCTTCTCGTGGTTCTGGGATCAAATGAAGTTGCCCGGGAGTTCCGTGGCGAGATCGGCGGCGACAGGATCATCGGTCGAGGTCGAAGGACGAGGAGACGATGCTAGGACGACTCGTCCGAAGAGAAGGACCCGCTGACCGAATCCGGGACGCCCATCGCGCCATCAAGGGACACCCTTGGGACGTCCCAAAGACGTCCCTGCGAGCTCCGTGCGATCCCGACAGCCTGGCTCTTTTGTTCCTCAGGACGGAAACTCCGACTGCAACACCACGTGCCTTCTTCAGCCTCTAAGCTTGCTGCGAACGCACCCAAGAGCCTGGTCCAGGACCCGCGGATCGGATGCACGTCGCGATCTCCTGTCGATGTTCCTAGCTGATAAACACCTTCGGTTAACCCTGAAGAGGACCCATCTCGGTCGTCGAAGCTCGACCCTCGATCCGGGAAATGGTGGACCATGTCGCCGATGAACGTCTGCTGGGGTTCCGTGAGAACTCCTACAGCCTCGACGACGTCTAGGGACTATCCGGGCGGCAACGAATATATACCTCGGGTGGGGGATTCTAGGGATATTTCATAGATTTTAGGCACTGTCGGGAAAGGAACTCTTCTCGGACTCTCCGCGGAGGGAACTTTTTCGCGGCGGCGAAACGGAACTTCTATCGAAGTCTGGCGGTGGTTTGGGGGATATTTTGTACTTCGGCTTTAAGCGACGGAGTTCTGCCCGCGGATCTCTCTGTTGGCGACGACTTGACGCGCTTCTGGTTCCTCTCGGGGCTCTGAAGAGGGAGAAGATCGGTTTTGCAGAAATGCGAGGAGCCTCGCGACGCTTCGCGGATCCCAAAGTTGGAAGACTCGGGATCTCGGCGAGGAGCCTTTTGCCCGCCTCGAAAGACTTTCCGAGGTCCCTTCCCGAAGACGCCGAGCCGGTCCTGCTGAATTGGATATTCCTGGGGAAGCTGCCGAGGATGGCGCGAGACTTCCTTCTGGATCGCTTCGATAGGCTTGAAGTCTAGGCCGGATACCGTACCTAATCTCGAATTCCTTTAATCGACCGACTTTTTCGGGGTTCTTCGACGCTGGAAATGGACTCGTACGATTGGTCCAGAGCGACCTGTTCCCCTGTTCCCGGAGTCCAGGATTTCAAGGGTACGCGAGGAAACGACCAGCAGCGAGCAGAGACCTAGTCAAGTCTCGTGATAATCGCTTGAGAAGAGGAACATGTGGAGGACGGAAAGGAGGGAGGCGACTGAAGGAACCGAAGAACCTGAAGAAATCCCTAGGAAGGGAGAACCCGTTCAAGGTCCCTCGATCGGGGCCGAAAGCTGTCGAGCGACGTCCGTTTCGAAGCTGTTCCCTTGCAAGCGCTCGTGTCCCGTCTTCAAAGGAGTCGAAGGAATCGAGGGAAGTTGAAGAGGAACCCGAGGAACCAACCACGCCGATCGAAGTGTTAAGTCCTCGGGTCTGACCCCGGCGTTTGACCCTGCGGTCGGCACGGTAGGAGCGTGCAAGCTCGCCTTATCGGCGCGCTATCAGGACGCGATCCAGCGAAACTTCATCGGAAGGAACCTCGGTGCGGTTCCCCGGAGGGAACCGGCCGTCGAGCGAACTCTACGTTCGCAAACTCGCTCGAAAGCCGAGGGGCCGACTTTCGATTTCCTCAAGAAAAGTGCGAGAAACGAGGCTCTCTTCAGGGGGCGCGGAAGAAGCCCTTGGGAGATCTCCATTGAAGCTTGACCGCTTCACCGAAACGCTTTATTAGAGCTTCCTTAGCGAGAGCGCCTCTAGCGGAAGCTTAGGCGCGATAACGCTTATCGGTGGCCGCGGGATAGGCTCGAAAGCTCCCAGAAAGCGCGAGAGGTCGACCGACGAACTATGCAACGAATCCACCTTCGCTGAGCTTTTCCAAGGGAGGTTTCTTCCTCTAGCTCGGACGCCCTTTTGCAAGCTCTCGCTCCCTGTCTCTTGCTCTCGCGATATCTCTCTCTCTCTCTCTCTCTCTATCGCTCTCTCTCACCTCCACGGCCTACCACGGAAGTATCGCCTAGTGCTTTCCGCAAATTGTGCTCAAACTCGTGCTGTGCTTTTTTCTACGGTGTATATACACGTTATATATACATATATAAATATATACATACACACACATATACGTACCTATACAAGTAATAAGTATAAGTAGTGCGCACTCCGGTAGTGGGTCCGGTACGCGAGGTGGGTGCCTGCTTGGGTTCGTTCGGGTACTCGTGACGATATGTACCAGTGATAAGTGTGCAATGGTACGGAGGCTGTAGCTGTACCGTGATAGGCAAGCTAAGCCCCGGTGATAGGTGGTAGGTGACAACGCCGGTGGATCGCGGAGCTGGGAATAGAGTGCTGAGAGACCCAGGACTCTGGGAAGAGACTTGAGATGCCTGTTAGACGAGGCCACGTGGCACCTAGAACGACTATCATCGAGACTATCATCAGGAAATTCGACACGCATGGTGAGTGCACGGTGTATCTATCGTGTATGGGGTTGGGATGCGACGAACCGAACATTTCAACTCGTTAAAGGGACATGAAAGTGGTATATGTGGGGTCAATCGTTTGGGCAAATTATCTTCGAGTTGGGTATACCGAATCGTTTGAAATTATATTCTTAACGTTTACGTGGTGAGATTTCTAACGATGAAAGTTTTACTCCGAACTGTTTACCGAATTGTGTGAAATTTTACCACGTGCACGTGGGGGTTCCAGGGAAGGTCTCAGCACCCATGAAATTTAATTTTTCATGAGGAAGAAAAAAAAATTAAGAAGCATATAGAAATAAATTGTAAAACATTGAAGTTTCCTTAGGGACTCTATATTCGTGCGGTGAAGTTTAAATCGACTCGGTACACTCGGTTTGGAGAAAAGTTTCGTACGTGAAACCCCTGGGACGCCATTTTGATATCACCTTAAATTCAAGGTAGGCGTGTACTTGAGTCACCTCTGGACATTTTTATTGTAACTTAATGTTTCTTCTCCCTTGCCGAATTGTCGACTGGAGTCCAAACTCGGATTCGCAATGTTTTCGCATTCGAGGTACTCGAGTTGATAAAGTATTCGACTCGTCGCATCACTAATACAAGGTGCCGCAACGCCGGTTTCGCTCTCGAATAACTCCCGCATTTGTGGCCGCATCGGAAAACGTTTCCAGTCAAAATTGCGCGGGCTCTCGTGATTCGTAAAACAGATTTCTCTTTTTTTTTTTTTTCATTCCAGGATTTTTGTATCGGATATCGAGCTGGCCTTCGATATTTATCGGCGCCCTGGCAATCGCTCCGATTCAAAATTGGTGGGCCGCGCGATTCGACGCGGGATGGAAATTTTTTATGTCGGGTTTTCTTTATCGGACGTCGAGGAGGCCGTCCCTATTTTTCCCGGATAACCGATCCTTTGAGGCGATAAGTAATTTAATATTGATAAGGGGCGCGGGGAACCGGCCGATGGCGGACGCGATTTTCGTAAATCCCGGCGTAATGTAAATTGTATTCGCCTGTCTCGAGACGATAATCGTAAAAGTCCCGAAATTTTTCCTCAGGTTTCGTGCCGGGCCTCGCGGGACGAAACTCGATCAATTCCGCTGCCAAGTGACACATCCGCCCTGTCAAAGGGGCCGATGACTTTTGGCTTGGGAACCGCTCAACTCGTGTTCGTATTTTCATCTTTGAGAGAGCAATCACCTCTGCAGATATCTTGGCGAAATGATCCGCTCGGTATATATATATCGAAATCATTTAGAATCTCCTCGTTAGTAATTACAAGGGAAGGGACAATAAGGGGAAGCATCCGCCGCCATCTCGGTTTCTTCTCGCCCTCCTTCGCGAAGTATCGGCTGGGACTTGAAATGGAACTATGTCGCGTTATTTAGTCCCGATGGTTTATTCGTTTCGTGTTTTGGCATCGATGCCGATACATCTACGGTTATTTTTACCCCCCCTAACCTTTTAACCCGCTGAACTACATTCCAAATTCTTCGGCGGCACGTTTTAAGCCGGCTTGATGGCCGCCATATTGGAGGACAAATAAAGGAGGGTACTGTTTAAATAAGAACCTCGGCTCGAATCCTCGATGACGAAGGGGTCGATTAGAGGCCCTATATGACGTATCGTACGTTTAGGGCGAGACAGAAGGTCCGATCATCGCTGGAGTTGGCCGAGAATAGCTAAATGTTTCGACGGATTAGCATGTATTTGCATGATTGCGCGCCGGCTGCGTCCTAACCCGTTCACCTCGGCCCGCCATCTTGAAAGGGTTCAAAATCCTCGGTCACGGACTAGCGGGCGCACTTTTTCGTCGTTTCCCTCCCTCTCTTTGAGGAAAACTCTCTTATCGGCGGCAAAGTCTCGAGATAAGTTAATTGGCCCTGCCGACGAAAGTTCTAAAGTCGGGGGAACACCTTGTCGGGAGTTCGAATGGAAGCGCCGATGTACGATGTACTATAATTAATGCGAAACGGTGATAAGAGATTCGCGTTTCGCACGAGAGGTTGGCGAACCGATGAAAAAAGCAGTGTTGAGAAATCAGTCGGTCGGCGTCTCAACGAGGCGAAAGGATCACTCGCTTGCGTTCTCCCATGGGGCGTTAATGGCGTCACCAGGCATCGGGTCAGGACTCCATTTCAGAAATGATTTGAAATACCCGCGGAAGGAGCGGTTAAGTGGAGAGAAGGAGACCCCCGGTCTCCTTTTCTGTCCCTTTTTTCTTTTTTTTTTTGACAACGGGACAATGCTCGTCACTGGCAATATCACTCGGGAAATGGTTCGAGTCTCCAGAGGGGTTGGCGGACGGATTGATTGCGAAAAATGGCGGAAAGACCAGGGCGAGACGGAGTGACCTCTCGATGCTCCCTCGCATTGTCGCCGGTCCCGTGACGTCGGAGGCGCCATATTTTTTAGCTGCTCTCAGTCTCCCTACCCTGGAACCTGGGGAACCACTTTGGTCGGCGGAGGGAAAAGGAAAGGGGAGAGAAATACAAGAAGGTGGCACCAAGGGGATTCGAACCCGCGCCCGAAAGCTCGGTTGAAAAAGAGGGAGAATCTCTCGCCAGGGCCGGGGGGCGAGTCGATGAAATCCGATTGCCACTCTCAACCCCTTCCGGCTCCGCCGCGGTAATGGGCATTAACGCGATAAATTCTCGGGAAGTCGTACTAGCGCCAATTTATGTAATAAAAAATATGTATGCCAACCGCGGCCCGAGGGCGCGGCGCGGGCAGCGCCGAGCCTTGGCTTCTAATCTGACGTTTCTCCTATAGAACCGCAAGCTCGTCGCACGCTTACCTTGCTTTCGGATCCTCTCTTCTCGCTCGCGAGTCGCTCCATCGATTGTAATTAGGCGATTGGGGTTCGCCGTATTAAAATCGCTGGTACTCACTCCAAGAATTATTCCGACTATGACTTCTCTCGGAACCGTCGCGCTGTCGATTTTAGAAATTCATGCGGAGCCCTTATCGCAGGTAATTTCACTTTTTCGCGTTACGTTAACACAAAGTGGGAATCTTATCTCTTGAACGGTGATATAACTCCTCCGGTACCGTCATCCGAGGCCCGATTCTGGAATTCATACTATCAAATTTCGCATGCGACATTCATAGTTTCCTATACGACTTTCAAATGTTGACCAATGCGACTTCGCAACAATGGGATATATATTTTTTTTTCACGCGAATCTATTCGTACTTTCTGGGAGCTGAAGAAATGGAAATATCTGCCATTTTTACGGTCTAAGGCAGGACCTCGACTGTATACATGCTACCTTTTTTAGATGATCTCGAAACCCATTTCAGACCAGAATTAGATAGAGGTCGCGAGTGGATGAACATTTTAACTCGGGCAATCTCATATCAAATATATGCGCAGCGAAATTTAGGTGGGACGTGACATTTTCCGTGATGGGAGAATCTGGCACCGCCTGGACCCTCTCGGGAGACGCCGCTTTGACGTACGTTTCTTTAACTCGAAACAACGGGTACCCGTGTCCATCGCCACGTTAACACGAGATTTCACAAGTTAGAGCGGAACCGCGTTCGTTAATACTCATCTCCCGTTTAAAATTAGACGTGGGATGAAAAATGCAGGGGAACGCGCCGCCGGACCACGTGGTCGTGAAATGCGTCAGTCTTCGAGTCGAAATTTTTATTCTACTTAGGACCTCCAATTGTACCTAAGGGCCTTAAGGTGATGCGAAAGTGGCGCCAAAAAGTTCTCGTCCGTGAAGCTTTTCTCCAAACTGGGTGTACCGAATCGATTTAAACTGTACAATATAAATATGGAGGGTATAAGGAAGGTCCCGAAACACAAGAAATGACAATTTTTTTCTTAATTTGTTCATAGGTATTTAAAAAATGTGTTATAAAAAATGAAATTTCATTAGTATCAGGACCTTCCTTGTAGCCTCCGCATTCACGTTGTTAAGTTTGAAACGATTCAGCACACCCAGTTCGGAGAAAAGGTTCATGAAGGATTGAAGCTTCAGATGCCACTTTCACATCCCCTTAAACGGATTTTCAATATACACGATATGAAGGTATAGGAGAAAATAGGACATCCTACTTTGGACCTTGAAAATGGCAGATATTTGCATTTCTTCTACGTTTAGGCCTGAAGTTAATTCCTTTCAGGTGAGAAGTTTAAAATCGGAAGTAGGATTTAATGAGTGACGTAGGACCAAATGAGGACTTGCTTACATTATCCAGGTTCAAAGTAGGGCTGAAATTTCGCTTCGGGATATATTTATGACCGATGATTATGAGATTGCGAGTAGATGGTAACGGGGCCAGAAATTTTGGCATTTATGTCAAGTCCGGGCGTGACGTCACGAGCCCTTGGAAACTTGGCTGACTTTCAAGGGCTTCGCGGTAGCGTAGGTGGACCCTAGCGATCGGCGATCAGCTGATCGCTCCGCAACTTCTCCAGGTGGTTGTAGGGGTAGGATGTCACTCGGGTCGGAAAACTGGAGCAGCGATGAGCAAATGCAAGATCTAGACCAAGGCTACCATGGCTTGGTCTTGGTTTGGTCTTGCATCCTCAAGTCTTACACAGAAAGAAAAAAAAATGGTCAGAAGAACCACAATTGTAATAATTGTAACCATGTTGCAAGACAATGTAAGGGATAACATTGGATGGTAATGAGATGGTAACCGTTCCTTCAGTGTTTAACACGTTGAGTGCGGCGTCGGTCCCTGGGGACCGACAGTGAACTTTCCGTCTGGGCGGCGTCGGTCCCTTGGGACTGACACGGTATCAAGAATCCTATATATAAAAAATTGTGCCGCCCAAACGGAAAGCTCAGCAAAATCGGTTCCGCGCTCAACGTGTTAATCAAGGTAGCTATTAGATACTTGTTGTCGTAACATTACGTTTATCGTAACTTCATTGCATAGTTAACATTACCATTCCAAATGGTAACCACCAGTGCAACTTTTTAGCGCAGCATCATGGATATACTATTGGGAATGTTAGA